ACTGAAGCTGGTGAAGGTACTAATATAAAACAAACTGAAGCTGGAACAGCTGAAGAAGAAAAGACGGAAGAAGTAACGGCTGCTACTGGCACTGAAGCTGAAGGAAGTGCTAATGTAGAACAAACTGAAGCTGCAAAGAGTAAAGAGGAAACAAGAGCTACTGGAACTGAAGCTGGTGGAGATGCTAATGTAGAACAAACTGAAGCTGCGACAGGGGAAGAAGAAAAGACCGAAGAAGGAGTATCCGCTACTGGCCTTGAAGTTGGTGAAAATGCTAACCTTGAACAAAATGAAGTAATGGCATCTGAAGCAGACACTGAAGAACATTTTGCAACTACTAGTTCTGAACTTGCTGAAAAACAACTTCATACCGCCACAATACACGAAAACAATGTGTTATTAGAAAAGAGAAAAACTGAAAACAGGCTTGAAACAACTACAGTGCATAAACGTATAGAGCAACTACATACTACCGAAAATAATAAAATACCACATGAAGAATTTGATCAAAATGAAATGGAGCATTTTACGTCAAAATGTTCTACCTTATGTGAAATTTGTGATGAGAAAATTTCTGAAAGTTATAAACCCAAACATCTTAAAACAACAAAATATTTTGAAAAAACCTCAGTTGAAGGAGAGGTATTAACTACAGTATTTTCTACTCAAGGAAATGTAAACCCTACGCAATATTCTGAAAATAAGAAGAGTTCCTTCTTAGAAATAAAAAATCTGAAATCGACAAAAACTACACCAATTGCAACGAATTTTTTTGATAGCGTTGTAACTGGATCTTCTGAAGAAACTATTATAGACAATATAGCACTAAATCAGAGAACATTAGAGCCGGTTTTGATAACAGCAACGACACGTATAGGTACTGAAGAAGTTCTCATAGAAACTGAAACAACTGTTCAAGAAAAAATTACTAATACCAACATATTGACCACTTTTAAAAACATGGAAAATGAAGAATTGGAGGGGAAAGTTACTGAAGAAATAAAATATGATACAACTTCAAACGAAACAGCCAAGGAATTCGAAATGTTACAGCACATTACAGAATTTCCTTCAAGTTTACATAAAACTAAAATTGTAGAAACATCACCAAAATTATTTTCTACAAGTGTTTCCGAGCCGGAAGCAATTAAGAAACTAACTCAAGAAGTAGAAACGACGCCTAATTTAAGTTTTTCGAAAAAAGAACTACTCGAAATGGAACAAATCACTGAAAAAACAATTAAAATATCTCCTGCAACAAAAAGTTCTAAAGGACTCAATGTGACAAAAGCTCTGACATTCAGTACCACTTTCATGCTCTTGCTGTCTTCTGTTTATGCCAACCATACAACTCCCACCAGTACAATCAACCTAAAAGAAACAACAGTGCCATCAGTTTACGTCGACTTACCCGTTTTCTTACCCAACGGTACTTCCACAGAAGCACCACCAGAACATTTCGTGCAAATCCTAAACAACAATGTAACAGAAACTTTAATATTGTTTATACATGGATCAAATGATGAATCTATGAAAAAGTTAAACGGATCTAAATGGATACGGCGTTTGGACCATACTGAAAACATGGAAGAAACCAAAAAGGTACCAACATCAGAAAAAGCAACAGAAACCCAAGAAACAGTTCCACTAAGGCAAATTCAGTTACCAAAATACGTTTCTTTGGACGAATGCAAGAAAATTGATTTTGAGAAAAACGATAAATGTTTTTGCTCTATCGATAGTCTACTGACGAATTTGAAACAAAAAGGTGGTTCGGAACATATCGGGTGTCAAAATTTCCTAAAAGTTGATAATGGTGTAGTAATAGGAAATGATTCCGTTCCTCACGTTAGGAAAAAAAGAAGTTACTGGTTTGGTAAATACGACCTACCGATCAAGAGAGAAGTTATTGATTATAGTAAAGGATTTTTCGATGAGGAATTTAAGATTCACAACACCATAACACAAATTTACGCATTGACGGATACTAAGGTTGTTATACCTTGTGTAACTAAAAATGAAGTAGTTGAACACGACCGATATATGAAATATACTTGGACTTTTGATGATGATTTACCAATTACTGATAACCAGATTCAGGAGAATGAAGGAAATTTAGTTCTAGAAGATGTTTTGCCAAAAGACAGTGGTAATTACACTTGCACAGTAAAATCACGCTTAAATGAAAAAAATAACGTGGAAGAAAAGTACCATCATGGGTTGGTTGTAGTTTCAACGCCCATTTATAAAGTCACAACTAGTATCATGTATGACTTGAAAGAACCATGCGAATTGAGTGATGGTGATGTAATTTCACTTTATTTACCCAACATCCTCAACGGGTTACTTTGTGGATACCATGAAAAAATGTGCAAGGTTGAAGTGAGACGTCCTATATGTGTCAATCGAGAAGAAGAAAAACTACTCAATGTTACATTCACTGTCACCATGATGACTCTTAAAGAAATCGTCCCATCAATAAATGCCAACTCTTGTAATCTCAATTGTCAAATTGAAATGTACTCAAAACTTGCTGCAATTCTTGTAAAAAATATCGAGACATTTGTTAAACTTCCAGGTTGGTTTTTCTAAATCAAAAAAAAAACTATATCGATTTTTTTTAGTTTTTTCCAAACTGTCTCTGAAGGAGCAGGACTTCAGTCCTAAAAAAATTGCTTCCTTGAAACACAAAGAAAAAGGTCGATGGTCAAAACCTCCAGTTTTGATCGTGACATGTCCTTCCGGTTTCGGAGTCGAGAAAAAAGAACCAAGGATTTGTGTGGTATGTCCTAAAAACACCTACAATGTGGGCTTAGAATCGTACTGCAAAATGTGCCCACCTGGGCAGTACCAACCCGTTGCTGGGTCAAAATCGTGTATAGCTTGTTCCTCTCCTTTAGAAAATAAGGCTTGTCTGCGAGTCTTGGTAAGATTTGTTATTAAAAAAAACAGTTTGATTTTGAGAATATTTTGTAGTATGCGAATAGTGAATACTTTAAGATATATGTAGGAGCAGCGTTTGGACTCGTAGTTTTCATTTTGGTTTTGATTTGTTACTGTACGAGAAATAGTACTCCGGAATCGATGACTGAGGGGAGAAGGCACGATTATGTTTATGCCATGTTAAGGAAAGGAGCAGATGTTGAAAAGGGGGTGAATGAGCCTCTGCTAAAGAAAGATACGAGAACTATGCGTGGTGTGCCGCCACAAATACCGCCGCCTGATTTTTAGGTTATAGATATTCTTTAGTTATTATTTTTAAGATTTGTCAATAAATCATCATTTTACACGAAATTTCTATTTTCTAAAGATAAAAGTATAAAATCAAACAATATAGTTTTTCACATAGTAATACTACTAATAGTAATAGTAACACAAGTATGCAAAACGAATTTTGTTGAAACTTTTAAGTACTTTTTCCTAAAGTTTACATTGCTAGTAATCGGAAACATTTGACAAAAAAATTGATTCAAAATGTTATCGTTTTATGATTTTTTTTAAAGGATTCTTTTTCTGTGCCTGTTTTTGCAAATTATAACTTTTTTTAAACAATATGTTATAGACTTTGAAGAACTTAAGAAATATTTATTTACTATTTGAGTTGGTGAAATTCTAGGCTGCGCCACAAATTTAAATTTATTCAACGAACAAAACCCATTGTATCTTAAAAACTATAAACATTCACATAAGGCAAGTTGAGTGACTTAAAATATTTGCACATAACTCAAAATCATCCTGTAAGTATTTGTTTGAGAACTGCTGCTCAACAATGGGTTTTAGTGCCATTACCTTGAGTTTCATCGCAAATCATAATCATGACAACCAATTCATTATTTTAATATTTGCGATCTATTATGTCCATAAATTTAGAAAAAAATCAAGGAAAAACAAATCAAATCTAATGGAAAATAATTTGTTGCAAATGATTAAACAGAAAATCTTCAAATTTTGATAAAAAACTAAGGCAAAAACAAATCAAACGATGACAATTTTAAAACTAAAGGAAGCTACGAAGTGACCATAAAGTGACTTTTCTCTTTCATTGTCGTGGATACGATTTTCTTCAAAAATGTAATTTTAGCTTAACAAAGAAATAATTCTAATGATCCTCAAACCTTGTAAGTACTAATATTTTGGACTTAAATAACATTCTTAATAATAACAATAATTCTGTGAGTTTTGTTTTGTTCCATTAGTTCTACACACTTTTGTATTACCAGTCAATTTTCAACTCCAAGACTGTAAACACCCTGTATACTATTCATTCTCAAAATAAATTAAAACTTTAATAAAACAGAGCAATAGAAGTCACTAGTACACTAATAATTGATACTAATTGGATTTTTACAAAAATATCTGTGAAATTATGTACCACATTTTCCATAATTTTAATTGTTGAGACATCAGAGAAATAGGTAAACCTTCAAAAAAAGCATTTTTATTTCCGTTTTCAATAAATGTTCGTATTAAGTAAGCCGAATGTGCTAAAATGTCAAAATAGGTGCATGGAAGCTTCCAATAATTAACCGTTTTACTTGTTGTAATCCTTTGCTTTGAAGTTCCAAGTTTTTCAGATTTTTGTGTTCAAAGACAAATATTTAGTAACATTAGAAAAGCAACGTCTTTTTCAATGCTTTGTATCTTTGGAGTACCAGAAGATAAAATTTTGAAACAAATTGGTCCTCATTCAGAAAAGAACGGGCAATAATCTGAAATAAGTAAAAACTTAATTTTTTCTCTGTTGCACACTACAGCTCAGTATAAAAAAAGTAAAAAAACGGTGCTCTCATCGTCTTATTTTAGGTATAGGTAACATTTACAAGACAAAACTAGAAATGTTATGTTCTGCCAAGTTCGTTCTTCTCTCGACGAACAAGAATTTGTCGAAATCCGACAAAGAATAACAAAAATATTGCATGTGGAAAATCAAAAAATTTTAGTTGTCCCGTTAATTTTGGCGGCCAGATTGTTTATACTCGCTTTTTTTCAATTTAACTTCAACCTTCCATTTTTTTTTATAAAAATCACGTTTTATACTTATACACACCTCATCCAATACAATCTAAAACTACCACTTTATCTCAGAAATTCAAAACCCACCTTTTAGAAATTCACCCCATCGCCACGGCGCAGGCCTCCCCATCCCCAATCGTCGGCTTGCACGCCACTGCACGTTGTTTTGATCAGTCGATCTCATCCCCGCGCCGAGTTTCCGTCATTGCGATATTTCTGGATTCTGGCACGGCAATTTCCCAATTTTCAGTTGTGTCCAAACCATGATCGCGCCATGACCGAACGATTGCGAGCGTCTTCCGTGGGCTACAATAGCCCCAAGATGGAGAGCGACCTCAGCCCACGCAAGACCATGCTGGTCCTGGTCATCGTCGTGGGCTGCTTTGCGGTCCTATGGCCCAAAGTCTTCTATCCCATGCTGGTAGGCTCCGCCAACCAACACATCAAGCCAAGTCCCATCGACAAGGCCACAGGTACCTAACTACACCCTCCCCTATACCAATCAATAAATAGGCGATTTTAAAGCAAACATTAAGGAAAAATAAAACTTTTCTAAAAAATCATAGCGTACGTAATTGTAACGTTTGTTCAGACAGGGTGAAATTATAAGCAGAGGGCGCTAGCGCTCTTTCGCTGCTAAAAGAAGTGCCCTGTATTTTTGTTTGTTTGTTTTAAAATTTGTTCAAATAATCTTTTCTGTCTCTATCAGGATGCTGCGATGTAATATCCGAAACTGACATAAACACAATTAAAATCATGTCGGAGTTATGCTCATCTATAATAAACTCGACAAACGGCAAAGAGATCGTCCAGAAATGCCGCCAAAAGGTCCTCGAGACCTGCGGAATCGACATTTCGATCGTTTTGCAAGAACAAGTTAGATTAGGACGAAATCTTAAGCAAATTCTAGATCAGATAAGGTCACTGAATGGTTCGCTCTGCTTGAAATACAACTACGGGGTTGATCCATGGCGACTCGGGGTGGCACACAGAGTGACCGTGAAAGTGGCTTCAGATGCTCCCAGTAAGAATCCGTGTGGGATAACATAATCTTAGCTAATTTTAATTTTATGGAGTGTTTAACCGATCTAACTTTATTTTGTGTGGACGAAGTCGTAAAAATGTGTATGTGGGATTTGTGTGATTTTGGTTGTTTTTCAGATATAAGGCAAGAACGGCCGCACCATTTGAGGTCGGAGTTGATCCATCCAGCTTTCAGGGAAAGAGGAAGGGCCATTCCTCAGCCGCAGACGGCGCCACCGGCACGGCCACCGCCGAGGGTTGTAGAAGGAAGAGTGAGTTTTGCATTTGCTTGTGTTCCACTGCCAAGAATGCGAATTATTCTAATCAAGCAGTATTTTGTTTGAGGCGGCCAAATAATTAGAATTTTTTTTTGGAACCTAGTAAAGTTTGGCTATCGAGATTTGGAGGATATAGCCCCAATAATCCATTATCTGTCAGCTTTTACGACGGCTAACACTGGAGTGCTTAAAATTTGTTTACCTTGGTGCAATTTTTGTATCAGCGGTGCCGTCACCGAACAATAAAATTTAGAAAATTTTAAATCAAGCTCTTTGTCAACCACTTTCCGATTATGCCACTTATTTTCAAAACACGGTCTTTCATTCCGTTCCGTCGAATTTATTTTTACTCAAAACAAACATTTTTACGTAATTTCACGCAACTGATCGGTTATTTTCTCTTGAATAACACGTTTCGTTACATCTAATCAATAAAGTTTTAAAAATAGTTTGTCAATTCGACATTTTTATCGCCTTAATCCTTTTTTACTACAGAATATTACATTAAATTATTCCAGACCTGCCACACTGCTAAGATTAAAATAGCGACACATGTGTGACGTAGTCCCACCGCTCTATTTTTAACATATAGCTGGTCTTAACTCCTTTAATCTTTAACTCGTTTATGTCATATTTTTAACGGAAAATGTCGCATAATTTTGCAGCCCGGTCCCATCCCGGGGATGCGGCCCACCATCGGTGGAGCGGGCCACGTGGTGCCGCCTTCCAAGCAGGGTACAAGCAGCATGAGCGTCATCATGCCCATCTATACCATCGGAATCGTGATTTTCTTCACTTACACACTCATGAAAGTAAGGTTTTGGACACTATGTGGTCCATTTTTCATCCAGAACTTTTAGATAATTTTCAAAAAACAACCGCAAGGTGTCGGGGGCACGCTCTACCCACCTGTTGACCCAGACCCGCACTTCCGAAAGGAAGTCTTTGAATCGGAATCGAGTCGTTTAGGGCCGCGTCTCACCCGAGAAAACATTTCGAGCAAATTGGGTGAGTTTAATTTTACCAATGATAAGAGGATTAAGCCCAGATGGGTGTCACTTTTAATTGAAAAAATGAACGTATTGTGTTTTTGCTACTTTTGATGATAGGATGGATAGAACGTGATGCAAGTAAGTCCTGCTTACAGTCGTGCAACTAATTTTCCTCGCTGTAATACACATTATTTTCATCTCACTTTTATTTTTTGGGTATTGGCAATATGAATCAAAAATAATTATTTTGGAATAGTGTTGCCAACGAAATTATTTTTGTGTTTCTCCATCAATATTTTTCTGTAGGTCAAAGACATTATCAGATATCATTCAGAATCAAAGTACATTTTCTCAGGAATGAGAGACGTCAGAGGTATTTTGTTTGGATAATTTCGGGAATGAATGGGTGGTTGGTAATTGATTTTTTCGGAAAACGCACACACGATTGAATAAATATTTTGATTCAGATAGTTTGCCAGATTGTCGATTCTATTTTACTTTTTACATACATGTACGGGGGCTAAAAATAATTACTGCAAGATGTATTTTTAAAACAGCTCACGTAAGATTTGAAAATTGTACACTATTGACATTTGCGTTTTTAGATTAGACCAAAAAGAGAATATAATATAATAATATCTAAGAATAGCCACTTGCATGAGTCTCAGTGACCATTTTATACGCCCGAAAAAAAGTCAAACAATCAAAAATTGAATAAAATGATTTCCTAGAGGGTTTTGAGGAACATTACCTGAGGTTACTAACTTTAAAAAATATATGATTTTTCAGGTTTTTTTTTACAAGGTTGGTGACAGAATCAATTATCAGTTTTGAGAAATTCTCCATTCGGGCGAGTTTATTAATTGCTTTTATTTTAGTTTTTAAGTAATGTTAATTATCTTAATCAGACTTTCCTCGTCTAAATTACATCAAATCTATGTAAAAAAAAATATGTTAGGTTACAAAGTTGCGTTAGTCGCAATACCCCCAATGGCAAAGTGGCCTATTTTATGTCGTAGCTGTGGAAACATCCGTTACTTCCCCTAGCCAATCGTATTGCGAGGTTTTGAAATTTATCGAACTGATGTGTTATTGAATCCTATTCATATCTAAACTTTAAAAACATTGAAATAAACCACCTGCTCATGGTTTTCGTTTCTTTTTGAAAACTTAAGACGGTTTTTATGTTGATCTACTACTGCATCGGGTTAGTAAGTCACTTGGCTGCAATTCAAACATTCGATTGATTCTCTGAATCGGAATGTCGGACAAGGTTGAAGTCACCAGCGGTGATGTAAAAATCAAGCAAAACAATATCTCTGAATTTAAATAGATGCATTCTGAGGAAATGTGCTTAGTAGAGTCACTGTCTAGTGTAGTACAGGAGGGAAGTGTGGGTTTTCATCTCGACTATGGAATTGCTTGTGTCAACAGGAGACGCAGAGCTGGACCAACTACGCCAACGTCTGCGTGAAACCGAATTAGCCATGGAACGCATCGTTGAACAAATGTCTAAAGTGCCTCTGAAAGCTCAGGTGCGACCTGTCCCTCCTGACCCGCACTAGCAGCTTGGCTTAGCTTTTGCATGCACTTCCCCCTTTTAAAAGTCCAGGAGGACCAACCACACAAAATTCAATAAGACACTGTTTCTTCGTAGTTGTTAATGCCATGTCTGCATTACTGGACGAAGTCGATCAGGAAATCGAAGCTCGCCGCAAAAGCAGCGAGGTTGCCTCTCAGGTAACAGTGTTACCAATAGTTAACAAAGAATGAAAAGTTTGCCACTTACCCCTTGCCGTGCTTATGCCTAGTCGCTGATTTCTTTCCATTTTTACGTTTGATACAGTTTTTAGCCGCTTCATGTATTGATTTCTGGGAAGTTAGCAACATTGTCACACTAAATTGGGGATTTTAGGATTTGGTAAATGGGAATTTATCAAACGGGGACGTTGTTAAACCCCACGACGATGAACAACCCACAGTTAAAGTTTTGGGAATGGAAATGACGGCAAGTTGTGAAGGCGGGAAAAAATGGTCAAGGCCTGGATCACCAGTTCTCCCAACACCATCACCGCTGCCGCCTCCAGAACCAGCTCCGCCACCACAGGTAACAAAAAATCCCCCAGAAACTTTCAATGCAACAGAAAAAACTCTAGGAGATTTATTTGGAAGGCGCTCTTCCCGCTCAATCCCAACTCTTGGTTGCTGATTCCGCCATCGAGCCGGAACCCAGTTCCGGGGAAAACCCGGCTGTGGTGCTTTCCGGAAAAATGACTTTGTCTGTTATAAGCCCCGATTCGGGTAAGTACAGACACAACTAGGCCAAGGCATGCAACCTAGTGCCTTGTTCAAAATGTTTCATAATTTTAGTGTAGTAACACCATTGTTAGTTACATAGTATTTTGAAACTCTAGAATAAATGGTGTAAAATTTCAGGATGACTGTATCAGTCATGTAAACTTATGTAATGAGCATGTATCTGAATTATGTTTAATAAATCAAATATTTTGTGTTTTTGCTTTTTTTTAACCGTGAACGTCTTAAGATTCGTTTGAGAAATAATTGGATCTGGTAGTTTTTTTTTATTGTTTGCTACCGTCTAGCATTAAGTAATTGTTTGGAACTATGCTAAAATTTACATAATAAAAAGCTGATCAGGTACGTTATGTGTCACTTTTACAAATTACAGATTGGCAATACAATTAGACCTCTGAGAGGAGTTTGCAACAACCACTCCTCCAAAAATTGTATTGCCAATAAATTAGTTTGGCCCTTTAACACATAGAACACCACTTTAACACGTGTTGTTAAATGTTACCGCAACTAAATCACATTCTAAATAAACCTTCTCTTTTCAAATTAAAACAATATTATAGCATTTATTCTAGAACTTGCACTGATTTTTTGTCTTAAACTTGTTGTTTCACAGAGAATGGCGTTGAAGAAATGGAAAATGATACAAGTCTACAAAAAAGTGAAGAAACACGAACTAAAGGAAATAACGAAGTTGTGGATCAGATAAAACTTAGCCCCGAAAGGAATGTTGAAGAAACAAAAAATGTACAAGAAGTCGAAAATTTTGCTGTTGAAGAAATAAAAAATGATTCGAGTATACAGATAAGAGAAGAAATCGGAGAAAAAACACCAGAGGAAGAACGGCCGAAACTCGAGCTTGAAAAAGATGTTGAGGATTTCTTGAAGAAAATACAAGCACAAAACGAAATTCAAACACCTTCTATAACCTTTGCTAGCGACGATTTAAACGAAATGCTCGAAGTTGAAGAATTAGAAAAAGAAGTTGATGGTTTGATCCAAGAGGCTATCGAAAATATTCAACAAAGGGTTGAACCGAACGAAATTAACGAAAATTCGGATCAAAATAATTTAGATTTAATTGACGAAAAATCTAATAATATTGAAAGTTTCATCAATCTTGAACAAAATCAACAAAATTTAGAGGAAACAAAACTGGTAATTTCAAAACCTATTCATAATGATATCAATATGGAAATTGCTTCTGAGCAGTCAAAACCTGTTGAAGACCCAATACAAAAGTGCCAAATACAAAACAAACCAAATGAAGAAATAATAAAACACAACGAAGAAACAGAGACGAATGAAAGCAAGCTTGATGAACCCCTCGCGAATGAGGAACTCGGCAGTGATGAAGAAGTCGAAGAAATCGAAGAAATAGTATACGAGGAAGAAACTGAAGATGAAGAAGAAGAAGAAATTGAAATAGAAGTAGAAGAAAGCGACGAAGAAATTCCAAACGATGTGAATCTTAATAGAACAGAATCCAGTTTTGTTCAAAGAGTGAACGGAGAGAGGAGTGAAGATTTTGTTGATGAATCGAAATACACCTCCGTTAGTGGCGCTACAGCGGCAGAAAATGATATTTCTGATGTAAGTTTGTGAAATACATATACTTTTGAACCGATTCTTATTTAATCTTATTCTATTTATATTTTTCAGGAAGAACTGACAGATGAAGAAGTTGAAGAAGAGGAAATTATTGAAGTTGAGGAAGATGAAGAAAATGACGTAAATCACGTTTCTGATGATTCAGAACCAGAACTTTAAGATGCTCAGATTTAAAAAATGACAGCTTTTAAGAATAACTTTTCATAATCTGTTTTTGTGTGAGTAGATTTTATTGAATTACCGATTTTATAACTTATTTCTTATTAATATATTATATAATCATGGGTTATAGTCTATTCTTATTATAATAGTCTGATGAAATATTTATATAGTGATGTTTCTGTTATAACACAACGTGTTGGTAATGTTTGTTATTGTTGCCCATAACAGTACAAAAAAATATTTCACTAAATCAATAAACTGATTTATTTAAAACTCTTTATTTACATTTAACTACAAGACAAAACCTTTTAATTCTCCCCGGTGGTCCAGTTGCCAGGCCTGTGCTTAGTCAGTGTCCAATCTTGACGTACAGTCCTGAGCCCCCCATACTGTACGTGATACTCCTTGGGGTACAACAAATGCGTGCCATTCATTATGCAGTGTTTCTTGCTAAGTGCAACTATTCCCGCAAATGTGGCCACAATACAACCAGTTAGAGTATTTTTCCTCCAGATACCGGCAATAGCCCCCGCTGAAGCACCACCAATAAACCAGTTCAGTCGGTCGTCTTTCTTGCGCAGAGAGCCAGCTAAGTTGCTTCCAATGACAAAAGCGGTGGCAGCCCCAAATATAGGCCAGGAGCAGTGGCAGTACCTGGCGATTGTCTGCATATAACCTTTAGGGTGACTGTGTAACATCACATCGATTGTTGAAAAGGCGAAAGCTGTAAGAGCCACTGGTTTGGCAATAACGCCAAATTTTTGTAAAACATCTTCTCCATCCGGGCTGGAGCAATAATCAAACGGTTTTGTTTCTTTTGAAACACTCATTTTTGGAATTTGTTATGTAAAACTTTTGACTGTTTTGACAGGTATTTACACCGGGGTTGGTACCTCGATCGGGGATTCAGGGAAGCCAACAAAAAATGCGCACAAAACACAAAACAATTTTTTTAACGTTTATTTTTAAAATTATTGTATTCACATTACTGACCCATATTAAAATAATCAATTACTACACAGTCCTGTGTAAAATTACCTAAAAAAGTCATGCTACGTGTGTTATTTGTTGTGTCGTGCTAGTATTGTTAGGGAATTTATCGTCGCCACCCTAGATGTAACTGTCTTAAATATCATCTGTTTAACGCCAAACAACGATCATAAAAGGAAAGTCTATTTACTTGTGATAAATCTGCGTAAAATGTGTAAAACAAAGTGTTAAAATGGCAGAATACAAAAGTGAAAAAGTCTTGATATCTTTTATGTGCCAAAGATGTTCACAACCCATAAAATTAGATGATTCTTTGAGTTCATTCAGTGAACATATTTCAGCCGAATTGAATTGTAAAAACAAAGAAAGTGTTTTGGGTAAATTTGGTAATGTTTTGTGATTGTTTTAGTACCGATACATTCCAATCCAGATGTAGATTTAGAATCACAAGCAACAAGTTTTGATCAGTATATACCTGCATGTAGACTAGTTGATTCAGGAAATGGTTTTATGTTGATATCAGATGAAAACGAAGTAGATTCACTTAGTCACGCTTATAAAGTACTTGGAATAACGTAAACAAGGAATTTGTAAGAGTGTCATTAATTTTTTTGCAGCGAAAAGCAGCTTTATTTGATACTCTCTCAGGCAACTCAAATATTGATCATCCTTTGTGCGATGAATGTACAGATTATCTATTAGAAATATTAGAACAAGAATTAATAGATACGCAAACTGATTACGATGATTACCTCAGATATTACAAAATGTATGAGAAAAAATTACTTTGTATGCCAATAATTAAGATTTTCTTTTTTTAGGCTTCAGAACGATACAAATGAACCAAAACTGCCAGAACTGGAAAAAGAGTTGGAAGATTTAAAAGCAGAAGGCAACAGATTTTTGGAAGAATTAGAAGCTTTAAAAAAGGAAGAAATTGAATTACAAATCGCTATCAAGGAACAAGAAGCTGAAGCTAGGAGACTTGATAAAGAACGCAATATTTACTATAAAGAGTACACAAAGCATCAAAAGAATTATACTCAAGCTTGTGAAGATGCCAAGAGGTGAAGAAGTCATTGTTGAATTTAATTTTATCATGTTTTCAATTGTAGTTTGGAGTGCCAGCTGAATTACACCCAAATCCAGCTTGACAAACTAAAGAAAACCAACGTCTTTAACGCAACTTTTCACATTTGGCACAAGGGTCATTTTGGCACTATTAACAATTTCTGTCTTGGAAGGTTACCTTCAGCTCCTGTGGACTGGTCTGAAATCAACGCAGCTTGGGGTCAAACTGCACTCTTGCTCTCTGCACTTGCACGCAAAATAAATCTGACTTTTGAAAGGTACAGATTAGTGCCATATGGCAATCACTCATACATTGAGGTAATATCGAACAAGAACCGAATTTGCGTGTTTATGGCGAATTTTAGGTTTTAGGTGAACAAAAAGAGTTCCCATTGTATGGTTCAGGCGGTTTTAAGTTTTTGTGGGATACAAAGTTTGATAACGGAATGGCAGCTTTTTTAGATTGTTTGCAACAGTTTCAGGAGAAAGTGGAGAAATTAGAAAAGGGGAATAAACAGTTTTGTTTTCCGTATAGAACAAATAAGGGGAAGATTGAGGATAATGATGCGAGTTATTCAATCAAGTATGCTTTTTGAGATCGTGAAATATGTTTTGTATAATATATTTGTGCATTTTTATAGAATTCAGTTAAATTCAGAGGAACAATGGACCAAAGCAATGAAATTTATGTTAACTAATTTGAAGTGGGGTCTAGCTTGGATTTCCTCACAATTAAATAACGATATAGAAGAAAATATGCAAACGGAAAATTAGTGTTTACATGTTTAGTATTTTTTATATATCTAAGTAATTTTAGTACCTACAAGTAAGTTACGAAATCTATACCATATTTTTGTTATAAAAATGACTGACGTTGTTGTAATTATGTTCAATAAAATTACAGTAGACAATAATTTGTTTTTTACTTTAACCTGGAATTCCCCTATTTATCTGAATTTAGAAACTCTCAAACGAATAATCCATAATTTTTAGGCAACCAATAATACACTTGATATCACTTTGTTATTAATTCTTAAATACTGTTAATTTTTGAGACAAAGCTGCAAAAATTGGTTCTTCATAAGGCATTTACTAAAAAATAATATTTTGTTATTTAAAAAGTGTAAAAGAAAATTTTATAGAAGTTGACTTATATGGAAAATGCCATATGATTTTGACTGACTAAAAACGTTTCAAAATGGCTGATGTTTGTCGTTAAATCTTTACCATCTGATCTAAAATACCGAAAAAACCTAGCAAAAGAAACTCTGCTGTTTTGCATTCGCAGAATTGCGATGAAAATCTCTTAAATTTTGTTTTACAGGCTTAGATATGTGTGATGCATGTTCGGATTTTGTACAACTTCTTGTTTCATGTAAGTACACAGCCCCCTTCCGAGTTTAAGATGTTTGTGTCACTTAAAACTTACTTCAAAATTATTTTCAAATCGTCTTCTGTTTCAACAACTTGACTTTCACTACTTGTAGATGAAGCGCAAGTTTGCAGAGAGAACAATGAACAACCGACCCTAAGCAAGCACGAAATCGACGTTATTTACGTTTACGTGCAGACATGGCCGGCCAGGTAGCCCTTTAAATCGCTTTTAATCTCTCACCTAAAAAACTTCATTTTTAGACAATGCATGTGCTGTTACCGCGACCCAAAAAACCTGGAAAGATTCAGTTACATCACTCAGGGCCTCATTTACATGGTTGTGTGTCAGTTGAAACAATTAGCCGAAAAAGGTTCAGACACAAAAAAAGAAGAAAACAAAGAAGTCACCGATAAAGAAAACGAGGTTCAAGACCGCGATAAATTACTGATTTTAGTGTCAAAAGTGTTTCTATTAAATTTTCCGCTTTACGTTGCTTACAAACACACGATTCAGGCCAAACTCGACGAATTGACGCAACAAGAAATGCAAAATTTGAACCTATTTTGCGATTTACATGACTCGGAAATACCGATTTATTTACTGAAGAATGTTAGTTGGTTTTGTAAAATGGGGGGGCTGTTGGCTATGACGGCGTGTTTTACGCAGTTGTCACCTGAACAATTGCCGGTGTCGACTGCACATGCAATGATTTCAATTGGTACGCTTGTAACATCTATAAAATTTTATCTTACGATTTTTTGCAGTGAGTAATTTAAAATTATGGATGAACTATAAGAGTATGGTTTCTATGTTGGTACCTCTGCGTTCTTGTGTTTTACGTTACATGTGTAAATTATCAGATCAGGATTTACGGGCGCCTACCACAAAAAGCATGGCAGGTGTGTTTTATGCTGAAAGTTCGAACCAAAGCACTTTCACTGATAGATTTTTTTCTAGACTTTATGTGGAATGCAATCAAGGACCCTTTGGATACTCCTGTTGCATTCGACATCGATGGCCTTGATTTAGCGTTTAAGTATTTTACTTCTAGTACTTTAACAATGAGACTAGCGGGAATTACCCAAATTAATAACCAGATAGGGGTTTTGGCCGAGATTTGTGTTGGGGAATCTCTGCCGGAAGCAGAAGCCGCCCCGAGACACATGGCAGATTGGCTGATCAACAATAATATAATTTCGCATATTTTCGGACCCAATTTACACGTCGAGGTACTTTCTCTGGCTAAATATAAGCGTTTTTTATTTGTTTTTATTCAGGTTATTAAACAGAGTCATATTATTTTGAATTTTCTTGCGATGGAAGGGAGAATAACTTGCGAACACATGGATATAATTTGGGCAGCAGCTCAATTAAAACATTGCTCAAAGCCGGTTCATGATTTACTTCCCGGGCTTGTTAAACATTTAGCGGCTTCGCCGACTTTGCATTTGTACAGTCTTTTGACTAAATTAGAACCAAAAGAACACACAGAACAAGTATTATTCCGTATTGTTGGTGGTAATACTAGATAATTGTCTTTTGTTTTTAGACTTTATATCTAGCGTCGGCTTTGATTAAGGCTGTGTGGTCACGTGGCGGGGGGGTACCGGAAGTAGGTTTGATAAATGTGGCGGCGTCTAATGCAGGGATAACGTTGCATAAATGTACAACATCGTCGGAAAACAGTGTCAGTATTGATCCGAGTAATTCCGAAGAAGAACATGTAAGTAAAAACTGAGAAACTAATTGTTAAAAAGTTTCACAATTGAGGCCGCTCCGAGAGCAGCAACCAACCACAAAAATATTTTATTAGTTTTTCTTTTTTATAACATAAAAAATCGTTAGGGTGAAAGTACGGGACAGTCTGAAAGTCACAAATCGGATAGCGAGGATATAGATGGTGTAGAAATAGATGAAGATGATGGTCCCATTGATGGAGGCAGTTCCGGCCCCCCACCATGTAAATTAGCACGGAAACAAGCTATAGCTCGTGTCCATTGTGACGGAAGTAGTACCGACCCGGAAATCGATGGTAAAACTAAATCAATCACCAATAATTACGTTAAATAATTTTTTGGTAGGTATTCCCATCAAATCACCAGCTGAAAAACCCAAGCGATGTGCGGTTGTTCCAAAAGTCAAAGCCGAGAAACGACAAATGTATGTCTCAGTTTTTAATTAATTTTTACGCAAATTAAAAATAATCTACATTAGGTCTTCCGTCAGGAAAAAAATCTTATCAACTTTGAACGTCCTGCCTGAAGGAATCGAAGCTATTGGTTCGAGTAGCTCTCAAGACGAGGCCGACGTCGAAGAAGTCCCTGCCAAATTCCGTAAACGACGTAAAATGCTTCGTAAAACGCGGGTCAAGCGACAGAAAGGTATTGTTTTCGTTCAAAACCGCTTAATATTTTGTGTGTAAAATGCTTTAGGTGTTCACAAACGTGTAGTGGCGATTAGCGGAATCGAGGCTTTGAGCGAGGTTGAGGTAGAAAGTGATTCGGAAATGAAGGCGGCTTTGAAAGGCGTGGCAGCAGCTGCTCTAGTCCTCCCGGCACAAATGAGCGGTTTGGTTGAAACGTAATTTTTTTTATTGATTCGATTTTATACAATTTTGACCGGTTTTCGAATTGTAGGAATTTAAAACCGGCCGATTACTTGGACGAGAGCTCGTCTTGTAGTGAACTGGGTAAAGAGTCTGTCACTTTGGAAAGCCACGAAGCCGCCTGTACCAATTTTCTCACTCTGCATTCTCGCGGAGGGTACGTGACCGGTTCAGGTTTCTAGCTTTTGGCTAATGAATCTATTACAGTTTGAATGTTTTTAGTCATATTTTGGAAATGCTGAGCGGTGAGGAGGCCGAAGTTGAAGGAGATGCCGACGGTAGTTACTCCTCGAGGATGAGCAACAAGTCCGAAAAAAATATGGCCGATTTTGACGGCGAGGATTCGGTGTGTGAGGAGGAATTGGCTCAGTTGAACGAACATGTGAGTTTTAACTCGGACTTAGGGAAATTGTTTACAATTTTACTAACCCCTACACCGCATCTAACTTAAATTTTTATAGCATTTACAGATATTTTTGTAATTTGTTGTGTTATGGTTTAAGGCCCAGTTGAATCTTCATGCTTTAGCTAACCAATCGCCGGAAAAGTCTCCAGTGAGAGTCGATCCAAGACTTTCAGCGTGTTTTAAGGCCGATAATGTTTGCCAACCTGGAAATACACTTTTATGGGACTTGCTCCAAGATGATAAAATCGTAAACACATCAATAAATACCATTTTAAACAAACTTAACAAACGTAAATTTTTAGTGCCATTTAGGCGAGGGTCTCGCATTAGAAGCTGAAAAAACTTTATGTAACTTAATCTGTTATACACCAGATAAAGAAATTCGGATGAAATTTATCGAAGGTTGTTTACATAATTTAGCCAACAATGTGTACGTTTTTGTAATTGTTTTATAATTTTTGTTTTGTAAAGATATATTTTTCAGTTCGGTGGTTGTGTCGTTAAAAATGTTACCTAAATTATTGACTTCATTTCGAGGCATTGATATGCACCACGTGACCCATTGGGCCGAACGTCAGCACCACATGATGAAACACTTTTTCAACAATTTAAAAACATACACGGCCAACCCTTCAAAATCTTTACCTCTCTATACTCATCAAATGCAGGTTCAGGTCAGATTACATTTTCTTTCGGCTGTTTTTTCACCAGTGGTGTCTCCTAACACATTCAAGTATGTAACATTAGAAACGTCTAAACATTAGTTTTATTTTATTTCTTTAGGCTGAGTATCGAACAAGTCGATACTTTATGGGAATGCTTGGCTCACGATCCCGAATGTTCTGATGAACTTTTCAGTTGGTTACTCTCACAAACTAAAACTACTGAACTCCACGCGTTAAAAATCGACGCCTTGAGACGCCTGTACATGCACCATTTACCAAGTCTGCCGCCGGAAAGATTCAGTATGATTTGTTTAAGCCTTTTTCAACAATTGTGTAGCTTAAATCATTTATTAACGATGAATATGGGATCCGAATCGATTCGAGAAAGTTACAACGTCGGTATGGACCATATGTGGAAAATAGCCTTAAGGGCGAACAATACTGATGTCAGTATGGCAGCTATTCAATACATAAATAGCTATTACATGGGTCAAAATTTGCAAAACGAGGGCCAGTTTGTTTGGCAATGTATGACTCATTTGAAGGCTGCAACAGAGGATTTGATCAGTGTGAGTACTCCGGGGGCCGAGGAAGCACCACTTTTATGCATACAGAGGGCGCTGTTGCTCATGAAAAGTCACCTCGAGACGTTCCGAAGACGCTACGCTTATCATTTGAGGAGATGGACTTTAGAGGGGAAAGGTATAGGGAGTCATTCGGCCTCGTCTGCCGACCGGTGTGGCAGCCCCCTGAGGCTTATTGTCCAATCGGGAAGTTCGACCGAGAGGTGTTACCTTGACATGTTAAGTTCGGACTATGTCGCTGATCTTCGGGCCGAAATCGTAAAATGGTCTGAAGGCCCGAGCCATATGAAAAATCAAGAGTCTGAATCAAGTCATAAGACCAACGATACTTGGATCCGACTCATAACACAAGGTCAAGAGTTAACTATAGACTGTGACGAGAAGACTTTGGGAGAAATGGGTTTTAAAGACAACCAAATGGTTTACATTTCGATTGGCGTGTCTAAAAATATGAAAAAGAGGGAATGTTTGGATTTACCATCGATGCAACCGCCCCCACCTCGCGAATCCATCCCGACGCTACTTCTTTTAAGGCCTAATTATTTTGAGCAGTTATTTTCACTTATGCATACATTGAGTTCGATGAAAGTACCGGTGAAAGGAGGGGTGAGTCCGAAGCCAATCTGAATGAGACAATTTTAATGTTTGATTTTTGTAGCACCATATTCCGAATACGAAAGCTCAAGTTTTGAGTCGGCGCGTTTGGGATATTTTGAGTTTGTTACCAACAAATCCAACGCTGTTACAAGGCTTCAAACAGCTGGATACGCCCCTGACTGAATTACTTGACCCGTCAAGTGCGCAAAAATTGATGTATTCATTGTACATCGTAGAGTCACTTAGTGCGAAAATTTCGAAACCTGGAGAAAACGATAAGGAATCGTGGAGTCGTACTTTTATTCAACATGGCGGATTACGCCATTTATTTGATATTTTTATGTCGGGTAAGTCGAAGAAAGCAAAAAATACAGTCATTTAAAAAAGTAAATTTTTGGCTGCAATTAAACGTCTCATTTATTTAGGGGTTTTACAACGCGACGGAGGTAACGGCAGCGAATGGCAACAAGACTGTCTTGCATCCTTACTCAAAATCATCTGTCAGTTGGGGGTGGAGCCTCTTCCTTTAGAATCTCGCCCGGTGCGGAGCGACAAAATCGTGATACCAAGCCTGAACGAAGTAACTACTACAATATCAAACTCCAATCCGTAAAACTCAATTTTTATCAATTTCAGGCCATGCTTGCAATGATCGACGTTAAGAGCACGATGCCTCAACTTACAAGCATTCTCGAAGAGGCGTCACAACCAAAGGATCCCAATCATTACAAAACCGGTTTCTGGGGCCGCGCCCAAGTCGTCCATTACGCCATGTCTTTTCTCGTTTCGTGGTTACATTGCAGTGAAGACGCCCGACAGGCTCTTTTTCAGTCACCAAATTTCTCAATTTGGCTACAAAGACTCGTCCTGGAGGACCCCGAGCCGGCAGTACGACGCGAAGTTTGCTCGGCGGTTTACAGATTATGTTTGGGAATTTCGGCCAGCGGAGACATGCTTGAAAGTAGTTTAGTAGCCCCCATGCTTTCTGAGTTACTTCTCTATTTGGATAAAGCGGAAAGTATGCGGTCACAAAAATTCGAAGCGATTCCGGCTCTAGAGGAGGGCAAAGAACCGTACGGTCCGGCCTGTAGGGATTATTTCTGGCTTGTAGCGCGGCTTGTTGATAGTTTACCCGATGATTTGGTTAAAGAGAGCCTCGAGGATCCGCAGAATTGTGTTGTTGATATTAATGGACTGACGAATAAGATTTCGAGGTCTCTATTATCGAGAGATTATCTAGAGGCAAGGCATAGAACGATCGATGATGATGGCTTAATCGGTTTGTTGAATTTGTTGACGAATTTGATTAAACACCGACCGCCGTTTCAAGTCAGTAAACAAGGGCAGGAGTTATTGGTTGAGGTTTTTAAGTTTTTGTTCGCTTTGCCAAGTCCGAAGTTGAGGCACGTGCCCAAGTGTAAGTCGCCGAGGTCGAGAACAGCTGCTTATGATCTTTTAGTGGAGTTGGTCAAAGGGGCGCCGCAAAATTACTATATTTTACATGAGAAATTGCTCAAACAACACCAGCCCGGTTAGTATTACTTATTACATTATTATTGTTACTATGTATTTTATTTAAGGGCCCCACTCGCCCTACCCTTGGGACTACTGGCCCCACGAAGATGGGCGTTCCGAATGTGGTTACGTTGGCTTAACGAATTTAGGCGCGACCTGTTACATGGCGTCTTGCATGCAACACCTCTACATGATGCCCCAAGCTAGAGCCTCGATTTTGGCCGCCAACACCGAACATTCGAAGCACGAGCCGACTCTCAAGGAGTTGCAACGGATGTTTGCGTACTTGCTGGTCAGTGTACACTTTAAGTTGCTTTTCTCTAAGCCAACTTGATTTTTTTTAATTTAAGGAAAGTGAAAGGAAAGCATACAACCCTCGCAGCTTCTGCAAGGTCTACACTATGGACCACCAGCCGCTCAATACCGCCGAACAAAAAGACATGGCGGAATTCTTCATCGACTTGGTCAGCAAATTGGAAGAAATGACTCCAGCTTTAAAAGCCGTTGTGAAGAAATTATTCTGCGGTGTACTTAGCAATAATGTTGTTTCACTAGTATGTTATTTGTTATGTCATACTTGACCTCGACTGTCTTTTTCTTGTCTATAGGACTGTGGTCATGTTAGTCGCACATTAGAAGAGTTTTATACGGTTCGGTGTCAAGTTGCCGATATGCGAAACCTTTACGAATCCCTCGATGAAGTCACCGTCAAGGATACTCTCGAAGGCGATAATATGTACACATGTTCACAATGCGGTAAAAAAGTGCGTGCCGAAAAAAGAGCCTGTTTTAAAAAATTACCGCACATTTTATGCTTCAATACGATGAGGTACACTTTCAATATGTTAACGATGCTCAAGGAAAAAGTCAACACGCATTTTTCATTTCCATTGAGACTAAATATGGCCGGATATGTCGAAAAACAATTGATGCCGCAACATTATCAAGGTAAGTAATCTCATGTGTACCAATACCAGTTCGAGTCACTTGTTGATCATAGAGGACAAATTGAAACAATATGAACCGGAAGATGAACAATACGAGTACGACCTAATCGGGGTCACAGTTCACACTGGCACAGCCGACGGTGGTCATTATTATAGTTTTATCAAAGATCGAACTGCAGGATCACGTGATAAATGGTTTTTGTTTAACGATGCTGAAGTCAAACCATTTGATCCAAATCAATTAGCAGCCGAGTGTTTCGGTGGCGAAATGACGGTTCGCTTTTACAATTTCCTATTGTATCAACACTTAATACCTGATTTTAGAGTAAAACATACGATAGCGTTACGGATAAATTCATGGATTTCAGTTTCGAAAAAACGAATAGTGCGTATATGCTTTTCTACGAGCGTTGTCCGATTGTAACTTCGGAAAGTTCTGAAAGTTCTTCAACAACGCCTGAATCAGGTGAAAGTAATCAAATACTTAGTAACACATCTGTGGCCACATTCGAGTTGAGTAAAGAATTAGAGGATTGGATTTGGCAGGATAACATGCATTTTATTCAGGACAAAAATATTTTCGAACATACTTATTTTAAGTGAGTTGATATTTAATAACTTTAGCAGGTTCTAATGATTTGTCAAGTTTTATGTGGCAAATTTGCGGCTATATCCCTCAGACTATATTACCGATCGAGCCGGATATAACGCAGAAAGCAGCCCAATTGTCCACTTCGTTTTTCATCGAGACTTTTATTCATGCCAAAGAAAAGGTAACATTACCGCTGGCCGCGGACTGAGCACTTATTACATTTTTCTAGCCGACAATGGTACAATGGGTTGAATTAGTAACTAAACAGTTTAATGCATGTCAGGAGGCTTGCGTATGGTTCTTGGAACACATGGCAAACGATACCTGGTGGCCGGTTCAAGTATTATTAAAATGTCCGAATCAAATGGTGCGACAAATGTTTCAAAGGCTGTGCATACATGTGATACAACGCTTGAAGCAGTCACATTCTAGTTTATATTTAGAAATCGACCGAGACATTCCAACGGAAAATAAAACGGTCGAACCTTCGAAAATTGGAAATGCGTCGTGTGTAACGAAATTTATCAAAACTTTATTGTCACTCGTAATTTATTACAATATGTGTGTTTTCCGAACATAATTTTATGGGTTTGTAGATGGAACACGGAGCTAAAGCTCATTTAAAACACTTGACAGAATATTTCGGTTTTTTGTACGAATTTAGTAAAATGGGTGAAGAAGAATCAAAGTTTTTGTTAGCTGTAGGTGCTATTAACTCTATGGTACATTTTTATTTGGGACAAAAAGCGAACGATTTTGTGAGTATGCGAAAATTTTAATTTCACTTTAATTGTATACCTTTTCATTTAGGTTGATGTAAGTGAAGGTGAGGAAGAAGAGGAAGTCGTTGCTTTACCTAGTGATAAATATAAACCGGCTTCTCTTGACAAGATGATAACATTAGTAGCGTCACTAGTTGAAAAAAGTCGTGACTCTAATATGAAATTACAATTAAGCGAGAAAGATTATAGTGCAGTGGCCGAAGGCAAAGTATGAAGACAGATGTCACATAGACGACTTTTTATACTACCGGTTTTTTTCCAGGGTTTTCCGTTTTTGTATCAACAAATCAAAGACAACATTAATTTACAGCAGACCCGTAATTTAATTCATTCGCTGTGTCGAGGAAACAATCAGTTAGCTCAATCGATTATTTGTATGATCTCACAAGCGATTTCAAGACATTCCGATGTAACTAATTCTCCATTTTTTCTGTTAAAATATTATTAATTATGTTTTGTAGACCTCACAACCCTTTTTTAAAATCCTAACCCTCCTTACCGAAAGTACAGCCCAAGGTTCAGGTGGTTCATCATCCCAGCCATGTTTCACACAGTTAGTTTTACAGAAGGTGTGGGAAGCCGCGGAATGTTGTCCCTATTCGGCTTTGGATTGGTTAGCTTTACAAGTGGTAAGAAATCGATTGGTGCATCAGTGGGTCTTAAGTTCGATGGATTCGTGGCTGGAACACTTTCTCATCGCCCACAGCAATCAGCGAGTTCGAAATGGTAAAAATGTGATTCTCTGAAAATAAAAAAATACACCAGTGTATTTCAGCGGCCGGTTATTTACTTGTGAGTTTGGTACCGAGCGCCCCCTTCCGGCAAGGCTTCCGCGCCACGCATCGTATGCAAAGAGAGCCACAACTGACCAACGAGGCTCAAACAGTGCTTCATCAAATTTATACAGGCCTGTTGAGGTTATTATCATCGGCTAAGCACTACACAGATATGCAACAGCACGGCACGATGAAACTGACGACGTATTTTGCGTTGTTGATGTACTGTTGTGTGTCAAGAACGGAGAAATTAATGGTATGAGATGTTCTTAGGTTATAAAACGTAGAATTGTATGGGGGTTCTTTTAGTTCGGTCAGTACTTCCTCCAATTGTGGCACTTGTTTCATCCGAAATTATCGGAACCTTCAATACCGGCATATCACAACAAACAAGCATTGTTGGCTTTTTGGAACCATGTTTGTGTCGACTGTCCCGAGAATGTGCAATTAATGTTACAGAATGCTCACGTTACGAAAAATATTGCTTTTAATTATATTCTGTAAGTCGAAAATAATCCTCAAGGACGTTTTGAATGATTCAATTTTAGTGCCGACCACGACGACCAAGAAATCGTCTTGTACAACCGCGCCATGTTGCCAGCTTATTACGGATTGTTACGAATGATGTGTCAGCAGTCTCGTATTTTCACTAGACATTTAGCTCAACATCAGAATTTGCAATGGGCTTTCAAAAATATTACCCCACATCCGACTCAATACCCCCAAGCAGTGGAAGAATTATTCAAGTTAATGCAGTTAATGGTCATGAAACATCCTGACATGACTGAAGCCGAACAGAGAGAAATCTGTAGTTTTAGAAGAAACACGTTAATGACGTATTTGCAATGTTTAGATGGTAGGACGAGTTGGGGGACTCTAATTTCGGCCTTTAGAATTTTGTTAGAGTCGAACGATGATAAGCTTTATGTGGCTTACAATGGAGGCTTACAAATCGTTTTTGAAGTGAGTGTTTCAAAAATTCAAGGTACAAAATAAAAAAACATCTGTTTTTTATTGTAGTGTTTCCAAAACTTGCACATAATGCTACACGAAGCCACCGCTTGCCACGTCTCGGGTGACCTGATGGACATCCTCACCATAATGCAAGACCTCGTTCGCTGCGTGCGTACTTACCGCGACAACAAAGACGCTCGCGGCATCCTCCTCGCCACAAAAGACTGGCTGGAAGTCCTCCGCAAGTTGGCAACACTGCTCAACACGTACAACCCGCCGGAAATGCGTTCGTTATGCATCGACGTGTTGAAGGAGTTTGTCCTGATCATGGCACCGGAAGTGATGCAGATTTTGGTGCCTCTGTTGTCACATTGCCATTCCGCTTTTCAGGATAGTCACGATGCGGTACCGTTAGGGCCGTATTTCCCTCGACGGGGACATACATTGCCCGTAGTAGCCGGAAAAGGGGGCGCAAGGCCCCTAAGACCGATGGTGCAGATGACAGTGCCACATAATCAATTAGAGTGTAGTCGCGGAGTCGATCCTGAATACGACGAAGCATTGGATAAGTTTTACACGCCGTATCATGATTTTATCGATATGTTGTTCAGGTTAGCGGTAAATAATGACACGGTGACGGAGGTTTTGGTTAATTTGAGTGCGGTGGTTGGGTTTGAGGCGGTGCCGTTGCATTCGACGTATTTTCCGAAGTTGTGGTTGGATCTACTCAAAGCGCAAGTAAGTACTTATTAACCACTGATTAACAAACGAGTTCAATATTGTTTTTCCGTAGCACATCGACCGCAAGTACATCTCGATGCTGACAAGTTGCAACTACTTTGTTGACTACATCGACGCTGTTCTCCTTGACGAGAGGTCAGCTCTTACAGTAAATGTAATTTACGAATTCTTGGTGGCATTTTTTCCGAAAGTCTCAGCACACGTCCTTTCTGAACAAACCCTCACAATGATCGACAATACGGTAGTAGCTTTAAGCGAACAAGTTGGATCATTGGAAGTCACAAAAATGGCGAAACGGCTCTCGGGTGATTTGCGAGCGCTGATTTTGGTTTATAGTAGCCCTGAGGCTGTACCTCCGCCCTTGCTCAAAAACACGCTCAAACAATTGCAAAGTAAAGTGAGTGTGGAGATCGAGAAGAGTAGTAAAGGTAGGGATGACACGTGTTTATTTTTAATTTAATGCTTATATTGGTTGCAGATAAGGAAACAAGTGAAAGTTGCGAAACAAAGGAAGATAAACCTAGCACCTCGAAAGACACCAGTGATAAAAAAAGTGACAGTGATTCGGAGACGCAAAATACATCGTGTAGTGACGATAGTGCTGATGAGAAAAAAGGTCCGGTGGAAAATTTAAAGTTGTTGGATACGATACTGAATGAATTACTCGCCATTGTTGATAAAAGGGCTTAATTTCTGATTTTGTATTGACCAATCTAAGTGTTCTTTACACGCTTTTCTATGTGTTTCAAGTTTTGTAGATTTTTGTATATTTTGTAGCTTTAATATCGGCCGAATGTCGGAAATTAGCAGGGTTTTGCCTTAAGTTTAATGAAATCGAATTTTTATTAATTTAAGAATGGATCTAATATAACGTCGTTGAAATGCTTGTAACTCTTCATTGTTTCAGCTTAAATTTTCACTGTAAACTTTTTCATTACAAGACTGTTACAATAAAATATCTCTTTTATATGTTGCAGTGTGACTTTTTCTATTACCCGTTATTAAACGGAAATGATATAGCGTGTCAATTTTATTAAGTTTTATTCTTTTTGAACATTCATACCTCTTTTATGAATCTACAAAATGTAAATACAAAATATAATAATAAACGATACACAGTAGGTGTGTCAAGGTTTATCCATGTGTATTTTCCATATCGTAATTAGCAAATACAAAAAACAAAACTACACATATACAGTGTCTACATAATTATAAGTGATTATTTTATACAAGTAGCATATAGATACACAAGATAATTTAGTTAATAAATCTACCTAAACATTGTAGGTTAAAACTTAGGCGTTTCACTAGTCTCTTGTATAAAAACTAAGCGATCCTTAACGTACCGTCTTACAAGTTTTCAAAAAGATTGGAAAGACCTAAGCTGAGTCAGTCGAAACGACTGCGCATCATACGTCAAATTATCTAGAAGAATTTTTCTAAACTACTGCACAATGCACAGGCAGAACTAGGTACAGAGCATGTGATCAGTACGAAAATTCCTTTGTAACTCTAAAGCTGTATTTACATTTTTGAATCCATGTCCATTTATAAAAACCGAGAAACTTGAAAAATTGACTTCGAAATTCTTTCAGCGTCACTGCTCACCAACTCGCCTCGAAAAAAAAATAACACGATAACTAAACATAAAAAAATCAAAACTAATCCAATATAAAAATATATAATACAGACTTGAGATTAAATTAATTACAAAGTTTAAAGTACATAAGCGTTTACTTTTTGCGACAACCACTGGCCAAAACAAGAGAAAACTAATCCACAGTCGTATCAATACAAAAAATTGCACTTAAATTGCACGCTACGCACACCAAAATAAACTCAAATCTGTGGATGTATACAATGTAAAAAGAACCATCTCGCACAAGTCATTTATTTCACATAAAAATCATAAAGACGCCTCCAATAAACCGAAGACATGAATAAATACAGGGTAATAATTTATGACGCTGATACGCTCTATAAAATACAATTAATAGCTAAATTATAACTATTGGAAACGATTTCGGGCGGGGCAAAGCAATGAGTGTCCGAATCCGTCTTAGGCTTGGTTCCAGTAAGAGGTTTGGTACGGCTGTTTTGCACCCCCTTTGGCCGGATTGGAGGATTGTGACCGATTTCCACTATTGTTTCCAGAATCCTACCGACAAGACCACAATTACCAATCTATAAAACTCCCGGAAAATCCAGAAAACCAAGGCAATACTTGTTAGCGTTTTCACTACAGATTAGAAATAAAAAATAATAAAGCCAGTTCAACAAACAGCAATGCACAAACACAAAACTTAAAGACATGGTGTATCCCGAAATAACTTACCACGCGTCGGCCTTGGTGCCTGACATCCATCTACAAGCAAAATAAAACTAAGTCAACGAAAAACACGTTTGTGATTCATGCTGTTTGTGACCGAAAGAAGCCAAAGTGTCGCCAAAAAGCATGCAGAAATATCGAAAATCACTTTAAACACCGAAAATTACAAATTTCTCAAGTACATCGTGGTACAAACACTTGTCAATTCAAGTTACTTCGAACCACGCTGCACTATAACAGCGTGGACATCGTATGTCAGTTTCTTTTTCTCTCGAACCCTTAAAAAATTACCTGATGTAACGGTTGATGCATCAACTGAGTTGACAGTTGCTGTTGATGCGGTGTCATCGTCGGTATATAGACTTGTGGTCCGTAACCAGTTCCACTAGGCGCCAGGCCTGCGTTCTGTCCATGTAAAGTCCCTGCAAACGGCGGTGGCGTCCCGGAATGGAATCCCTGTTTGTCATACGACTACACCAGAATTAATCAATGATTATTTGTTTCAAATCAAAAACTTACATTAACTTTTCCTAGAGCTGCGTGTGATTTTCCGTACATTGACAAATCATTTCCACTTGAACCGGTAGATGTCGCATTAACACCGCCACCTTTTTGTGCTTGGTTGTTACCGACGTAACCGGTTTTGTTGTAATCTTGCGTTTGACTTAACGTGTCGTAACTGCCGTAGCCGGAACCGTACGTTGCCGGTTTCGGGTACTGGGTGCTGTTACTCGAACCATGGGCATTCGTCGCAGCCGGAAGTTGCTACATTTTCTCAATTATAAAACTTATAAAATAAAATGAAAAATTTACCGTGTACATGCCGAACTGGTAATTAGGAAAGGTATTCAAGGCGGTGAAAAAATAGGGATGGCCGGCCCCGGCGAGTATCGGCTGAGCTTGATGTCCCTGCGTCAAGGAAGTGGTTTGTTGCGAGAGAGTCGAAGGTACAGGCGATGCGTTGTTGTCACCTCTCGTGAACCTCCCATCCGAAGACATCGAATAACCTACGTTGCCCAAAGCGCCATCTCTAACAGCGGCCAACGTCGTCGGAGTCTGGTAACTCATGTCATAGTAGGGAGTCGTCTGAATACATAAACGAACTTGTCACTCTATCAAAACGACTTGCCCAATTTTATAATAAAATATAATGGATTAGCAAGCTTGGCCACTTTCTCAAAGGGACTAAAGCAACAGAATTAGCTTGGACCACTGTTAAATAATTAATTTCAGCATATTATACATAAAAACGGGTGAGTCATTTTGATGCCAATGAGTGAGAAGAAGTTTATACACACGCACATTAACGTGACGTCGTCGCAATCAATTAAACAATTGCGACGGCGAGGTAAGCGAAAGCCAATCACACCCTCGACACAACAAACAAATGAGAATCGGGTGTAATAGGTGAAGGGGAAAATTAATTAACACAAAGCAATACGCCCAAAAGAAACAAAAGCTGACCCAAATTTCACATCAACTCCTAGAGAACAGAAGAAATGTGATGTATAATAAAATAAGCAGGTTTTTGTTTTGCACGCCTGCCAATGTTTACGATCACAAAATATTAGTCACAAAAAAAAATTATGTACAATGTGCCAATAACCCTCTCGATAAAACACACCTGTAGAAAACAAATTATTTACAAAAAGAAGTAGCAATTCAATTGTCACAGCCAAGTAATTTAGTCAAAAAACCTTTTTTTATTTTTCTATTAACCGCATTAGACTTTACTAACAAATAAATTCAATACCAAAAATAATACAATCAAACAGATATAATTGTCTAAAACCTTGATGAAAGAGTTTAAACGCTAACAATTAATCCATAAAACAATCTAAACAAAACACAATAACCCTTTCAACAAGTAACTAAATATGTTTCTTTCCCCAAATAACCCATCCCTGTCTCGTATATTTATTCACTTTCACACAAAATTGAAGCCTCTATTTCCACACACAGTGCAAACACATGCTTGATTAATCAAAAAGAAGGCAACAATACACACCATATGTGGCATCCTCTGCTGCAACATTTGTACTTCTTCATACGAGTAAACGGGCGGTTGGAAATACGGTACTTGTCCCATGATATACGGCGTACTCATCACTGGCGCCACACCTGGAGGTATATTTGAAACAACACTACTCGAATTCTTTGCCGCTATAATAAATCAATTACAATCATTCCTACAACCGAAAAACAAACAAAAATCCCTAGGCTCACCTAACGTCGTTGTTGATTTCGTCACCGAGATAGTGCTCTGGGACAACGACAGTGCCGTCGTCGATGTTACATTACTTGATGTCGTAGTTTGAGTGTTACTAACAGCGTTCGAAGAGCTATCGTAACCACTGTCCTTGCCTAGTTTGTGGTTACTTGCTGAACTGTAGCTGTTGTACTGACTCGTCGTTGTGTTGCCCAAATTCGAACTGTTGCTCAAACCTTAAAAAATAAAAATCACAAAAATTTATTATCAACTTGGGAATACCAACCGGTATTAGCACCATAAACGGATTGACTGGAATTCTGTTGATAAGATTGATTATTCGAGGGATACGAATTTGCCTGACTTATCGATGGAAAAGCACCAGCATTCGCGTTCGACTGATAAGAAGACGCCGACGAATAAGCATTTTGATAAGGAGTGTTGTAGGGAGCCGCTTGACTGTTCGCGTAATTACTGTTAGCTTGATTTGAAACGTACGAATTGGAAGTCTGAAAAAGATATTTATGTAATTCTTGGCAACATACTTATGGTAACGTTTTTAAATACACAAAATCAGATTGCCTTAAATCACTCTTATCGGGAATTTCCACAACAAAGACTCAATCAACCAATAAAAAACTTATCGGTTAAAAGAAAACAAAGTCATACGAAAGACCCTTCAGTCTCGTCATCGTTTCATCATCAAAATATATACAAAACCTCTCTAATACAATCAAATATTTTACCTGCGTGCCGCTATACGTCGACGCGTTATACGTGTTGGTTTTCTGCTGGTAGGAATTATATGTCGACTGTTGTGAGTACGAATGACTTTCGCTTTGTTTACCGATATCAAGACCCGACGGTGTGACTGATGGGGTTGCCGTACTGCCAGTCGTTGAACTCCTCGGAGCCGTATTGTAGGCGTTTGTTAAATGTTCACTTGTTTGTGGAATGCTATCCGTTAGCTGAACACAAATTTAAAAATAAATAATTAAATCACGGTTTTGCTTTTTTTAACTTACGCTCTGCGTTAACGCCGAGCTAATACTGCTTTGTGTATTAGATTTGGGTGAATATGCGTCAAGAGTGGAATTTTGATTTGTACTGAGATCCATGTTAGCAGTCGACGTCACAGTCGTATTATCCAAACCTGCAGGATTGGATGAACCGTACTTGTTATCGTTAACGTTATCGAACGAATTACTGTCCGACATGAAGTCCATAGCACCGAACTGGACGTCCAAGTAGCCTATGCTACTGTTTAGATCTCCTGGCATCTCGACCGCACTTGCAGGAATCTGTAATGATCAATAATAAGTTTTAAATCAAAACACAACAAAACTAAAAAAGAAAAAAGTTCCTTTTTAATCAGGCTGCCGATTAATCAAAGTACAACAAAAAGTAACAAAACCTCAACGAAATCGATAAAAAACTTATCGAAAATCGAGAGAAATCGAACTTTTCAATGCCTCAGTCTCGTCATCAAGTCTCATCATTCAACTGTTTTTTTTTTCTTATTGGTTATTAATTATTAAAAATAAATTTATTTTAAATGTATTAATTATTTTAAACAATTATGAAACACTACATAGAGTAGTCTAATCGAGAAACAAATCCGTAACTGCAACTTTTATTTGCATTCAAAGGAATTGTTACAAACCTTGGACGGAGGCGGCACCCTAGCCCTCTGCGTCTTAGTCCTCACCGGTTGTTGCGCCGCTTGTTGTTCTCCTGCATTATAGTTATTATTTCCCGTCTGATACGAACTGTTCACGTAACCGCTTGGCGAACTGCCGTACTGTTGATTGCTCGTGTATGTCTGATTCGCCGTTGTGTTCGCACCCGAGTTGTATACCTGACCCGAATTTTGAGCGTGATAAGTATGAGCACTGCCGTACTGCTTTAAGTTATCGCTGTTTTGTTGAGTGAGTTGGTTGAGATACTGCGTCTGTGCGGCGTTCAATGTCCCTCCAATCTGAACAGGACTCTGCGAAGGCAACTGACCGGTGCCAGCTTGGAGGTTTTGACCGAGTTGTTGACCGGTATTGATGACCGCGTTGTCCATCGACAAGCCGACGTTCGAAGGAGCTTCATTGATCGCATCGATAGGTGCCGCAACACTCGGCGTGAACACTTTCGTGTCGGCCAAGCTGCCGGTGTACTCTTCAGTCGTCCATTCATCGGTGCCAGGAAAATCATCCCAATTTTCTGAAAAATAAATCAACACAAATGCTACTACGACGATAATTAATTTCTTTTAAAAGCACATTTTTACATAGGGTTTCTCATAAAATCTTACTTTTATCGCCCTTTTAAAAGGCTCAATAGTTGAAGACGTATAAAGATTATGCAAGTATTAAACAAGATCATTGTTCTATTTGGTAATTTTTTTATTGGTATCACTAATTTTAACATTAAAAAATACAAACAAAAAGATTTTTTAAGTCTATAAGCATTTAATAAAACGAAAAATAGGTAAGAGGGTTGACTTGCACTCAAGTATTTCATTACATGCTGAGTAAACAACTCAAATATATCAAAACGAGGTTTTTAATGTTTCTTCAACTCAAAAAATCAATTCAAATTGATATTTTATTGGCAAGAAAATATTTCTTACATTCTTCGGCCTCGTCTTACCTGTATGGTTCGTTGCGGCCACCGTGCTGTTATCCCACGTGTTGGAATTATCCCACGTGTCGATCGGTTTATTATAGGCATTGCTCCGACTTCCCCTCGGCGGAAATCTGCCTCCGGCCCGTCCGCCGCCTCTTCCGCGTCCGCCACCAGGACCACGCGTCGATCCCCCAGGTCTGCCGCGACGATCGCGGTGGAAATCGCGACCGCTACCGCCGCCCTCTTCGAGGTTACGCTCGTTCTCTTGTTTCTCTCGGCCACGCCACCCGCGATTGTCGTTGTGTCGGCCGTGAAGACGAGGTGGGCCGCTCTTGTTACGCGGTTTGTCCTTCTCGTTACCATTGCCGGCGCCGCCACCACTACCGGTAGACGGAACGTCGTTCCATTCGTCACCACCGGCTGTCTCCTCTGTCTTTTCCTGCTTGCTAGCAGACGCTTGGCGGTTCTTTTTCTTTTTAACCGTAGTCTCCCACTCACCCTAACAACAAAAATGTCACTTCTAATTAAAGCTCAAGCTAAAACAGATTTATATACAGGGTGTCAATTTTAAAACTTGCAATCGGCAATATCTCTTGAAATGAAAAAGTCATTGAAAATCAAAAACGGTTTCGGTGGTTCCTAGGGGGAATCAAAATGACATGATAAGTGACGCACATCCATCCACCCCTGAAGCCACAGCTACCCCAAATTGAAAATTTTAAAAGACGCGACCCTACTTGTGATACATCATTGGCAAGCGTTCTTCAAAAATGTCATACTACAGCCTATTTGGTAAAGCTGTTTCAAAAACAAAAACGTTAATATTTTTTTTATTATATTCAAGAGTGGGTGAAGGTGCGTCACTTACCATGTCATTTTGCTTCCCCCTAGGAACCACCAAAACGGTTTGAGTAATTCTCAATAACTTTTCCAGTCGAGATATTACCGGCTGCAAATTTTCAAGTTCACACAGTATATATAAAGATTGAAACAAAATGACCATGAAAATAAACCAGTTATTTTTTATTGTTACAAAAAAAATTTACTATCATAAAAATTGGAAGCAACGTTTTATTAATTCTGAACATTACAAATATATCTGAATACGTAAAAAATCAAATTATAAAAGAAAAGAAATGGAAATTGTATAAATTGATGCCACGTACTTTAGCCTTGACCATGACAAATTGATGTAATTTCCGGAATTATAAATACAGAATTTTTAGATATTAAAAAAGACCTTTATTTTTTTAATTTGTTTTTTACTGTTTGTCTAAATATGTAAATGTAACTCTATTAAAATAAAAATTAAAATGATTAAAAGGTTACAACTTTGTGAAAAGCTTTATAATAAAAATTCACAACAACGAATCTGTAATCTTTTATTCACTTAATTTTTTGATGTAATCATCAAAAAAACAAAATAATGTTCTTTCTTATTAAGAAAAAAAATTAATTTTTTAATACAATGGAAGATGCGCAATTTTGGACATTAAATTAATGTCAGTTAAAAAAATTTCAATGTAAGCCAGGCTTTATTGTCATTATGATTGACGTTTGAAACTAAAATTTCAGAGTTTTAGTTAAAATTTATTTTTGGCTTCGATTTTCCGAAACAATAATGCCACCAACACATATATAAGTTCAATAAATTATTTTAATTTGTCATTTTTTCTCTAGCTGTTTATCTTTAAACTTTTTCTCTGATTTCACTAAATTTTATTTAACTAGATGTTTTAAACATACATTACTTTTTTTTTTTTCATTCATTAATTATATCTATACAATTCACCTTTATATTAAATTTAAAAAAAATTATACACTTTTAAATCGACATATATCGACCGTTGTTTACATATGTTTATCAGATACTCCATTGTTAGTGTTTTGTTTTTAATTTTTGACAGCAGTGAAAAACAGTACAAAAAAGTCGTCAAATCCGTCAAGCATTGACATAACTGCCACAATTTATTGAAAAAACGACTAGAAAACTAAGATGTATAGTTTTTAATTCTTGTTACAAAAAATTCAAATTATTCACAGAAAACTGTGAAACAATACTCACTTGCCCCATATTTTCCAAAAGCATATTCATGGCCGCGTTTTCATCAAAGTCGCAATCATGTAGGGCAAGACAAACCTCCTCTTCAGACCTTTGGGACATCTCCATCAACTTCTTAACTTTTTCCTTAATCAATGGATCTTCTGATTTTGCATGTGTGTTATCTCTGTTTGCTTGCTGCTTGTCTGAACCTTTCCCTGAGACACGCATATTACCACCCGCGTTCTCAAAAAGCACCCCAAACTCACCTGTGTCGGATTTATCTGATTTTTGTGTTTTGTCAGTCTTTGACCCTTTTCCACCTTTAGAGGTGGTTCGATTGCTCGAACTCATGATTTGTACAGTATGTACAGTGTACTATTTACAAACTATCTGTAAAAAAATAAAACCATTAAATAACATATTATGTGGAGAAGTAAATATCGCCGCTGTTGCGAAATAACTGATTTTCCGGCTGAATTTGTGGCAATAACAAAGAGGCGTCACGGGGTAAAGCGCGCGTGGGGCGGATAAGAAAAATAACGGGTCTGGGAACACCGATGGGGCGCGTACGATGGAAAGAAAGCCCCCAGTGGCCGATGACCACTTTTATACCATGTGGAGGGACGCCATTTCAGAGCTTGTAAAGCAGTTCATGACAACCAAACAGTACGAGAAAATTACGCGATTTCGGGGAAATTTGACTCGATCGAGGGCTGAAAATCGGAAGCTAGAGCCCAAATTGCACACCATACCTTAACAAACACTCACTAATGATCTTAAATCAATCGAAAACGAGAACGTTAACCATACCTGTATAATTCAGTAAAACCACAACGCACTAGTAACTGGTCACGTGATCACGTAAAATGGCGGATGGACGTTTGCCAAAAGCGCGCCAAATTACCGACTGAGACTGACGCTTTTATTCTCGATTTTTGAATTTAATCAAATAAATACAAAATTTCTTTTTTAATATAATTTTTTTTCTTAAACAAATTAATTATTAACAACAACTTCAATTTAGAAAAGTTAAAGTATAGGCCGTAATTGTTGTGTTTTTTTCTTAATTTAATAATATTTGAATGGAAATGACGCGGAAGTGGCTACGGTGCAATGCCCTGATTTTTTTATTCTTTCTTCTTTTATTTACATATTTAATTTTTTATACCATCTCATTTCACAATATTATTTGCTTATTTTGCTTTTTTATTATTAAAACATTTGAGTTGTATTTCTTCAATAGTACTTATGCTTTTGTTATTTGTACCTACGCATTTTGTATTTCTTGTAAGGTAATTGAACGGGTTCAGGGACAAACATCGAAAAGAATTGCTGAAGAACTGCTGAAAAATATCTTATGAAGGTTAGATATGGAAGAATATGAGAAAAAAATACGGAAAAAGGACAAGCAGCACAGGTTTCTATTTTGCACAGTTAATTGCAAATGGCGGCAAGAATTAAAACAAGAACATTTAAAAAAAAATTACAAAAAAGATATCTTACAAAATTTCACAAAGTTGTAGGTACTTCATGTTGCGTGGGTGTTTACTACGTTTAAATTCGTTTGTTCAAAAATAAATTGTTTTAATGAGCGCACCTTGAAACGCGAGGTGGGTTTGAGATGCCCTAAAAGTACGAATAATTAATTAATGAAAAATTGAAAGAAAAAAAACTCTAATTTTTTTTACATTTCCCGTTTTTTTTTTTTAGAATGTAGATTGTATATCCGGAAAATGTACAGGATGTTTCACATAATTTTACGAGACCTGCGCCTGTAAGATGCAAAAAATAATACATATTGGGATACCAACTCGATTACAAATTTTGGAAAATTAGATAATCTTCTCTAGTTTGTTCACCCTTTCAAAAATTACAACGTTTTTAGTTAGTTAGTGATTAAGATAGATAAACTAGAATCATATGTATTCATGCCGTTTTTTGATAGAACAAATGATAATTGTTTCTGAAAAACTGCAACAAGCTTATTAGTCTAAAATGCATATAAATAACTCTTTTTTATATTTATGTGCATCGAGTAGGTTATAAAAGTCTAAATGCATCTTTAATTTAAAGGCCAATTCACACAAAAAAATGTCATTAATATCATTCAGAACAAATTTAATCACATCAGTGATGACAAATATTTTTAAGATTGCCAGTCTATGTTGATTTTAATTATTTTATGCTACCTGGGGTACACATTTATTTGGAAAAATAATTTTTAGGAAATTTAGGATTGTTTGAATTTTCGCATGGTTGCCACCTTAAAATGATCCCTTTCAACGACTACTTTGATGCACATTAATATGAAAACGAGTATACCTACGATTTGCCAAAGTGATTACTGATTGCCACACACATTTAGTTATTTAGCAGTTTAGTTATTTAGATACCATATCAAACGACTCTTGTATCATACCTATACCTATTATGTAAGAAACAAGTCTTCAGGGAAAAGATGATTTTGCTGCTTTGACCGCCATTGCCATCTTTTCTTTCTTCTGATTTACCATTCCAAATTACAAAAAAAATATATAGATATTTTTAAATAAGAAGAATTTATAAAAAAACAATTTTTCTTAGCCTTTGGTCTACGGAAGTGAAGCGGTAGGTATACCCAAATCTATAAAACCAACTGGAAAGCTTATTTCTTGATGGCGTTTCTGTATTGTTGGCTGCCTATAAAGCAAATGACCATAATACTATTATTGTTAAAAAATAGTTAGTTTTTATTAATGTAATAATTTTTCAGCTGGTACACAAATCCTGCTAAGGTAACTTTAATCAATCATTGCCGAATTTTTGTCAAAAACTTCAAAATACCTATGGTGCAAGAACAAATTATACAGCTTGCTGCTTGACTCATCATTGAGATCTCTCTTTTATGACTTTCTTCGGCTTCATTATGGCTGACTCTCCGTTCCAGCATCTCCCCCGATCACCAGTCATTCTCAAATAATTTGCATTTTTCAATAAACAAACCAGTTTCGGAATGTAGGCCGAAATTTCTCTCTGGTGGGACAAAGATGTCTTCGTCAGTTCGCCTATTTGGCGCTAGAGGGAAAACGCATTCCAACTGCCATTTAAAAACTGTCGAAATCAAGCTGTGACGTGTGGCAAGGGCCGTTCGCCCCAGTGTTTACGTGTTTGTGTTTCGTAACCTAAAATGCACCCCAGTCGGCGGCGAAAAAAGCGCCCCAATTACGGCATTCGGACCGTAGAAGTGCTGCGGGGCTCTAACGGCTTTGGCTTCACCATCTCGGGCCAGCAACCCTGCATTTTGTCGTGTATTGTGGCGAATTCTCCAGCGGATCATGCGGGACTCCGGGCTGGCGACTTCCTCATATCTGTCAACGGGATTTCTGTATCGAAAATTACACACGATGCCGTGGTTAACCTCATCGGGAACTGTGTGGGGCCCATTAGGATGACCATAGCGGAGAATTATTACTCAGATAGTAGTGAAGAGGAGTTGGACGTGAGTCGGATGATGGGGGCCCGCAAACCCAAATATATGCACAAGCCGAGGACACACAGGTGCTATAAGCAGTCCCCGAGTGAGAACACGAAAAAACACAACGAAAATATCAAATACAATGATGAAAATTCGGGAAATTTGCTCAATATTTCGAACCAAATGTCAGTGGAAGACGAGGCGGGGCCCGTCGAATATAAAGCTCTGGTAGGCTATTTGGGGACAATTGAAATGCCCAAACAACTGTTGCCAAATTCGAGACTGCAAACAGTTTGTAGTTGCATAAGAAAATTGAGGCAGGAAAAACGGGCCCCCACAGCTGTCTTAATGACAATATTCCCGACTTGTCTAACACTAAAAAATTCTTCAAACCATATTCTTGCCATATACCCCACAAATCGGGTAGTTTACATCGGAAGCACCGCTGATAGGGAATCTCGTTACTTTGGGTTGGTAACAAGTGCCGTTTCCGACATGAGAAGTACCGAAAATCTCAGACACTTTCAATGGCTCGATGACAAAAAATTCAACAACACGGAACCGGAAATTGAAATCTCGAATAGTTGTCACGTTTTTATGATTGATCCAAAAATCGTGGACCACAGCGTCCATGCCAAAAAAGCCGACACCTTTAAATTTACTTGCACGGCTGACGTCATAACAGGAAGCTGCCTTGAATTTCCTCGAAACGCCCTGTACATAGTAAATCTCGTGCAAACAATGTATAAATTACAAAATAACGAAAGCCCTAAAAATGACGAGGCTAGTTTGGGCCCCCTGGTGGCAAACTCTCCTCAACCCAGTGCTTCGAGCAACTCCGATTCCGGGATCGGATTCCGAGATGATTGTGGGAATATCAGCGACCGGATCCTGGTAGTGGAATTTCCGACTCATAGGCCGTTTCCTGTTGTCAGTGCTACCAACAATCGGCCTTCTGGAATAGACGCCTCGAGTATCCCTCTTGAGTCATTAGACCTACCCCTAAATAACGAAATTTCTAATAAGATTCAGGATATCAAGTCGAAGCAACTGAATAACTTGAATAACATCCGAGCGTGTGGGTCTGTCAATATTAAGAACGTATTGGGAAAGAATGACAATTACTTTTTGACGAAACAAAACAACGACGGGGATATTTACAACCGGTTGACTTGTCGGGCGATGCTCGATAGGCCGTTAAGGGTCACAAGGGGGCTATCACCGACTAGTTCTGATGACAACACGAAAGTCCCCGAATCAAAATCATCAGAGACACTTTCAGTGTCCGAAGATGTTGATTTTCAAAGTTCGGTCGATAATATTTCAACTCATAGTTCGAAAAGTGACTTAAAGGGGATTTTTAAAGCACCCAGTATGTTTCTCTTTGAAAGCAAAAAGTTGAAAAGGCAGAATAAGATGGTGAACAGTTGCGATAATTTGGATAAATTTGAGGAGAACATTATGAACTATAAATTGAGTCCGAAAGTTTACGGATTGTCTAAACCCAATCACAGTTGCGAGGAGTTGAATAATTTTGATACAGTTGAGAAGTATGGGTATGGCAGCTTGCAAGAATTGTGTAGGTGGAATGAACAGGGGAAAATGAGGAATATTGCGCAGAGTGAACCCGATGTGAGGATGCAGAGGAATGGGATGGAGGTAAGAATGTTTGGGGGAAATTTGAGTAGTTTTGGGGGAATTACCTACTAACAAATCTGTAATTTTAGCCTTGTAGAAGTTGAAGTAGTTTTTGTGATTTTTGAGGTTGCAGAGTCGACAGATATCTAAATGCAAAATGTTAAGAAAACTCCCTATTTCTGTTTGAAAAAAAATATTAATTGTTATAAACTTTTTAAAACAATACAAAAAATAATATAAAAATAACACAAAGAAACTTCGGAAAGACAATTATTAATACCTGCTTTCTCTTTGTTACTAAAGCGGATATTAAGTTACGTTTTAATATTTTTTTTTAATTAGAATTTTTTTTTTCAAGTTTTAGAAAGTTATTTTTAATTTATCTGTTAATTAATGGATTAATAAGTTGTGAATGAGTGGTTGCGATTTTTTTATTATTTACTATTATTTTTTTAATGTTTTCCCCGAGTGTTCTGCAACACAAAATACAGACTTTGGAATATATTTTTTTATTTAATATACAGGGACATTTTTTTATTAGTATACATAGCCCTATGTATACAGTTAAAAAAACCGGGTCAATTTCATAGGTAGGCTACCAATATTTCAAGCATTTACAGGATGGGTACTAGATGTTAAAATATTCAAAATTAAAATTGTGTGTCAAGTTTGTCAAGTGTGAGTCTTGAAACTTAAAGTGCATCTTTAAAAAGTTAATACCATTTATGATACTATGTACACCAAAGTGAATCGGGTCCCATCGCATAGCCCCCACGATCGCCAGACTTGGCACCTATCGATTGTTTTCTTTTTTTAAAAATAAAAATTTACACTAATGCAAAATTTAGAAGAGCTGAAAGAACATATTCGTACAGGAATGCAGTGACGGGGTTTTCAAAATCGCTTGGGTTATTGTTTGGAACTGCAAGGAAAGCATTTTGAACACTTGCTTTAATTATTAAATGTTTTGATATTTTTTTTAATTAATATTTAATTACATTTACTTTGTTGTTTTTAAAAGTTTGTCTTTTATTTATCGATATTAAAGCCTTTGTAAAATTGGTTGTCCATGCCTAGACTAACGGCTACTCGTAATTGCCATAGTAACATTGTCCCTGTATGGTATGGAATCATCATCAACGAACCGTTACATCTAATATTTAATAATTCGTGCGTTTATTAAATTCTCTTTTTTAGTATTTTATACAGTTAGCAAATATTGAGTATTGAGCAATTTTAGAGTTTGTTTTACTTTTATGTTCCGCCTACACAGAAACATGAAACGTCGTTCGAGTAACAAATTACGATACAACTAATTTAATAATAATTAATTTAAAAAAATAGTGAGTAGGTGGGCTTCTACTTTTTTATTATTGTTTGCACAATATTTCGGAATGCGAAGTGTTCTCGCCCGACTCAATGGATATTTCAAAGTTTATTTAAAAAAATAAGTAGGTGGACAATTTCGAACTTGAATCTATTTATAATTTTATTCACATTTGACTCATTACTCAAATACTTCACATCACTCGTGACGCATGTAATCTGACAACAATGCTTCCATAAAGCCATACGAGCTGAATTATTAAAATTTCAACTCTTCCGCTTTTCCTCGAACGAGAGCGTAATAAATTCATAATTTTTCACTCATCTTATTAAAGGAAGTCGTTAAACATAGAAACAAAACAAACAGCAGAATGTAGCGGTTTTGTGGGAGAAAGGCAGAAATTTACTTTTTTATTATTTGTTTATTTGCTTATTTATATCTGTACCGATTTAACATCTCGGTATTTAGTTCAAGTGTTTTGTCCGATATTGCAAAATAAAGATTCCTCGTATCCCCACTCGGGCAATTTCTCAATGAAATTGAACGAACTTGGACGGTCACTCAGTAGCGTTGAATCTGTTGGGTGTGTTGTTGAGATTAGAATTGTGCGCGAAAGCAATCTAAAAACATGGCATGTGTGTGTTAAAATGTGTCGCCGATTTTAGTACAGTCATGGAAATATGCCTGTAAGTCGGTCATAATTACTACTCACGGGATTAATTGGGATTGTAGGTTGACGGCTTAATTAACTCCAATGGGAATTCAAGGGCGCTGGTAATTTTTTCCGTCTTTGAAAGTTATTAGAAAGCGGATGAATTGTGAGAGATTTATGATATCGTTGTAATTACAGTCGGGTGCACTTGTCCAAGGGATTCAAATCCCGGAATTGTGTGCTAATTATTGATAAGTGATAAAGATCATTGACGCCAGGTGTTATCTCTTTTTGCGAATTTTCACGGGTCATAAAACTTTTGACGATTTTGATTTCGAGTGCGTCACAAAGAGTAAATAATATTTGTGATTCGGTGTGTCATTTTTTCGGGTTGCGGTTTCTTCGAGTACTCGAAAGGAAATGACTTTTACCACAATTTGTCATGTTTTTCATGTAAATTTGTAGGAAGTTTAGGGCACAACGCGTGGAGTAACAGTTCAATAACTTATTAAATAAATATTTTGCAGGGGTTTAGGGTCGTGTTACATAACGGTACTTACATCGATTTGGATAAAAGCGTAATTAAATGAAATCAAATACATCGTGCTGTAATTAAAAAGGAATGGTAACAATTCGAAACTTTTCCAATCACTGCCTGGAAATAATTTATTCATCAAAAGATTGTTCAATTGAATACATAACAAAGGAAATGTTCCATATTTTTGTTTTATAACGTTATTTTTAACAGATGTTGAGAGAAACTTTCTATTGTTAATTATTCTTAAACAGAAAGTTTTCGTAATGATAATAGTGAATATTCGAAAAATTAAAGTCACTGTTTAAAAATAATTATTCATGCTTACAACTGGGGCTTTTAAAAGGGTTTTATTTTCCGAAATTTTAAGGGTAATATACATATTTTTATTTTTATTTGTGGTACCTAATAAATTTCTATTAAAACATATTTGTCTATTTTTGATTTTGTTTTTTCCACGTTGTCAAACCGTAAAAATCTAATTTTACCAAATCTTTAAAAATCCGTACCTAAAACCTTATTGGTTGTTCATTTATATTCCAAGTATTCAGTGTTTGTAAAATAAAAATTCCTAATTTTGGACAGTGGCATCAATCTAACATAAAATATGTATGTACTTGTAATTTTTTGTAAATGGATTACCAATCTAAAAATATTAAAGTAATATGCGATTTGAGTGTATGTATATGAAATGTTCTATAAGAAAATAAAATCTATTGGACGACAATAATATCAGTTTTTTTTCAGAAGGTTAGAGATTAGAAAATTGCGATTGTTTTATTTTTGTTGTACCTACATCTAAGACGAAATATATAAATTATCTAATTAGAGTAGGCCATGATTTTTGTTCACACTTGGTGACAATGAAGGTCAAACCATATCCAACATATCATCTGTCACATTTAAGGTTAATTTTAATTGGCAACATTTAAAAACTTGCCAATTCTCATAAAACAAATATTTCTAAAAAGTTGTATTTTTCCGATAGTTCTAATTTTGACAATTGTTACGTCAATGCCATCAACCATGCTACAAAAATTCGAGCAAAAAATCTCTGCCTACTTAGAATATGAATTTAAGTGTTTGTTTATTGGTAAAACTGGATTGAATAAAAATTTATTTATCCATGATTGTGTGGGGGTTGGTATTAAGACGCCTCGATTGTCCATCATCTTCAATGATAATCTAAAAATACGTAGAAAACTGGCGCCGTCCTTTGTCGATGAACGCTCGTTTCATCGTCCCAACCTCGCTACTAATTAGAAAAAAATTAAAATAAAAGCTCATATTAAATGTTATAACGGATACTTTGTTGCATTTCTCTGAGTACTTCCCCGAGTTAATACCGTCGGTATTTACGGTTAATGAGAGTCAATTGTACTAATTGCGCTTACAATGTGAACGCGTTAGTACAGTTAGTTTGAATGTTGTGAAACAATGTCAAGCCGGTTTGAAAAAAACACATTTGATTTTTTTACTTTTACTTTCCTTTTTTTTTTTGAACGTGTTTTAATTAATGGGAAACTGTGAACATTGTTGTTAAACAAGGCAAATTGTAACAGCAGGTGAAACCGCAAGGACAACAAATTCAAAGAGAAAAAATGTTTTCGTCGAAAGGAAATGATGTCGTTTTCAACAAATAATAGCAATTAATGCCATTTATGACGGTGCTTACGCACTACCAACGTCAGAGAGTCCCTCGGTAATTTGGTCTTAATGTCACACCTTTTCATAATTGGTTATAAATAATGCATCGGTGGTACACGTGATTCATTATAGGTAGATTGGATCAGGATCAGAAAAATTGAATACGTGTTAAGTAATTTTATGAAGAGATCTAATTGAATATCGGTTAGATTGTGTAACGCTATTGTGAAAATCGAAATTTAATGAGTTATAAAAGTGACACAAATGGGGTGCTATGAAACTGAGAATTTATGCATACAAGATTGAGTGGAACGATTAACGTTTTTGCGAGATATACTTACGTATAAGGGGAATCTAGACTATCGACTTTATAAACAGAAGTAATAAAAATGGAGGTTAAAATTTATATATGAGAACAATTTTTTTTTGAATATTAAATACATATTTTATTAAAAAGTATAGTCTTTAAAAAATTAATTTGTCTTAAATTGTTTCAACAATTACTGTAATTAAACAAAGCTGGTTGTCATCTATTCTCTATAGAATTTTAATGAAAAAAACAATCACTAAGTAATAGCATCTACATACATATTTAGTTTCATATCACTATTACAACATATTACTAAAATTATTGATTTCGATATTATTTACAATTTTCTTATTTTTGTACACAGAGTTATTCATGATGTTCTAAAAAAATATGATGCCTTTAAAAATCCACTAAAAGGTAAAAAGTAATTTACACATATTCAAATTCATAAACTAATTTAAAATATTTTTTCCTACAAGGAAAAAGTCTATTCAATCAAATCAGTCAAGGAACTATTTTCAGGGTTTAAAATTACCAGCCGCTGATTAGGTTTGTTTGAATAAAACCGTTTCAAAGTGAGTAAGTTTTTGAATGAAAATGTTATTTCACTTCCTCCACAGTTCCGCAGTAACCGACAAAATGGAACTACAGAGAGGGTGAAAAAATAAAAATCTCACGGAAGTATTTAACTGCACCGATAATATTATCAGTAACGTCTCTTTATTTACTCAGTACTCGAAAGTAAATCAATTTCAAGCCAAGAAACCGATGTGGGTGTTCTATGATATCGCTCATATTTATTTTCGTGGAGAAATAGTATGACAGAACATAACATTTTTGCACCTGTTTTGAAGGCACCTGACTCGACCGTTTTAATTTATTTCCATGTACCAACTGTTGCCTTTCAGACTATGACGTTAGATTATTTCTGTATTGTTCCCTAAAATATTTACATCCGTTGTAATACCCGCACTTTTCATTCATTCGACTCGATTAACTCAAACCGGGTGTGTTTCAGTGTTGTGTCTTTATCCCATGATTTTTCGGTGAGTTATAAAATAAATCAATCTGAATTAATTGTGGGAAAATGCTGTTACACTTGTTGCTCCGATAAGAGAGTTTCAAGAACGGAAACAATAATGACAGAATACGTAATTTAATAACATTACTCAGATTCGCGGACGCGTCAGGAGATGATAAATCAAGAGGATTTTTCAAAGCCAAGAAAAGCCAAGACAAACACAAAATAATAGCAACGAAAGTGTTGTCTTATTTTATTTATGCATTTGTCGGATAAGTGATTTAATTGGTGGCCTTCGGCCCCAAATGATCGTTTATTGTTTATCCATACGTGTAAATTTGTACGTAGATTAGATTAGCACCTCTTCGTTTTTTCACCTTTTGTGGCAGTCAGTGCGCAACTTTATCGCCATAGGTGCGCTCGTATTTTTTTCCTAATGGAGCTTCGACAAACAGAGTTTATGTGAATTTTTAAATGGATACCTTATCGAAAGTTTACAATCACATCGTTTGTGAGTTATTTTATCAAAGAACGGGGTGAGTTTAAAAAAATCCCTTTCACATAGGTACTATGTGCACTTGTATATCACGTGATTGTTTTATTTCTGCTGTATGAACATAAACAATCTCCCATATAAAGTGGCTAATTTTGTTAATTAAATCAGTAGCTGAGGATTATGCAAAAATAACTCCTCATGGATTATTTCAGGTCGGCTTGTTATGACACGTGCTGTTTTATATTATTATTTCATATTATGTGATTTAAATTAACTTGAATAAAGATGATTTTTCCTTATTTTTTTCACAAATATTTAAAGTCGCACCTACGAGAAATCATTTGTAAACATAATTTCCGGGTATATTTATCAACTACAAGCAAAGTAAATAGTTTTAGATTTTGCTATTAGATATCAGATACCGAAAATTTTGCGGTTTTTAAACAGGTTAGGTTAAATACTTTTTTGTAATTTGCCTCCATTTAGATTCTCTAATAGACATATTAAAGAACGCGACGTCTTAATAGTCAAAAGGCAACTAAATCATTTAAAATTACACGGCAAATTACAAAAAATTGTATAAAAAACGCGTTTTATAAGACCTTGAAGCATTCATTCTTGTGGCTGCGCCACCCATTTTTTGAATTTGGATTCGTGTTTCAAGACTGGTCTTATGAAACTTGTTTTTTAATATACTATTATTATCTACGACTATGGGACAAATGTCACTTTTTCTACTCATTTTGAGTGGGATAAGAACTTTCTCTGATCACACTCATTCTCATTACCAAATTAATTTTTATTAGACAATTTACGAGCAAAACTTTTATTTTTTTTAATAAGAACTATCTACATGATTTATTATAACACAATTATTTATTAACAACAAGATGTTTGCATTTTGAAAAAGCTTATTTCAAAGGAGAATAATTGGTTCGAAGTTTGATTTTAATGAAAAATTATTGATTGTCAAAAAAATAATTCAAAACGTCATAAAAATGTCAAACAAAAACTGAATAATTTTTCAATTTACAGTCGTAGATAAAGTTTTGTACGTAAGACGTAGGATAGAAGCTTTGCAATACTCGCGCTAACGCACTCGTCGCGCTCTTACTGTAATGGCTTCCTTATCCTACTTGTTACGTAAATAACTATTTTACGATTAGATATCTTTACAAATACCCAAATTCCAATTTTCTTTTTCAAAAAAATCACTCTACGTTGCATTTTATTATTTAATTGATTAATTGATTAATATCTTTTATCTATAAAAAAATTGAACCAAAATTTTAAATTAATATATCTACGTAATTATTTATTTAATAAATTATTTAAGTTGTCGCAAATATCAACGATGTTACCTAATATTTTTTATATAATTTTAATTATGTTATATGAATATGAAAAATGTAAAAATTTTGCTTACTTTGTTCTTCTAAATAAGTAGAAAATTAAATCATCTTTTTAATCGATTTTTTCTGATATTTCAATTATAAAAAGTCCTAACAATATTTCAGGGCAATTCATCATCTTTATGACTTATACTTATATACTTACAGTAATTAGTGTTTGTAAAAGAAAAATATTTTTGGAATTACACATTGCAGATTGCAGCACACATATGAATGTTTTAATTTTCTTTATTTAAGAATTTATCTGTTTTTTGGAAAACAGGTTTATCTTATTTTGATCTATTTATTGACAGATAATTTATTTTTAAAAACAATACAGAATGTCAGATCATGATTATAACTTTAAGATCTCATAATATTTATTTATTTATTTATAGACATATACTAATATATTCAATTTGATGCAAGTAATGTAATAATATTAACTTAATTTTAGTTTTATTTTAATTAAAACGTCGCTCTTCAAAAATGTTAAAAATTATCTTAACTACGCGAAAAAAATTCACCGTAGATATCCGAATGCACGCAGTTTTTTTCCAGACTTATAATTTATAAATAACTATAGATACAATGTTTGTAGTTGATGGTAATAAAATTACCCATTTTTTAAATTTTGTAAGTGAATTTGTAAAATAAAAACAATGTAAACAAGCCAAGGGCACAATTTTACAGCTTGTCCAATCAAAATTACAGTGTTCGCATCATGACTGACCTGAATCATGATCTTGCTTAATTTAAACTTTCAATAATCGCAAATAACAATAATTGTCTTGAGTAACATTGTCTGGAACCGTTGTAAATTCACTTCAAACCATGACTTATTTCTTGCTTGATTCATACGAGTATAATTACTACCTTAATGAAATTACTCATTCTAAACTTTATTACACTGTAGGTATTCGAATTACCCAATATTTTTTCACACTAAACATTACAAGACAAAAAATCAACACAATAATTATCTTGGCGGAATGTACGGTCTAGATTATTGTAATTATTTATCTCAACACAAATTGCAAACCGCGATAATTGTCAACTCTCGCATTGAATTTACTTTAAGTAGACTAATTGGGGTTGCATGTGGTGTAGCGATGGAAACAGTATCGGTACGGGTCTGGTGGTGGCGCTCCGCCCTCCTTTCAAACGCATCAACGGCTCGTTCCGTCGCGGAGGGTCCCAGCGATTACCCCGACGTCCTGCTTCGCTTCTCGCTGACGTAGCCCCTCAGGTATACTTGCATGCCTTTATCTTATCTGTTATCAATGACCCCGCTCCCCCCTATCTAACTAATTCGTCATTTATTAAAGCCAATTAAGCGTCTGGTGCGGCCAATTGAGATGTAATTCGAGGGGACCGGCAGCTGGCCGCACTCGACGCCATTTTCCCACGATGCCGTCACTAACTCTTTTTTATCTCGACTTACAGTGTGAAAAAAATGGCCCCAAGGAGTCGGAAGGGCCCGCCGGATGGGCCTCGTCCTTCGAGAAACTCCTCGAGGATCCTCTAGGACTCCACACTTTTGCTGTAAGTTCTCAAGAAGGCTTAAGATTTTTTGAGAATATTTTTTTCATTTGTAGGAATTTTTGAAAAAGGAGTTTAGTGCCGAAAATATTTATTTTTGGACTGCGTGTGAACGCTATCGGCGCTTTCCGGCAGGTCCGGCTCGAGTTGCCGAAGCCCAGAAGATCTACCAGCAACATCTGTCTGTGGGGGCCCCCGAAGGGGTCAATGTGGATTCACACGGACGCCATTGTACAGAACAAGCTCTACAAGAAGCCAGCGAGACGCTTTTTGACCAAGCACAAAAGCAAATTTTCAATTTGATGAAGTTCGATAGCTATCCACGATTTTTGAAATCAAGTCTTTATAAACAAAGTCTTGCCGGCGAATTAGAGAAGCCACAAATTGATTCAGGGTTGTTGTTACAACCCTTAACTCCTACGAAATTAAAAAAGTCGTTAAGTAATGCTGAAGATAGGAGAAGGAAGTCACTCTTGCCATGGCATAGAAAAAACCGGTCAAAATCAAAAGACCGAGGCGAATCCGAGTATTGTCAAAAGAGGAGTGATATTGTTACAAGTTGTGAGAGTGTGAATGGGAAATTGGGGGGCGGGAGTGACACATATAGTAGTAAATCGTCGTTGACGTCACTGGATTTGGCGATTACTTCCACACAGGTGGGTACATGGAAATAAGACTTTAAAACTCGTAAAAAGTAATGAGCTGTCCATCATTAAAATTAAATATTAATTTGTTTTGTGACAAAAATTCCATTGTTTCAGGATTTGAGTAAAGGAAGTCAAGACGAAACCTCCTCAACCGTAGCCCGAGGCCCCCTTTGTAGAGTAGTTTTGAGTAACGGAAGCACGACAGTAGTACAAATCAAAACAACCGAAAGTATTCAACAGTTGGTCACTAGACTATTAGATAAACGAGGAATTGTTTATTCAGCGTTCGAAGTTTACACAAACAAACACCAAAAGGTAGTGTTTTATTTTGAAAACTGAACTAGTATCACACAAACCGCAATGATTTGTTTTGCTTTCTTAGTAATAACAAACAAAAAATTTCACATCATAATACATAGTTTTATTTTTTGTTTCTGATTCAGACTTTAAACAATACCTTATCGTGATTGTTGTTTGTTTTTAGGCACTTGACGTAAGTGAACCGTCGATGAAACTAGCCGGCTGTGAAGTAACAATCGAGCAGCGAGTGATTTTTAAACTAGACCTTCCAAATAAAAAAGTCATTTCGGTGAAATCTAAATGTACAAAAATCATTGCAGAGGTCTTACGTCCCATTTTGCAAAAATACAACTATAATTTAGATCACGCAAAAGTCACGATTGGAGACACTGAAGCCGTGGATATTCACTTGTCGGTCACTTCGATTGATGATAAACGACTCCGAATCACTTATTGTGAGAAAACCGCACCTACAAATCCTGTTATTAAAGTCAACAATGTGAAAGCGAAGCTCGATGAGATAACCAATCAAGTATTCGAAGATATTCTTCAAGAGAAAGCCGATTCGGCTTTTCTCAAAGCAAAATCTGATAAAGGGTCGGTGAAAAGTGAAGACTGGGGCTCGGAGCACTCATCTGGGATTTTCGGAAGGTTTTTGAGACGCGATTCAGGTCTCCACGACCGAAAGAAGAAATCCCTAATGAAGATAAAACCTCCGGGAAGTAGTGATGATGTGACGGGAGAACAAGTCAAAAAGCCTCTAATAGCAAAATGGAAAACTGGAGTCAATAAATTACAAGTGGCCTGTAGCGAAAGTGATGGTGTGTTGTTTTGTCCCACACTAGGGAGGGTTTGACAGTGTTTTGTTTCAGAATTGGTCGAGGGTCTGACAAGGGCGCAAAGGTCGCGATTGGAGGATCAACGCGGGACTGAAATAAATTTCGAACTTCCTGATTTTTTGAAAGATAAGAATAGCCGGTTTTATGTCGAAAATGGTGACCTCAGACGGAATAATTATGAGAACAGGAATATAATTCCTAAGGATTTTAATAATTTGACTAATAATAATAATAATAATTCATTTACGAATCATAATCAAAAATTGAATAATTTACGGATTTACTCGCCAAACAAGTTTTCGTCAGATGAAAGTTCGCCATCGAAAAGTTTGGAAAATACTGTTATTGAAAATAAGAAAGACAGTCTCAAATGTGAACCTCCGCCATTACCCCCGAAACCTAAAATCGTTCCTATCAAACCGCCAAATTGGGGTCAGAATGGATACTACAAAAAAGAATTGGGCGCAAGTGATAAGAAAATGTATCTAGAACAGCCATCGAGCAGCTTTGTCTAATTGTATCATACTGTATAAATAACTGATAATTTATTGGAAATTTGTATATTACAATTTAAAATATATTTTTTGTATGTTTTTTAAGGACTACTTTCTTTAGAGATTTCCTTTTCTTCAGGTGGTACTTCGGCTGGTAGTGTTGGGGGTGTTTCCTCAACCGGCTTAATGTAAGTGGTTTCTGATGGTTGTTTGGGTGGAAGCCAATCTGGGATGATTTTTCCCTGAATTCGCCATTTGCCATAAACGTTGGCTAAGTGTTTTTCAAACACTATATATTCTAAAACGTCCTTGGCGATTATTTCACTACCGTGCATCAAGCGGCCGAATCGGTCATACACTGCCAGCATCTACAATGTTACTAAAATAAAATCGAGTAAAAAAATCACTTATATGACCTGTTGAGTGTGAAATCTGACTGTGGTTTGGCCAAAAACATTTTCTTTCGTTATTACATCAGTACACCTCGCGTGTACAACTCTTGGTAACTCTATATTTTTAATAAACTTCCAGTGAATCGTTTTATTTTCCACGTTGTGAATAACTTCTGGATATGCCCGTTCAGTGACATAATCTGTGATATTCTCCCAATCTTTTTTTGCCATTAATTCGTGCATTTTCACGTAAATCTCCTCAGCTTCTTTACAAAACGCCGTTGTATCAAACTCCTCCTCAAACATGCGTATCTTTCTAATCGCCATCATCGTTTTTGACTTCTTTTCCAAAAACTGCAATTTCTGTTTAGCCCCCTGCATATGAATTGGAGAGATTTTTCCGTCCCCCTCTGGAGGTACATAAGGCTCAAAAATACCACCAGTTGAGCTGATAAAAAATGGTTTTTCGACCCACGGGCGTGGAGGCAGAAGCCCATGCTCTTTTAATTTAGCACGCATTTGATCCTCAGTTAGGTCTTCTGGTTTTTCGCGAAACTTAGGCAAGTCGACTTTCATAACTTTTTGACGCCGGAGGCTTTTCCATTTGGGATCCCAATGTTTGGTATGTCTTTCACGACACTGAGGAACTAGTAAAAGGGGAAAGTTGTCCTAAAACATAACCTCAAAATAAACTTCAACTACGAAGGAGTAACCTACTTGAAGAAGGCGAATTGTGACAAAATTTGCGAGTCGCAATGACATTATTGCATCGGTTTTTGAAAATACAACTTTATTTCAAAGTCAAATCGACAGATATAACCTAAAAATAAAACCGTAAAACGTCTGCCAATATTTAAATAAGAAAGTTACTAGCAGAAAATATTATTTTAGTTGAGTGATTTGGATTTCGAAAAAAATTAGTTCAAGATAATTAATAAGAGAAGGTGAATGCAACCTTTATTTTTAATTTGTATAAAAAAATTGTTAAAACGCAACAAAACTATTTCAGAAAGTATTTGCACAAAAAGTGAACAAAAAAGTTTTCTTTAATTAAAATACTTATTTAATAAGTAGAAATAATAGTTTATTTCTTGTTAAGAAGTAAAAAATTGGTCAGATTTATATTTAGCAAATTCTTCCTCATCTAATTTTGTTTCAGCTTCAAGAACGTCGTTATTAATAGCTTGTATCAAATCTTCCACACTTTTAAAATTTTTCTCTGGGCGGAGATACCCAAGCATGAGGACCTTGAGGATTTTCCCGTAAAAATCTTCGTCAAACTTATGAATAATGTAAGTTTCCATTGACTTTTTGGTGTTTTTATAAAATGGATTCCACCCCACACTCATGACCATTTTATAAATTGGTCCATTTTCAATTTGGGCGAATCCAAAATAGACTCCAGGTTCGGTCTCTTTCGGCAAATTATTCACAACATCTTCGTCAAAATTCGCAGTGGGAATCCCCAGTTCCTTGGACCCCCGTCCGAATCCTTAGAATTCAATATATGTAGAATTATGTATATCAAGATAATAAATAAAACGTTTTGTTTTGGTTTTATTGTTAATTATAATTACCTTTGACGACCTTGCCTTGGGCAAAATGGGGCAACCCTTTGCTCGTCATCTGGGTACGCCTCTGGGGTTAGAGTTTGCGCAATGTGTTGCTAACCTGCAGAGTTGGAAATACATTAAAATCGGTCATTTCGTCTTGGCACTTTTCGGTCGTAGAAAATTAAGGTCATGGTCGATCAGGAGAAAAAAGTGAGTATTTAATTATTGTTTTAAGTATCGTTAGGGTTATCGGAAATTTATTTACGAAGTCGTGTCTCGATGTCCTTTGACGACCTTTCGCGACCGCTGAACTTTTCCGACTGATTCCGCTACCGCTACGATAAGTACGATTTGTTTGATTTATATTAACGCAATTTCCACGGCCGTGGTTTTGGTTTTTGTGGGAATTATATTTTTTAACAATTGGGTAACCTGGGTTTTTGTACAATGGCATTGCGAAGAGATTAGTCCTTAAAAATTATCAGGAACGAAAAAATACTTAAGTACAATTGATAATGATAAGAGAAGGCGTTGTATCTAATTGAATTGTACACACACACACACAATTAAAAATTCGTGTCATAAGAATGGTTTATGTCATTGTGCTTAAATACGTTGTAATAATGTAGGTATGTTGATAAAAAAACAGGATTGTGGGTTTCCTCCGAATTACATGTAATAAATGTCATCAAAAATTTTTTATTCGTTGTAACTCTGAAGTAGCGTAATTAGCACAATTGTTGGTATTTTTCATGTATTTTTGTATTTGTATTTAAATAATTAGTAAGTGTGGCAAGGACTTCATGATTGTGAACTTAATTACCATGCACCTCTCAAATTTGTTACTCATTCTTCAAGAATCAACAAAATTAGTAGTACATATTTCTTTTTTTTTACAAATCTTCGAGCTTGCTTCTCTTCAAGAAAATGCGAAATTAGTTTAGGTACGGTTTTAATATTTTAGCTAGTAAAAAGCTAACAAGCATAATTTACTCACCTTCATCAACGATTTTTCTCACAAATTTAGCGAACTTAGAAGTTTGTGATAAGTTATGTAATTTGTATTGCAATAATTAATGAGTTTATCTAAATCTGATAACGTATTACTGTGAAAAAGTAGGTACCTTATTGTTTCCTGTAATCGAGGTTACGATGCAAAATTAAATCGTATTTTTGGACATTGTTTAAAATAGATAATGAAAAACGATTACAAAGTAATATTATAATGGTTTTAAACATGTAACAAATAAATGTCGGTACCTACACATAATGTAATTCAACATTTTGACAAACAAAAATATCAAAACGTTTCAAGGTTTCAAAGTCACCATTTTAACTTTTAACATGTAACAAATAAATGTCGGTTAACATAGATATACTGTTGATGTCTTTACATTACTGTAAACTAAAAATTCTACCAATTCATCACCGTTGGCTATAATAATGGTATAATAGTAATTCTACTGACCAGTGGCGGGGATGGGGCCAGGGCCTCCTAAGACCTTTACAAAACTATGTATAAGTTAAAATAAAAGAACAAAGTTTTTTACGCATATGTATGCATATTTATACGTTTACAAGTTTTATAGAGAAACAAAAATCAAAATCTTTATATTGTAAGTGCATATAATGCATTCACGAGGCTGTTGCCGCTAAGCAATATAACGAAGCCGAGGGTGACAGGTACACCCGGATAAAACTATTCACCAGTCTAACTTTCTGCTCACACTGCGCTTTGTTGCAATAGTGTTTCCGACTAACTAGTTGGGGAGCAGGTAATATGTCGAAACACCCTTATTTAGGAAGTTGGTCCGGATACACTTCACTTGAAACCAATTTTAAAAGTTCATTATTTTCACTCAGTGGAAAGAAAATGTAATTTTTCTCTTGATTTTGAGCTTGTAATAACTAATAACACTATAGTCTACAAACAATAAGGTGTTTAATGTACCTTTAATGAAATTATTATTTTTATGTTAACTTACCTTTAATTAAACAAAAATAATTGTTAAATTTTTCTATCACGTCACACTTTTTTTGTTACAGACGATAATTTTCCTGCGTTCTGCCTCCGATTTAAAATTTATTTAAATTCAAATTGTTGCAAAATTATTACTATATGGATCTAAATAGGTCTTAAAAACATTTCACTCGCATTTGGACTTCTTTTCTAAAAATTTAGGGAGCATGAGTGACAAACAAGACGAGCGTTTTCATCAAGATCTGAAGGGTTTTCAAGATCGACACGAAGGTTTTTGGGATGATAATATGTTAGTAGATTACTGTTGGATTTCTGTAAAGAAAACTGATCCAAAAAGTATAATAAAACCAAGTAAAATAACTCACTTTTAATATGTTTTTTGGCGGTTTTTGTATTTTTGTTAATTACATATTTCTTAAACGTAACGTGGTGGACTTTTTTAAATAGTTTTTCAGTTGAACTCAGTGAAAAAAAGTATTTCCTTCACTTTTTGAGCGTAAAGTCAAAGGTAAAAATTTGTTTCCTTTTGACTGGCTATTATAAAATGTATTATTAAGTTCAGAATTCACACTTTATTAAAAAATTCTGGCATTTAAAACTAGTTCTACAATTTTGATTTTTGAAAGCTGTAGATAAAGAACCTTAAAAGTCAAGTCAAGCTAAAAATGTTTTTTCTTTTCAGTCTTGGCGTTAAATCAAAGGTAAAATTTTTTTTCTTCTTGTAAACTAATCCGGGAACATACTGTATACTTGCAAAATACATTTCTTAAATAAAGTTATCTATTTGTAATTTAATAATTGGAGCAAGATTGTTTATTAAAATCACAATATTCAAGTAATTTTCGCAAAATGACATTTTTCGGGTCCGGACGCTCGATTTTCACAACAAAAGAAACAGGCACGAGCGTTCGGTTTGAAGGTGATTATGAAGATTTATAAGGGGTACGGTTTATGGCTTAGCGGCAACAGCAGCGTGAATGTATTATACCTACATAATACTTTGTAAATTAAATATTTTTTTATCCTTATAGGATCAGCAAAGTATTGTAAGTGGCTGAAATTTGACCTACCTATATTTTTACATTTCTGGACGAATTATATCTGCAAGACACCAAAAAATGATCTATTTCGCGTGTAAGGAATAAGGATAAGGAAAGTTGTGTGATGTTCACACCAGATTTTTATATAATGTAAGCTTTTTTGGCCTCAGCATTTTTTTCTGGGTGCGCCACTGCCTCTGAGAATTAGAATACTAAAACTACATTGCATTTTTCGTTTGGAACTGAAATTAACTTATTCATCTGGTTTACTACTTGACTTTTATAGGTACAAACATACTTATTTTACAATTTTTTAATCATTTTCTTTAAGATATTTCTATTGTTTTTTAAAATAAAAAATCACTAACATTAGCAGTAAAGTTATTTATTGTTCCATATTTTACCAAGAAATTTAGGTCATTAATAAATAATGTATTCTAAAAATACACTCTGGAGACGAATTTTGAATACAATCATTTGAAACAGTTGATTGAAAAACGTTTGCACATTTTTCATCATCAGGACGGTAATAAGGGTGAAGTGTTCAGAATGTTTACTTATTTTCGACTTGAGAATGTAGGGTGTCTCAGCCGAAGCTTCAATATCGATATCTGTCATTCATTACATACATACAGGATGTCCCACGAGTAGTAATGAGCCTAATTTTTTTTTGAAGTAACCAACATTACATTTCATAGATAACGTGGATATTAAAATATTTTGTTTTAATTAGTTAAACATAGCAATCGTATTTTTATTTTTGAAAAATTTCTATCAGTCAAAATGACTATTCCAGTTTTAGAAACTCCGTCTATTTGGATATCGCGCTGGATAGAAACATGCAGTCTGCGAAGCGTTTTTAAAATATTCTTCATAAATGAGAATCTTGTTGGTCTTTTCGGCAAAATTTTAGTAATTTTCACCAGATTTTCAAAGGTTTGACTTTTTATAAATTAAAGTTGAAGGAAGGGTGCTGTGTGTTCACTATGTTTAATTTATAAAAACAAAATATTTTAATATCCACATTATCGTTAGTTGCTTCCAAAATTTTTTCAGGCTCATTATTACTCGTGGGACATCCCCTGTATAATACGACGCAATATACAGACTGTTCCATTTTTATTATTACAGGTGATGGAATATTCAATTTTAAGACAAAAGTTTCCTATAAACATGTATCACCACACTCTCTGAAAGGGCTGCGTATTATGATTTAAAATTTATAAATAAAATGATTTCAACTAAATTAATTAATCTTAATCATTTATTTTCAACAGGGTCGCATACCGTATTAATCGTACATACATGAATAATTGAATATTTACTAGTAGATCTATACTATATTCGGTTATTTTCTTTTATTCTTCAAACACATTTCAAATTAAAATAAGCGGCTCAGATTTTGGGACAGTTACTTAATTTTTTTTTAAAATAATATACCGTTGCAGACGCCTTTCTATTAAAACAAAAGGCAATAGTTTTCCTTGACTGCAAAAACTTTTAAGACAAAATTAGGAAACTTTTTTCCTATTTATTGTACACAGTGAATTTTAGCCGAAATTTTATTTTGTCTAAATTAAAGTTTTGAATAATACATAGGTATGCAGTAATAACTACATAAAAATAACATGTCAAGGCTCTTTGTGTTTATCATTCATTAATTCATTAATCCATAAAATTAAAAATAAAAACGACCAAGTTTTTTTGGATATTTGCTACTGTTTTCTTAAAATGTATGTAAAATGTATGCATTTAAAAATTATTTTAAATGTTATAAATATCAATAAGATACATACTTACTATAAAAATTTAATTTTTGACCCCGAGGACAATTTTTCTATCCTACATAGGTATTATTCATCTAAAACGTGGATGACAATAATTATCTCGAGTGTCTCTACCGATTATGGTTCCATTTTGAATACTACTGATTACTCGGCAAAAATTCGTCTCGTTTTGACCACATAAACCCAAACACAAATATAAACACAAAGTCATGTGCGTGCTGTAAATGACCACTTACATAATTTGCAATATCACTTTTGTTTATCCATGCTGTTCTTTTCAAACAAACGATAATGAACCAAATAGTCTAATAATAGTTCAGCCTCTTCAACATCTTATCGAAAATTTTATCAACTAGAGGATATAAAACAAGTGGCCATCGGGAACGACTCAGTAATCGTCGCTTTTCCACACACTTACAATGAGCACTCTATTGGAACGGGTACGTACCGAAACAATTACTTAACAATCCGTCAAGGCCGAAACATCACCAGTGATAAACTTAGCAACCTAATAAACGCGTCAAAAATGCTCGAAATGGTAACCATTTTCCGATTTTTTTGACGTTTCTATTTTTGTTGATATAGGTCCGGGGCCATTCGAGGGCTTCAAGCGGCTCCCGCGAATTTCTGGAAGCCACCAAACGCGACGCTTTGAACCTCCTGGAGAAAGAATTGGACAAACTTCTGTCGACAGCGCCCAACAATGAAAAGGATAAGATCCGGAAAGAGTTCGATGGATTTACAGCACTTTTTGGAAGGTTTCTCGAAGAAACTGGACCTTCTGTTGATTGGGATAAAATTGAGAAGTTGCCTAATGATGCTGTTAGAGATTACAGTACTCTGGAAACGCCAACTGCAGATATTATACACATTATGCTCAATAAATTGGTAGTTGTTAAATTAAACGGAGGGCTCGGGACGTCTATGGGGTGCCACGGGCCCAAATCGGTTATCGCGGTTAGGAACGAACTCACTTTTCTTGACTTAACTGTGCAACAAATCGAAGTAAGGACCACAAACAGACAAAATCTGCTCTAAACTCACTCTTTCAGCACTTGAATAAGACTTACAAAGTTAATGTTCCTTTAATTCTGATGAATTCTTTCAACACGGATGAAGATACACAAAAAGTTATCCGCAAATACAAGAATCTTCAAGTGGAAATACACACATTTAACCAATCGTGTTACCCTAGGATAAACAGAGACACTCTAATGCCTATTACGAAGAAAATCGATATTCATAACGACTTAGAATCATGGTATCCTCCAGGGCACGGCGATTTTTACCAAAGTTTCAAAAATTCAGGACTTTTGCGCAAATTCATACAAGAAGGGAGGGAATATTGCTTTATTTCAAATATTGACAATTTAGGAGCTACAGTCGATTTGAATATTCTTAATATGTTATTGAATCCGAAAGATAATGTTCAACATGAGTTCGTTATGGAAGTTACTGATAAAACTAGGGCTGATGTCAAGGTTAGTATCACAAAAAAAATCGATACTTACGTTATTAAATCAAGTCATGAACATAAGTTTTTATCATTTTGCTACCCTAGTGCGAAAATAGCGACGTTGAACATTTCATCCTCTACATAAGTAAAGATGATTCGGTCTTGTAATAGTTGCAAAATAATAAATTACAAATAATTGACAATGACAAGTCATAAATTACGTTTACAAATGTTTTATCACAACCAATCGCGGAACTGAATTTAAGTAATTGTTGTATAAATTTTCTAGGGCGGAACTCTAATCCAATATGAAAACAAACTACGCTTGTTGGAAATCGCCCAAGTGCCCAAAGAACACGTCGACGACTTCAAATCGGTTAAAACGTTCAAATTTTTCAATACGAATAACTTGTGGGCAAAACTCGACGGTATGTCACTAGTCTAAATGCAATACATACATTACATTTTTTTTGTAGCTATTGATAGAGTCTTAAATGAAGATTCCCTCAGTCTTGAAATCATTATCAATAATAAAAGTTTGAATAATGGTTTGAATGTGATTCAATTGGAGACGGCCGTCGGGGCGGCGATGAAATCATTCGAGGCCGGGATTGGCATAAACGTGCCTCGGAGTAGATTTTTGCCAGTGAAAAAAACGCAGGATTTGCTTCTAGTCATGAGTAATTTGTACAGTCTGAAAAATGGGTCGTTAGTGATGTCGCCTCAAAGGATGTTTCCCACGACGCCACTAGTTAAGTTAGGGGATAATCATTTCGCGAAAGTGAAGGACTTTTTGGGGCGATTTGCAACCATTCCGGATTTGATCGAGTTGGACCATTTGACCGTGTCAGGAGATGTTACATTTGGCAGGGGCGTATCATTAAAGGTAAGTGTTTTTTTTATTAGTGTTGGGTGTTTTTTTATTATATTTTACAGGGAACTGTAATTATAATTGCGAATCACGGTGAGAGGATCGATATTCCGTCAGGTGCCAATTTAGAAAATAAAATAGTTTCCGGTAATATGCGTATCTTAGATCATTAATTGGGCGTGAGTGTATATATTTTTGGTTGTTTTTATTTGTATTATGTTGTTATATAGTTTTCTACACGTAAATTTCTAGTAATTGTAGTCATTGTTTACCATTTATTTATTATGATTTATTGCCTAGTTTTACAATAAATATATTTTTGGCATATGTTTGGGTTTCACTCACAAAATACAAAAAAAATTTTGCAAAGAACGATGTTACTTTTTTAATACACAACATTACACAACTTTTTAATTTATCACGATTTGAATTTAGTATTAAAATAGACATAAATTAAAAAGCAATTGTTATAATATGTATATTGTTTCTATTTAAATATTTCTAGAACAGTACACTTATTGCGTAAAAATACAAAACCGGTTTAAAAATGATTTATTATCCTTCAAAAAGCTTTGGTGTGTCTAAATGGTCTTGCAGATAATGCGGAGTCAACGAACTGTAACTCTCTCGTTGTGAAATAATCGATTTTGTATCGCTATGTCTTCTCATCCTGCAATAAAAAATTATCGACTATCAAACATTCCATCTTTTACCTTTTCCTAATCGCAGATTTAACTTTCGCACTGAAACTTTTCAAAAACCACAACAAGGCAATGAAAATAAGTAAAACAACACTTATACCAATAGCCCACCAAACGATTGATTGCTGAATATCTGGTTCCTCATAAACTGAAAATGAATGATTGCTGAAACACTGTTCGTCTAATTGATCCCAACGTAGCCACATATCTTCCAAACGTTGAGTATTTAATTGATAATCTTGGACGCTGGAAGATTCGTTGTAAAAAATAGGTAATTTAAAAGTGATTTGGACACAAGTTTCGCTGTGGGGCCACGAGTAAGGGCAACGAGTTATCTCAGATATCATCACATAAGCGTTGCTGTAAGAAATTAAAGTAAGGGAAAAACTTAAACCGGGGTTAATAATCCTAACGTTATGTTATGAGTGAGATAAATATTTTGATCTTTGCAATAATTTGTGGCCATTGTTACAACACATTCTTTAAATTCATTTATTGTCGTTTCTTGGTTGTAATCCTGTAAGGCTTTTCCAGAAATATTCACAGTTACATAAGTGGAAGCCCCCTTTTCCGTCGTAGGAACACTAATTGTAGTCGTTGAAGTTGTAGATACAGTTGTTGTAGGTCCATCACCTTTTGAATCACATTGTTTCTTAAAATAATTTTAAAAAAATTTAAAAAACGCACCAGCGACTTCAAACACTGCCACAAAATCATACAAAGGTTTCTCTTCGGCAGAATTTTTATTTGCTGTTTCACAATATGCATAAACAGCCGAAGTTTTGAACAAATAACTCACAGGACCTTCGACTGTATTAGCAAAAACTCGACCATTGGTTGCTTGTTCCGAATACGATTTTCCTCCTTCAATAAGTAGATAGTTTCCATTGGCCATATTAACTCCCGAAACGGTTACCGAAATGAAATATCCATCAGGAACTGTTATAACAATCGGATTTTGATCGAGTTTTGTGGAGCTCCATGTGAAGGATTCGGTGATTTTATGGGGAGGAATTGTGGTTGGAGCAGGCGTTTCAGTAGTTGGTGTTGTTTCAGTTGAAGTAGATGATGTTGGTGTGGTGAGTGGAGTTGAAGTACTAGGGGTGGTGGGTGCAGTGGTTTCATCTGTCGTAGATTGGGTGGTAGTAGAGATGGTAGATGGAATGGTTTCATCTGTGGTAGATTGGGTGGAGTCTGTAGACGGTATAGGAGGGCTTGTGGAAGGGACAGTAGATGTGCTCTGTTCAGAATTTGCTATTGATTCTAAAAGCAAAAGTATACAAAATCAAAGTAAAATATTATTTAATAAGTTACTTACGAAGAAATAATAATAAACAGACTAAATAAACTGAAAATAACTTTGACATTGTTTAGATTGCTTCAAAAATTACACAAAAATGCAAAAAATAACACTATAAGTAAAATCGAGAAAATCTGATTAAAATTATATGATAAGATTTATTCCAGTGGAAATAATCTTTAATGATAAAGTGATATCATTGAGATAGTGAGTGTCAAGCAATTTTAACAAAAATTTGTGATAAGGAAATATGAGAAATCCAACACTTTTATTCTGTTAATTAATGTTTTCTTTAGAAAAACAAATACATTTTTTTTGTTAAATTTACAATGGATTGTTTTTTTTTAATGGCGCTTTTTATTTTAAGGTGTTGTTATTTTGGTATTTCTCTTAAGGTTGGCTACACATTTAAAAATGTGTAAAGGTAGTTAAAAGAGTGAGGTTATATTAAATAGCTCCAAAACAAAAATTGAATTGAAAATTAATCCATAGTCCATTATGAAATTTCGTGGTGTTATAACTGATTCTTTAGTAATGAAGGATTTTATGAGTAATAAGAAAACATTATTAAATTAAATTACCTATAACTCTGTTCTTTTTAGATATTGCTACAAGTCTTTCAAGATTTTCGAAAGAATGTGTAATGCGATTAACAGCAAGAAAAATGTATTTTATAATATCAGACGAAGATAACGGCCCTAGGAGGCCATTAGCTTGGTGCGAATTACCTATCAGTTTTTATTTTAAAGAATATAATTTGAGTGGAGTTACGGAGGAATATAATGAGATTTATTTAGAGTTTTCAACAGGTATTGCATTGCAACATTTATTATGTTTTAAGTACATGCAATTTTTAGCACTTTTGGCAAGATCCTTATCAATTTTAAAGCAAAACGTGAAGTCACTAAAAATTAAATTAACAAATAAAGATTCTCCTTGTTTAACACTTGAAATGGAAATGGTAAAACATAATACATTTTTGATAAGTACATATTTTGTTTCACATGTCTTGTAGGCCTCTGGGGCTATACAAAGTAGACAATGTGTGCATGATATTCCGGTTGAAGTGATTTCAAGGAAGCATTGGAATGATTATGAAGAACCAAGATTTAATGATTTTCACGTATTTTATTTGAAGGTTACAAATACAAAAATAATTTAATTTTTAAAGGTCTCAATTGAAATGCCTAATTTAAAAACTATAAAAACAATTGTTGAAAGAATGAGGAGTATGAGTCATAGCTTAATTGTATCAGCAAGAAAGGATGGAAGACTTACATTTGAAATAAAAACGAATATAGTTACGTTATCATCTCATTTTCCCGGTTTAGGTGTTGAAAGTTTTGCCAGTAATTAAAAAGACCCAATATTATAAAACAATAATTTGTATAATTGTAGTTGGACAGTTAGAATTGACTCCAGATTTAGAAGATGAGGATCAGCAGAAAGTTAGCTCAATTGTGGACATAAAAAAGTTTTTAATGTTCTTATCAGGAATGCAACTAAACAATTGTAGAACAGTCTGTAGCATAGTTCATGGTAAAATGGTAAAACTCTTCATGGAACAACCAGGAGCACTTTCCTTACAAATTTTTCTTACACAATTAAGTATTTAAGCCATATTTTGTATTTATGTAAGAACGCACGCACATACAATTAAAGTAATTAGAATTAAAAACGGCAACCATGTCTTTAGAAATCCAGCAAAACTAACATACTTTGAATATAGCAACATAAAAAATGCCAATTTCACCATATTCCAACTTTTTGAGTCATCATATTGCATCAAATTAAGTGCAGTGGCAACATGAGAGTGACAATTGTCGCAACATAAATTATGCATGCGTCCATTATAAATTTCTGAAGCTTCAGTAACAGCGCGGTCCCAGCCGGAAATTCCTCCGTGTGCCAGTGATGGTTTTAGCTGCCAATATTTAGTAGGGCGGCCGAAAGCCATGTCATCTTCGGAGACGTAATAGGGCCCAGCAAAATCCCGGATAACCCCCGAAGAAAGGGCTATTCCCATATGCCCTATGATAGGGAAAAGCCAAGTTAGAAACGGGATTGGAGTCCAGACTATGCAGCAAGGATAACGGTCCCGGGATTTGTCAATTTCACCAAATTGTGCCATGTCGCCGCGTTCAGGGCTTGCCATGTTATTAAACGGTGCAATTTTTCATTTTTAGCCCCCTTTGTAACCTAACCTTATAATGTAATATATCTGTCAAATTTTTGCGGTCTAAAAAATCAAACGCCAATAAGAGAGGTGGTCAAGTAGTTTTTACTTCTGCTTGTATTATAAAGCTTTTGACGGTTCATTTGACTAATTGTATTTTTAGAATAAACGACAAATTTTGGTACTGTTACAAAGGGCGCGTAAATTAAAAATTTTGTTCCAAAATGGGGAAGCTTTTTACATATAATTACTTAAAACTTGGGATAATGTTTTATTGAAATAGTTTACATCAAAAAGATTTTTAATTGTGATCACAAAAAAAAATATTTTTTTGTCTTATTGTCGACCGTCACCTTCATTTAAATATTTTTATTTTTATAATACAGGGTGTTTCACGTAATTTTACGAGGCCTGCGCCAGTAAGATGCAATCAATAATACATATTCCGATACGAACTCGATTACAAATTTTGAAAAATTGAATATTCTCTAGTTTGTTCACCCTTTAAAAAATTACAACGTTTTTAGTTAGTAAACTGATTAAGATAGATAAACTATGAATCATATACATGCCGTCTCTATCGTTTTTGAAAAACTGCAGTTTATGACTATTAATGAAACAGTGATTAGTTTGACAACTACTGTCATGGGTTTCCAAAAATTAAATAGAAGTGTATTTTTTGTATCCAATGTTTTGTGACTTTTGTATATTTGGGTGCGTACATTAGGCACAAGCCTCGTAAAGTTATGTGAAACACTTTGTATATACCAGCAATCTTTCAAAGTGCTTGAAAAACTGTAAAGTTCATCTATATGCAGATGACACTCAAGTTTACTATAGTTTTGATTCTCATAATTTGAAAGCTGTGTGAAACACCCTGTATAAATAATATAATAACTTTATTTTTATAAATAAAAATATGTTTTTGTTTCTCTCAAAATGTAGACGCGCCACGTGAGTGCATGCATTCAATGACTTGGTCTTTTTTAAAATGAATATAAGACTATTAACACTGTATGTTTAATAATAAGAAAAACTCACTACATAATGTTGCAATATCAATAATTTATTATCAAAACTATTTATTTACAAATTTTTTCGCTTCCTTGACCAATCTTTTAACATTTTCGCTATCCTCATCCGCATTTTGTGAGTCTTCCCAATCTGTTTCATCATCATCTGACTCTCCTTCATATTCTTCGCTATCATCACTAACAACAAAAGGATCTTCCTCAGAATCGGAATCCAACTCGCGCATTTCTTGACTATCGGCCACATTTAAACGCTGAACTTTCTTTCTGGACCTTTTTTCTGTTTAAATAAAACAAACCAATTAATCAAAAATATTTATTACTCTTCATAACCATCTTTTGGCTTTTTATTACAATATGGACAAAAAGTACAGCAAACATTCTTACTTTTCCCAGGGGGTTGTCGTGATGGATGTTTGTAATTTCTTCTGTGGTCTTTATTTTTTCTGTAACATGAAGCGCCGTAACTGCATGTTGGTCTGTTGTCTTCTGGGTCACTCTCAAAGTCGGAGTCGCCTGGATGGGTGAATTCTTCTCTGTGAGCTGGGTTTTTTCTGTAACATTGAGCTCCATACCAGCAACGCTCACGTCGTAGTCTGGGGCTTGAAGTGCTGGGATTTTCACCCTCTGGATCTTCTTTTTTAATTTCCTTGGACGTTTGTTCCTTTTCTTCATCTTCGGGCACGTTACTTGAAATTTCTTCATCTTGGATTGAGGTCGAAGCAGAGGGTTCTACTTTCACTTCTGAATCAGTTACATCTATTTCATTCGTTATTTCCATTTGTACTTCATTAACTTCATTTTCTTCAGTTTTATTCGAAGCAGAGGGTTTTACTTTCACTTCTGAATCAGTTACGTCTATTTCATTCGTTATTTCCATTTGTACTTCTTCATTAACTGCATTTTCTTCAATTTTAATCTTTTTATCTGGTGGTACTTCTTCTTCACAAGTTTCATGTGGTCTCTTCACCACCGCATCACTTTTATTTGCATCATTATGAGTGCTATCATTTAAATCTTCATGCACAATTTGAATTTTAAACCAATAATCTTCAGGAAGAAATGCAAAACTATCGCCATTATTCAGTTGGGTGCTTGAATCTTTTGATAGAATTGTTAAAGTTTTGCTTTCTGCTGCTTTGAGAAAACAAGGATTAACATGGATCTAAAATTATTTTCTAAAGAATTAAATTTAAAATACAATGAAATAATCATACAGAAGTTAGTCTAACGTGATCTTGTGTAACTTCCAAAGTAGCGTGATTTCGTGATACTCGCTTGTCGTTACACTAAAATTCATAAATTTAGCCAAGTTTTGAGACAATATTGAGATTATTACCTGTAAAACAGGGCCGCGCCCTAAAATATGTGCTCCTAAAGAAAATCTATTTAAAACTTCTTCTTCTCCTAGCCGCAAAATTTCCACAAACATCGCGAAATTCAGTTGTATAAATGCCTTTTACTCAAAAAAATAATCGTAAAAAATTACAAATTTGTTGTGTCGTAAAAAAAACTAACCTTACAGTTTTTGGGTCACAAAATTGGCGCGGAATTTAAAGTCTTCAATTTCCAACTAAAGATACAATGTTATTATTATTAGTTAAAGTTTTTAAAGTTAATTACTCATTTTAATATTGCCTATTTGTAACTATTAATTTTTAAATGTTATTTTTTATTAAAGCCTAGGATTATAATAAAAAATTTCAAAATGCAGTACCAACCTTCTCAATGTAAAAGTTAAAACCAAAAATCCCCTAATTTGACAATGACATGTAATTAGTAACGTCAAAATGGTTGGTTGTCATTTGTGTTAAAAAATAAATTTCCCTCTTAAAGTGAACAACTAACAGCCAGGACGTTGTTGGTTTATTGCAAATTGTACAGTGCTTAGTTAAAAGTCGTTGTTAATTTAAAAGTGTGCGAAAAATTAAATTTTGGTTGATTTATTATTCGACACAGGTGACATATTTTACTTCATTTTTTATTCAGGTAGTTAATTATTTTGCATCATGTTTATTGTAATATTCAAGGTCGCAGTTGTAATTAGATTTAGCAATAATTACATCTTCGCAGATGTCGAATTTGATTCCGCCACTTTTGAGCAGTTCACCACCTCCAATTGTAGGACCACTTGATGAGGATGACGACGACGAATTTGGGGATTTTCGGGCCGCTGCTGATTCGTTTGACTGTGATGGTAAGGTTTTTGGTCCTTTGTATTATCAAAAGTAACAAAAAATTGTAGACTTTTCTTTACCACCTTCACCACAAAAATCATCAGAACTGAAAACCGACCTTTCCAAAGTCAATTTAGATATAAATAGTAACAAGAGCCAAAAAGACACACATGAAATGCCAGCCGAAAACTTAGATGAATCTGTAGTGCGTGAAGAAGTAAATAAAGATTTTCAAGATAGGAGAAAAAGTTTAAGTGAAGAAGATGCACATGCAGAGATCAAAGTCAATTCTAGTGAACAATTTGATGAAGTGAATGGTTTTGAGGTCGATTTTAGTGACCAAAATATTGAGGAGAATGATTTCACCAACCCACAGAGCGCTCTACCAAATGAAACTCAAGTAGAAAATGAAGTAAATAATCACAGCAATGAGGAAAATCTATTTGAGGCTTTTAGTGAAAACACAAATGATACATCTGAAAGTAATGAGATTAAATCTGATGACAATTTTTCTGAAGAAATTAATGACAAGGGTGAAAACGATCTGAGTGAATCTTCAGTTAGTCTCAAAATATCAGAAACTGAACAGAAATCAACTGAAGACGATTTCGGAGATTTTGAAAACCATTTTAGTAACGACAAAGAAGCACTAGATGACGATTTCGACGATTTTGTTGAACCTCCACAACAGGGTACAGGAAACGATGAAGATTTCGGCGATTTTGAATCGTCGGAATTTGGTGATTTTTCACACAATTGCGAAAAACCGGCTTTTCTCGAGATAGACGTGAAAAATGCATTTGAAAAATGCGAAGCAATTTTGAAAGAAATTTTCCCCAATGTCGAACAAGAAAGTGATGATTACATGACCGCTGATTACACAACAGAAAATCGTATTTTTGACGAATTGAAGGACGTTACCGAGACTAACGCTTTGATTTATCAATGGTCGAAGTCAAACAGTCAGAAAATGTTCCTTAAATCGTTAAATATCGATACGAGAAATATTGTGAGGCCCTTTGAAATGATTAAATTTAATTTAATTGAATTAATTTTAGTTATATGGCCCCGCTTGGGGCGGTTCGATGCCAAGATTCGCCGGTTTGACACCGTTAGAGCCAGTTAAAACCGAAATTCTCACTCCGGCGCCGGTTCAAAACTTTTCAAGTCCGTCCAGTAATTCTAGTCAAAAGGAAATTAGTGATATTCCAACGGTTCAGTTCGATTGGAACGGTTCTGGATTGATAAATCCTCTTGATTGTAAGTATTTTGTTCAATTCGATAGAAAAATTAAGTATGCAAGTCTTGAGCGCTAATATACTTTGAAAATTCTTTTCACGCTCGCTCAATGGATTCCTTAATGTACATTTCCACGAATCCTAAACAAAATCTCATGACATATTAAAGATTCACAAACTATGCTGTTAGATTTAGAACAGTTGGTAGCGTCCTTAGACATTCCCTCCACTAATCCCATCAATCAATCCCCCACATCCTTTAACGATCTCCTCGACGAGTGGGATTTATGGTTGCAATGTGAGTACAAGTAGCAGAAAAAAAAATAGTGTCACTCATGCAAATAATGTAACAATTTTGTAATTTTTTTTTCGTATAATTTTTGCAGCGACGTCGACCGAACTGCCAGCCAACGTACCTGAAGAATCATCTCAGTCACAAAATTCCGATTTCTTGCCTCCGGAGTTGTCCAAACCGGATTTGTTCGAACCAGAACTTCAAGTATCCAAAGATAACGAAAAAAACGACTTTTCGCCATTCCATTCACCCAAGTTAATACCACTTCGTGAGACACACATTTCAAACGAACAAACCGATTTAAGCAAACCTGGTTGGCTAGAACCGACGATTCTTACACCTGATTTACCGCGAAAAGAGCCAATTATGATCGAACCCGACGATGAATTTGACGATTTTCAAATGGTTTTGCCGGTAGTAAATAAAAATTTGCCTAACTTGAGCGAATTTAAAATAAACAAAATAAATAGTCAACATATCTCTGCGAACGAATCTAATGGGCCAGTAGCAAAGGAAGCGGAAGTGAATGAAGAAGACGAATTTACGGAATTTCATGCGTCACTTCCTGTTCAACCTAATTCGGTGGAATTGTTTAAACCGGTTCAACCTGAGCCGTTAAAACCGCTTCTTCCCCTCGAACCGTTAAAACCAGTACCAATAGAACCCTTAAAACCAGTTCCGGTCGAGCCTTTAAAACCTAGTTCGACTCCAATGGCGCAAATAAACTGGCCGGAGCCTGGAGTAACCGATGAAGACATCAGAAACATCGAATTGGCTTACTCCCGGAAAGACGACAAACGGGAAATGAGTAAAGAGAAACAGCTTGACGACGACGAATGGAGCGATTTTGTTTCCGTTACAAATTCGGTTCTGAAGCCAGTTATGCCCGACCGGACCGCGACTCCGGACTTGCCTTTATCGGTTCTTAATTTGAATAGTGTTCAAGCTCCGAAACAACCGATTCCGGTTATTACTCCCAGCGGTTTGGTTCAAACGAAATTATCGTCGAATATTTCAAAATCCGTTGTTCAAACAAGTGTTCAACCAATGTTTCGGCCCCCGATGAATCAATTTCAACCGTCTATTATTAGTAATCAGTTCGCGGCGAATTTCCCGGGGGCAAGTCAAGATGATGATGATGATGATTGGAGCGATTTTGTTTCAAGTCAGCCGCTCCCTCAAGCTAACGGCTATCAGAAAGCAGCCCCCACGAACATTATTATGAATCCGACTCATTTTGAAACGTTGAATTACACCACTCCGAAAAACAAAATTTCAACAATCCCAGATTTGGATTTTATAGCTCCTAAAAATCGGACTAAAAAATGACTAAGGGAGCAAGTTATGCTTTAGGCAGTATTACGAAAGGGGACTCGAGTGATATTTATTTCTGTCTAATTAAGAAAAAGTATTTTCGTTACGTACTTAATTATGTTTATTGTTCACGTCCATGTATATAAAGTATTGTTATTTATCATTCCAGATTGTATATAAATAAAACTCATGTTTAATTATTGCAAGTGTTGATTGATTGGCGTTTGTGTCAAACTAACTTTTGACATTTTGGCCGTGTTAAAATTTCCTGTGTCAAAATTTCGGCAAAATTTGGAGATATGTTAAAAGTATGTGGGGTAAGTATTTAGTTTTTTTATTCCAAAAAACGGTTCTTTAGTAATATTTCGAATAAAAGTTTTGATTGGGTAGAATTTACGATCGATATTTCGGTTTACTTTAACGCGAGTCGATACAAACAAACCCGCCATATTCACTCCTCAAGGCACCAAAAATTCCTCAAAAAAATGACAATCGGCTTCGCAGATTTAGATCTATACTACCACATGCGCAACCATTACAAAAAACTCCTTAATACCAAACCAGTCGTTGATTGTTGGTCTTTCAAAGGTTACAATGAGTGCCGACCTGTTAAAATACCAAAATGTAGGGTATCTCCAACATGTCCCCAAAGGTAACCCTAAGCATACCGAAAATCTCTTCATTAGTTTTAATTCTTGTTTTAGAAATTACGTTAGTACGTGTCCCCACTCGAGCTGCTGCACGACGAGGGCTTCGAGCGCACCCTGCAAAAGGACCGACTGGGTATAATAATACTTAATAAGCTCAAATTTTTTTCTAATCAAGATTCAGAATTGGAACACGAATAATTGTCGGACAAGGCGATCGCCGAGCTTGGAACCGACTGCCACTAAATTAGAACCTCGATTTAACGAAAAACGAAATGATGTAAGTAAACCCAAAACCGTGAAAAGCAATAAAATGAATAAATCACCACAAAGAAGAAAAGTCAGTAATGAGCGAAAAAGTCCCGAAACGTCCAAACAAAAGTAAGTACGTATTTTTTTTTAAAGAGGTATGACAGGGTCTTTTAGTGAGTGTTGTAGCGGGCCTGAGGAGCACGAATATGTCCACTTTTTGCTGAAAATAACCGAAGACATACTCAGAAATAATATTTACAAGGACAATGAAATGGAGAAGCTGTTTGAGAGCCATATTCAAGCGAATAAAGGGCGTCTGGATGAGGTATTTTGCAGTTGAATGGCTTTTTGCAGCTTTAGAATTTATTATTTTTTGCAAACATTCTAAATCCCAAAAAGTTATTTATCTAATAGTAGATAAATATAGCAAATAGAAAATCTGTCTTAAAATATAATGGTGCAAAATCTCATAAATGTAAGAAGTACAGCAATTTTAGACACTCTATTTAAAACAAATCTTCAAAACAAAAGAATTTTTTTTGATGGATTTGTTTATATTTTTCAATACTTAAACGTTTAGTTGCGAAATAAGTCATGTTACTATTTAAAAAAATGCATTTAATGTAGCAAAAGCTTTAACTATAGTTTTGTATCTTTCTTTCTCATAAAATCTAAATTAGGTCTATCTTTTACTATTACAAGTAGAAGCATTTACTTAACTTTATTCATACGGCTCAATGTGTTGGCTTAGGAAAGAATGCGGTCACAAATCGAAAAACTGAAGCAAGAATTGAATTTACCCTTGCCGAAAAGAGAACAAATGTGTGAATGTGGGGAAGAAAACGGAATGCAAAGCGCACTTTGCAAGTGTTGCGAAATGGGGACTCAATCCGAAACGACGTGTTATTGCAACAATGAGAAATGTCCGCTTCATCCGATTTCTGAAGAAAAACCAGAACCAATCGTAGATGCAGTGAGTTTGGAAGAAGAACCTGAACCCAAATATGATCAGGAATGTGGGAGCCCTGACGACGAACCGGAAAAAGATGAATCCCAATGTGATCCAGAATGTGGTAAGCTTGATGGAAAAACACCGTCGGAATGTGATTGTTTAAACGTTGAAAAGAAATCGGACGAAAGTAACTTAAATATGAAAACATCGTTATCGGATATTACTGAAATAAGTCACGAAGAAAATGGGGATGAGGAAAAACCCGAGGAAGATGTCGAGGACGTAATTGCAGAGCGGGATGTAAGCAATGAAATCGAGGAGGATGAGAAAAATCCCACAATAGTGAAATCAGAGGAAAAAGTTAATGGTGGGTAAATTATATTTCAAGTTGAAACGAAACTATTTTTGTATTTGTAGATGATCCAAAAGTCGTTGAAGATGTTAAAACGAGCAAACACGACTTGGGACCTTCTTGTATAGACCCTCAGCATTGCTCGGTTCAAGAACCCTCCGAATATGTTAACTCCCCTAAACGCTCCACCGAACATGTCAACTCCCCTAAGCGCTCTGCCAGTGGCTACTGTTCTACAAATGGGACAAGTGTCCATAGTATGGTCAAAATCATCAACAAAGATGATCCCGACAATACCGAATCCCAAATAATTTTCTACAACGTCGAAACCGGAACTCATTGCTTTTGCAGCGTTTCCTTCCAAAAAACCGCGCTTAAAATCCAAGTTGACGGCACCGAAAACGAGGAGTATATCCTCGTGGATGGCCCTGTCTGTATGCCTCGAACTATGCTCGAAAAAAAGACAATACCAGTGTTAATCCAGAACGTCTCGTCTTTGCTTCTCAATTCGGAGTTAAACGAAGACGTATCTGACGACCAAAGTCTTTCGAGAGTAAACTTATTGCAGAGAAGCGAGTATAGTGTCGAGGGACCGTTGCCGGATGTTGCCGATAGTGTCAGTGTACAAATTAAAAAAATACAAGGAGGGGCAAGTTTCGGATTTTTACCGGACGCAGATAATGTCGAAGTTGTAGCGACACCAACGGTGGGTTTGGACCCGATTTTGAAAAAGTCGGAAGAAAGTAGGAAGGCTTCAAAAGAAATTGAGTGGAAAATTTCAGAAACATCTGAAACTACCGAAGCCGATGAAGTAGAAAACTTTCCAGTGGCAGAATCACAGAGCGTTCCCACGGGCAACATGGGGAAAACCCCGAAATGTCCGTCTAGAAGTTGCAAAAGCAATAAAGGTGCTACCACATCCCAAACCGAAGAAACACATTCAAAAGAACCCTCCAAAGGCGAGAATGGAGTGACAAATGCTCCAGACAAACTGGCAGACAAACATTCACCGGAATTGGTACATTTTGGAAATGTAGAAGATGATCCAACAAAATTGTTTGAATCCAGCTACGAAAATCTCCCATCGGATGACCCGGCCCGTAAGTACCACTTCCTGTTAATGGATGTGGCGACAAGCACGACATCTTATGATGTAGACGAAAATGAAGACTACCAAATCCACGAACAGGGCGAACAAGCCCTTCGTTTGAGTGAAGACTACCAAATCCACGAAGAGGACGAACCAGCCCTTCCTAAGGATCTCTTAGAGGAAGAGATTCCTGAACCAGTTGAAATTCCTGAACAAGCAGAAGAAATAGTTTCTCCCCTAGGTTCTCCAAATGAAGGAAGTATCACTGAGGATTACAGACTTCTAACAGACGATGAATACGAGGCAGAAAAACCCCCACGAACTCTTGGAGAACCAGAACGCCAGTCATTCGGTTCCAATCGCAGTTCCGACCGAGCGGACAAAGATTTGCGTATTTTCGAATATTCATTCACGCCCACGCGGGGCTCCACTTCGCGAACTCCCGGTTCTAGGCCAGAGTTGGCCTATATAGGGGCTCACGAAAGTGGCACAATCACCAGCGAGGCCGAAGTGAGAGAAACAGACCTGGATGAAAGAGCCGCACAGCCGCCGGGAACACTCCCTCTTCCAAGACCCAGTTTGAGTGACTCGTCATCGCAAAGGAAGCCGCACGAGGGGCTCAAGGTGCGGTACTCGCTTAATAGGGATTTGTTCGATCAGGAACATCAGGATATCATAGCGAAACTGGACCAAATGCCGAAGATAGAGCCGACGACTTTGGAAAGTCGGAATGCGAGTGTAGCTGCTATCACGGATAGGATGGAGGAGTTTAGGAAAATTGGGGATGACAATGCAAATCGGAGATTTCAGATTAGTAATGCAGATAATTTTGAAATACGGAGAGTGTCGAATCCGTCCGTGCATAACGAGAATGAGGATGAAAAGCCGACGAGGCCGAGTTGCTGCGGGTTAGTACAGCCACCGAAGTCTAAGAAAAGAGTGGCGAACTCGGAAACGTGGAATGAAGGGCGAATGAATTTCTGAGCTTAAATAACAGAAAATATATATTTACATTTAACTAAATAAAACGTATTTTAACTTAATTTATTTCTATGACGCTGTCTTCATCAGAGGATATCTCCAAAATGTCAATTGTTGGGGTGCTGGGGCTGCTGTATAAATTCTGCATCACAGATTTCCACATCTTTAATTTTGTGTGAAAGTCAATATTGGGTTGGACTATGACTTCAAGTTTCTCCTTGATTTTCCCTCTACGACTTTTGCTCAAAACTGTTAAATTAAGTATTTTGTTTTCCGTTATTTCATTAAAACTTACCTGAATTGTTTAAATAAAACTCAATAAAATCACTCACTTCATATTCTTCCACTATCCAATTAATAGTCCAATTGAAATCTAAAAGATTTCTATTGAAATTAGCAGTAAAACATTTCACAGCAATCCCCGTTTCATTTTCAGTCACTTCTATCAAAGGGTATTTTTTAAACACAGTCCAACAAATCAATCTTCTCATTTCAAACAACTTCGCAAATTTGATTAAAACTTCAAATGTCAAGTTCATGTTTCTTTTACGTTGGAGGAAATTCTTACACGATGCTATTTCACTTGAAAAAGTGTTGTTAGGTATATTAATTTCCAATTTTAACACTTCTACGTGATCGTCCTAGAAATTCCAAAATCATAAAAAAGCTTACCTAAGCATAGTTATTTACATATTTGAAATAAAGTAGTCGTAAATTGACTTCGATATTAAATATGCTTAAGCTAACAGTATGCACAACACAGATTTTTTCACCGAATTCATGTTTCTGCTCCACAGTGTTATAGGGCTCTTCTTGAAAGCGTAGAAACTTAATGTCGGAAGTGTTTGTATTAATACTGAAGGTTGTTTTAAATAAATCGATTGCTTCTTCGGCAATGGCCATCTCCTGAGTGTGCTAAGTACCAGCTTTGCATTACAAAAACATTTATCCTTTAATAATAAATAAATATAACCTAACTTGCGTATGATTTTTTGACATTTCTGACCATAGATAAAGTAAAATCTACTTTACCGATGGAGTATTCGCAACTGACATTTCCAAATCCAAATGTCATATTTACGTCAAGTGTTAATCATCCCAAGTGAAATGTTCATTCACCGTGTGTTCTAATCTCAGTTCGTAACAATAAGCTATTATATAATTAGTGCACGCCGCGTGAATCAGTTAATAAAAATCGATTCAATTGAATGATGTGCGTCCGTCTGTACACACCTCTCCTATCGTTACTCTCATTGTCTTTTTTCAATTAAAAATTCGCGAATTACATCTGAAATAACATATCCTGACGATATGTTAAACGAATAAGCATGTCAGCTAGTGCAAAAATGGTTTACAACATTAACTGGATAATTCCAAACCTGCGGAACCCTACGAAACTATGGAGTCTTGCCAGTACGATAACGGTAGCTGCTGTTGGGCTTTTCAGCAAGATTTTCATCCGTAACGTGTGAAAATCCACGAGGGAAACAGTTGTAATCATTTTTTGTTACAGAGTGGTTCAATAAAACGAAAATTCATAACAGACATATTATCACTTCTGTGTTGGATAACAGGCCCCGAAATGTACCCCTTATCACAGTTTCTAATCATCATTCATGTTTTGACGACCCGGGCATTTGGGGTAAGTAGGGTTAACGAAATTCAAAAAAATTATTGTAGAATCGATGCAGAAACTTGTTGTGTTGTAGTTTTTCAGCTTCTCAAGGACTGTTTGTTTTTAATTATTTTGTATTTGTTTAAGTTTTTTTACTTCCTATTTATGAATTTGGCAAGTCATTTTATATTTTCGTCCTTGCATATTGGGTGACTATTATCTGATGAAATGATAATTACGATAGTGTACAATGTAACCATTGTATGTCAATTGTTCACAATAGTCAATTCAAGACATCGTAAATTTGAATGACATAATTTTTACATTTCCGGGTGTCTTTAGTAAACCGGAAAATGCATAATGTTTATGTTTATTAAAAAATATTGAAAAATTGTTGTATAATAAAATAGCAAATTGAATCGACAAAGTTAAAATAATAGTGTTTTAAGTGAAAACGCAAATCTGCTTCTTATAAAATGAAATAAAGTTGACCGCAATTTATTTTAATCTCATTTTTATTATTTTGTAAACTCGTTAATTAGCTTAAAAGCTATAGATTATAACAAGTTATCTATTCCAAAAATTTGTTAAAACTATGGTAAAAAAACTATAAATTGTTTATCACACGTTTTGAAACTAAAAAAATATATGTACGTGATACTTGTTTCGACTAAATGCAGTGGTTTATTCTGTTTTAAACTAGTCAAGGATTTTATAAAATCAGATTCATTTTTTTAGATTTAAAACATACAAATTATATATATGTCGTAGTCATTGGGCGTAATGCGTCATTCCGCGGAAAGCCTAGCCTTTGGTCGTACTACCGGCAGACGCTGTAATCAAATAAATATTTCTTTGTTTGACTGAAATTTTACGTCATTTCAGGGATTGCCTACTTAATTCTCGTCAAACAAAGTAACCGGTTAAACCACTACTACATGTTACAGCGTTTGACGAAAGTATATTTAGTCATTTGCTGAAAAGTCTTGAAATGTTTGATACTTTCTGTAGAAATGTAAATTTTTGGTAGAAGAAAAGAAAAAAAAAACTAAAATATTTTTATTGTAGCAAAATATTTGTTTCGTTTATTTCGAATAATGTAAACATATAATATTATAAAATCATACAAAAAACGGTAAGTACATGACCTAAACAACAGTTAAAAATGTATTTTTTGCCTTCAGGTAAATTAAACAAAAATTAAAATATATTCTTTAGAAATATCTTTTGCAGCCTAAAATATGTACAATTGAAATAAAGGTGTATTTTGAGGTTAAAAGTCTTTTACCTCCTTCATTACTTCATAATTCCACGGTTTTTTGGCATCTTTGTTTTTCAAATAATATTCATTTAATTTGTCATACTCGTAAAACAAACTCTTATGATTATCCATTTTCAATAAGAAAAGTCCAACAATTACTAAATGTTACGGCCCGAAATACTACACAATAAAATTTCAAGCTTTCAGCAAATAACTAAATACACTTGCGTCAAACGCTGTAACCTGTAATGTTTTAACCGGTTACTTTGTTTGACGAGAATTAAGTAGTCAATTCCTGAAATGACGTAAAATTTCAGTCAAACAAAGGAATATTCATTTGATTACAGCGTCTGCCGGCAGTACGGCCAAAGACTAGGCTTTCCGCGGAATGACGCATTACGCCCAATGACTACGACATATGCATACTTATTATTTTCTAAGTTAGTACTACAGATTTAATTTCAAATTCAAAGTAAAATGGTACTTCATTGGGAAGTAAAAAATAAAGAAGTCACTAATACTGTGTCTGTGCTATCTGTCATCAAACGCAATTAAATTGGCCAAATTTTTAAAACATCTTTGAAATATTAAAACACTGCGACATGAATTAACAATTTGTTAATTCATGGCCTCTTCTTACTGATTTTTTTTTGTGATTCTTAAATAGACCGACAAAATTTTATCACAGCTTCCTAAGGATAAATGGAGACAAACTGTACCCTTTTTACGTTTATACCCTTTAGGGGCAAAACCCCCTTGATCCGTGTCACTTACGGCGTTTATGAATTGTTGCAATGATCAAGTACATTTTCAACACCATAATACCACTACCTGTGCTAACACATCAGTGGCGTACGCTTTACTTCGAAAATAACTTTAGGGGCAAAACCCCCTTGATCCGTGCCACTTACGGCGTTTATGAATTGTTGCAATGATCAAGTACATTTTCAACACCATAATACCACTACCTGTGCTAACACATCAGTGGCGTACGCTTTACTTCGAAAATAACTTTAATAAATTTTATTTGAAGAACGTTTAAACAAAGAATTTTTTAAATATTTTTTCCAGCATGTTCTCATTTGATACTATTAAGGATAAAATTTTGTTGGTCTATTTAAAAATCACCTGTGTAGTAGATGTTGTAACATTATAAACGTTAAATATGAATTATCCATAACATTTATTGTGTAACCTTGACCTCATTCATACCTCATTTTATTCAATTGAAAACGACGCGACGTTATAAAATTTATATTTATATGAATAAACTAAATGGCTATAAAAGGTGCAATAATGAATTTTTGTTTGTTTGTTTGCAAGGAAGCATTTTTTTTTCGTATTTTTATGAAATTTATTTTTTTGTTTCACATTTTCTGGGTTGAAAGCATAGATCGAAAATAGATTTCTATTTGCTGATTTACAATACTTGGCTTTATTTTGTTCTACACATACAGGCTGAGTCACATATAGGGTTATTCATAAATATGATTTGTGTCCTATCTCTACTGATAATAATTTTACAGCTCTCGGAATGTGGGTATGGAAATTTCTTTTTTTTTTGTAATAATTTCGGAACTATTTGTCCAAATATTATAAAATTTGGAATAGTTACTTGCGAGAACATATTTTAAACTAGTAATCACGAAAACCGGATACATCTACTTAATTTCCCGTTCCAGCAGTTGTATGTCACATTTTCTGTGTTTTTCCATTTTTTGGCCTCTTATACTAATTTTTTATTGCTTAGATCGATAGAGTAACCAATTTAGAATAAAAAACGTATAACCTTTTATACCACTAAAATGGAACGTTTTAAAGATATTTTAATTTAAAGTGAGTACTGCACAACGCTGAAAATGAAAGATGTGAATTTCGAATGAATGGTAACTGGTAACATTTGTGTTGTCAATTTCTTCGTGGTTTGAGTATATTTTGAATTCAAGGGTAGATAAGTGGAACACAACAGAAACCAAATTATAGGTTAGGGTCTGTATTATAAATGACTCGATTTGTATTTTCCTCGAAATTAAAATTATTACCTTGAGACGTTGTAGATAAAAATAATATTAAATTAGTGAATTAAGATTTATTTCAAAATACTATTACGATTTAAAACAAAACACTTTTACGAAGAAAACTAAGTCAGAGAAGATTATTTACTATTGAAGAAATAAATTTTAACTTGTTATAAATTATTCTAATGTACTCTCAGGTGCGATTATATTAATAAAAACATCGAGTACAGGAAGCGACTCAGTGACAAGACAACTTTCTAATAATTATCTATCGACAACTCATTTCTTTTTCGTATTACTTAGTTAAAATATGACTAAATTCATGAGTATTGACTTGGGGTCTAATTAATTTGATTATACAATGATAATAACAAATCAAGCAGGTCAAAAATTGTATTCATTATCTAGGTACCCTAAAGTGGCGCCACCTGATGAACCCTAGAGTGATGCGTTGGTCTCTCGCCGCTCACGATATCTGCTTCACCTGTTCTCAACACTCTTATTTCTTCAGTTTGGGCAAATGCATTCCGGTCATACGTGGCGCTGGCGTTTATCAAGATGCTGTCGATTTCTGCATCGAACAATTAGCGAAAGGTTCATGGGTTCACATTTTTCCTGAAGGTTGCTTTTTTTTTCTCACTCGTTTTCAATAAAAAGTACCATTTCTAGGCAAGGTGAACATGACTAAAGAAAACATGAGACTGAAATGGGGCGTTGGAAGGATGATTTTTGAGTCGCCGGTCACACCGATTGTTGTGCCTATTTGGCACATAGGTATGGACGATGTCTTGCCTAACGAGCCTCCGTATGTCTTAAGGCTGGGCAAGAATTTGACGTTTAATTATGGGAATCCTATAGATCTGACAGATATGGTGCGTAAGTTGAAAGAGACAAACGCGACGGATGTGGAAGCGAGGAAACAAATAACCGATTTTTTGCAAGAGCAGTTGCTGAAGCTGAAAACTGAGACGGAAGAGTTGCATAAGAAGAATTATAAAGTGAATTTATGATGTTTTAGGGATTAGCTAGGGTTTGATTTATTTTATTTATTGAGTATTTGAGTAAAGAACAGCAATATTTGGATGCTAGTCACGTGTTTTTTGCCTATAGAATTTACTGTATTTTACAGTATAAAAGCGAGGTATTAATTTTTTGCATTATTTTTTATCGATTCTTATTATTTAAAGATCAAATGTTTATACATCACGAATATCTAATGCCAAAAATGGTCACAAAGGGCGCATTATTTGATTGTGATATTTCTCGCGGGGGATTCTTAAAGTTTGTAAGATTATACATACTAACATTAGATTTAGAGATTTATTTATTTTTTCAATTGGGGACTTGCTTGCATAAAACGTATCGTAGATTTTAAATTTTGTTCCAAAACGGCCTGTAGTCTCTAGTTACAGTTAAGTTGCATGTTTTATAACATATGCCCTGAGACAGGTCAGCATTTGCATGTAATTCCGTTATTATAGCGCTTGCGCCATTTTAACACGTAATTATGTCCATATACGGCATCAATGTCTCCAGGTGTGTTTTTTGCACTGTATACAAGTTCCCAATTACGATATGTAACAGAAAGGTAGCTTGTAGAAAGTTGTAAAAAATTCTCCCTTGTTTTAAAGTAGATTTAGTTTTTTCCCATTTTTATAATAAATCTGCGACGGATCAAATGATTTTTGTATGTAATTAGTTACGGACATAAAAACGATTGACACGGTTTTAAACATAATTATTGTGATTGTGTATTGTTTTTTCGATTAGATTTGTTAATTTGTTACGGTTATTATTATGTTTTTGTTTAGATGAGGTTTTAGGTATGTTATTTATGACGCACTTCCATTCCAAAATCGCCGTTTTCCTGCATAACAGTCAGTCTGTTTGCTCCTTGTTAGATAATTTTAGAGACTTTGTACCTAAATATTTTATTGTTTAGAATGTTGTGCTTCTATTTTTTAAATAAATTCGATTTAATCACGATTTTTTATTGACTTATTTTCCATTTGGCATCAGTTAAGTTTTTATTGCTCAATATTTTCGTTATTAATGGATCAAATAGGTTGGCAAAATCGCATTTATTTTGTAAATGCTAAAAACTATGAGACATGATTTTCTTCTTATTTTATAAAGTTTACAATAAAAGTCATTGGTAGTAAAATATCGTGAAGGGAGGAATAATTAATTTCTTGGACTTTAGTCACTAATAACATGTAAACAACATTAAAACTTTATTTTCTTACTTGGATTGGTATAATGAATTCTAAAAACTACTTAATATGTAATTAATAAGTATAATATATTGATATTTTTTCCTAATTACTATAAGAATTAAGTTTTAAAACACTGCGGGGATGGCGGTAATTTCAAAACTAGAGGCTGAGTGTATATGTATGTAACTATTATCTCAAAGAATAATATTAACAAAAAAAAATGACAACAGTGATGTAGATATGTGTATGTATTTACTATGTTCATGTTTACTTTGAACAATTTGTTCAATTTTCTGAAAAAATGAATTTTTAAACGATTATTATTTGCAGTAGTGAAAACAATAAATGGCAGTTTTTTATACAGGCTGGATTATAGCTCCAAGTCAAAAATCCATTATTTTTAACGATATGACATTACTTTTTGGAACACAGTTGCCCACTTTATTGTCACCTACAATTCATCCTGTATACAAACATGTATACAGACTTATTCTTAATAATATAATATAATATAAATAATTTTAGTTCGCAAGTTCGATTTCCGAAACCAACATTAATTTAAAAGTTCAATAAATACTAGGAGTATTATGAAATTGGCTTTTATTTTTGCGATTATTTAATGTGTGGTTGATAACATTTGGATTTAGGATACTAATAATGATTATTATTTTTCATCGTTTATCCATTTGTGTATTATCGTTGAAAACGAATTTGTAAATAAAATCAAAGGAACTTTTGGTGGGACTAAAAGATATTTTTTAATGTTTTGACTTTTTTGTAGACTCATTTTAGTAATATGAATGTGTCTTCACATTAAAAAAGGGGAAAAAATTAAAAGCTAAATTATTATACTAAATGCTAAGAATGTTAAAAATACTACTCGCTAGCTGAAAATACTCAACGCTAAGTAAAAATTCTAAACGCTGAAGTAAATATACTACACGATAAGTACAAATACTAAACGCTAAGTATAAATGCTAAATTAAAGATAAAATAAAATAAAGATAAAAAAAATGTTTTTTGTAGACGCTCCCGAAAACAGCTGTTTTAGAAACTCATTTGAGTTCCTAAAATGAGTCTTTTCCGGACTCAATAAAATAGTATGCAAAACGGTTATTTTAGGTACTTAGTCTCCAAAAACAGTTTTTGCGGACTAAAAAATAAAATTGTTTTTTCGCACTATATAAAATATGTAGTATGCAAAACGGTTATTTTAGGTACTCAATCCCCAAAAACAGTTTTTGCGGACTAAAAAATAAAATTGGTTACTATGGTAACAAATTTTTTTTAATTAGTAAGAGGTGTGAATTCGTGTTTTATGAGCTTTAACAAAAAAATCTTGTATGCACCACATACGCAAAAGGTTTTAGGTGACTCCTCTCATTAAAGACTCGGCTCCTACGTCGCCTCGTCATTAATTACGATTCGTCCCCTAAAACCCTATTTGGCGTACTTGATACATAAATAGCTATTAGTACTAAGCAAAAACAAAAGTAAATTTTTAGCAGAAATTGTTGCCATTGCTGGGGAATTGTGAAAACAGGATTGTTCATATTCTTTAACCTAGAAAATGCTGTTTTTATTGCACTAACAATATTTAAAAAAAATTACTTATTCTCATTATTGTAGGTAGTTGTCTAGTATTGAAGTTGTATTGTATTGAAGTGCCACCACACTTAGAGTTATAATCAGTATGTACCAATAATAAATTATATTCTTGCGCAGGGCTCTACAGAGAAATGTAGATACAGGATTGTCCAATTAGTGATTTTGAGTGCTTAATGTCTTAAAAGATAAAAATTTGTTCCACACATGGCAATTCTTATTTTAATACCTACTTAGCATTCCTACCTAGCATTTAGATTACTTATTTCACTTAGCATTTAGAATATTTTACTAAGTAAATCAGTAAGTATTATTTACTTAGCACTTTATTACTAGCCTTTAAAAAGCGCAGTTTTATTTTATATTCAACTTAAAAAATTATGCAACCCAACGCACAACCAGCGACCTATCCATCGGCATCGGCACCCGTTTCCAGCCACCTGCCTTCGAGATCTTTAAGCAGAACTCGTGTCTTCAGCAGCCCATTCAACTGCAACCTGCAGCGCTCTGTGTACGATTTCGGTCCGGTTCTTCTTTCCGGTTTTTCTCCCTTGTGTTTGGTGTGACATAAAAAATGTGTGCGTTTCTTATGTGTAGTGTAAGTGCAATTTTCCTTGGATTATCCCTTCGATAAGACGGATTTCGTCCTGGAGAAGAAGGCCCGGAGCAGGTTGGCGGTGTTGAAATCAAGGTCAGTGGTTTGGAGCGTGTTGAAATTTCGGCAAAACGCCAATATTTGAATGTGGAGAGGGTTCGCGTAATTTACGATCGGTAATAAGCAGGTTCGCGGCGAGTTTTCAGCCTGTTATTGTAATTTAAAATGCGATAAATGCTTAAAAGATGTTTAGCACTCTATTAGGGGATTCGCCGGTGGAAATTTACGACGGGATCGATTTTCTTGAAGGAATTGCTTAAGTCGGGTTTTACTTTTAAGGAATTGGAGCGAGTCGGATGCGAGACTTTTTCTAAGCAACAATTTGAAGGAACTGAGCTGGATTTATAGGTAGTTAGATTTTACGATAACTATAAATCCGTCGTCCGTAACTCTCCAGTTCATTTCAAATCCAAAGTGCTCTCTGATACATTTAAACGATTGTGGAGAGAGTGAAGAGACGCTTTTTCATCGCGAAATTATGTATCGAAGCTTTGTTAGAGGGTCAAAGGTCTGCAAGTGCTTCAATTACGGTGGCTTGTGAAGACCATTCGACATTTGCAAACATGACAATAGAGAAAGGAATTTCTAACGCGAAACATGGGATATAACTCGTTTCTGTTTAATTATTTTGTTTGAAATTATTGCAAATGCAGGCTTCACGCTTGAAACACACTAGGAACGGGGTTATCCAGATAAAACTAAGTAATCCCCAAGGTTTGCGCTTCAGTGATTTTCGTGAGATCCAAAGTTACATATGTAGTGGCTATTTTGGGCTGGTTTCAAAATGTTTCAAAAAGAATTATACTAAACATTGATGAGTTATAAAAGTTAATGACACCTGAACACCTGCATCGATTTTAGTGCTTTTTTTACTTGTGTTATTACTGATTATTTTATTACTAATTTTTTCACAATTGTTATTGCTCTTTTAAAAAATTATACAAGTGTTTATAAAAGAACGCATATCAAGAATGTTACGACAGCACTCAAATGAATGCTTTAGCTTATTAAAGACCCAGACTAGTAAAGTAATTTTTGGGATAATACTAAAAATTGTAAAGAAGTCTTTTTTCTTTAAAATTTTTTATTTCTTTGCAAAATCGTATTGGTTTTTAAATTTGTATCGATGTTTTATTTTTATTCAAAATTAAAGTTAAAAATTGCTAAAAGAATTAAATGTTTTTTTTTTATTATTGTGAATTTACGCTTTTGAAACAAATGTGTTTTTTACAAAAAGACATTTGGTTACCACAAATCTAATACCCAAAATTATGAACATTTGGACGTTTTTTACATTGAATTAATGTTGTTGGTTTATTTATTTTATTACCATTTGGTTATAATTTTGAATACAATTTAAAATTTTAATGATTTGTGAGTGCTTAGGACACAAATTTGCATAAAGAATAAAAAATTATTGTTTTACTTTGAAACTAGTTTATTGTAATAACTCAAAAGTATTTTTGTGAAATTCCACTTTAACTAATGTACAGCATGACAACAAATTACTCTTCTTTATTAAACCAGAACTACTAAACAAACTGGTTTACGTTAACATTAAGTTAAGGCGATTTCTATTTAAAGTTCTTTTAATTGCATAATTTGTAAACTTTTTTTGAAAAAATAAATCCATTTGATAGATGAGTCCCACTTTTCTTTTTCTATTTTTGGTATAAAATGCACCGTTCGTTCTAAATAAACCGTTCTCAATAATGTTAAAATTGTATTAGAGAAATATGCGTTCAAAAGTTATAATTCAATTAGCTTTTGAGCGGTTTCTCAGATATTATTTGCGAGAAAGTTAATCACTTTCAGCATCTGCTTCATTGGTGTGTGAACAGGTCGACACAGCCTCGATTTTGACCTCGTATAACTCGTGCCTTATCTCTGCAAGAAACTTCCATCTTTCAATTTATGGAATATTTGAGTTTCGTTTATCAAAAAATTCACGCCATGTTTCGAAATTCCTGAAACAGCTTTTTCGTGGTACTCTGGGGCATTGACAATGCGGGATCGGTTTGGCATTCTACAGAGCTGTAACAGAACCTGTCATTAAAATGAAAAAAACTGGTCGAATACAAGAAGAACTTTGTCCGCTTGACGTTTAAGAAAATTCAGAATTAAATCGACACCAAAGTTATTTAAGTCTAGGGGTTTTTTTGACGGAGAGAAGATTGCTATCGGGTCAATTAGAGGTAATTATTCCGGAGCTTCTTTATAAAATCGGACAAGAAAAGCAAAACTAGTACTTAATTATCATCGAGTTTTTCTAAAGGCTCTGCCATTATTCGAGTTTTCTTTTTGGAAATATGTTGGTCAAGTGTATAATTTGGTAGATCACGCGAGTGCAATCTAGAGAGTCGAGACGCTATGGTATTAGCGAGGTGAAGGATGGGCATGATGGTTCCCATAACCCACTGCAACGAAATATCATGGGTGAAATCAAAGCAAAGCCCAGCTGAATCTCGCCAACTGCAAACTAGTTTTTGCAAGAACGTTGGTGGAGAATTCATCATTTATTATTATAAGTATTACCTTAAGGCGAGAGTACTTACAGTAATTATATCCTATGTAATTATTTTATAAGAAGATAAATAACCGGTTTTTGCATCTGGGTTCTTGTGGTGGTTCAGTTGCACAACATTAACGGGAAAACGATCCTTCGGGCGTCACCATATCGGAAGCTTCTTCAAAAAATGATAAATTTTGGCCAAAGCTAACTTCAATAAATAACTTTTCACGTTAAAGTGTAAATTGCTTTTTTGATTTGTGTCTGCCGAAATAACGGTTCGAGAAAGTGAAAGGTGGGATCTTAGAACAATAGTCGATGAGTTCGCATTTTGTTAGAAACGAGTTAGAAAACTACCCACGCTTTGCTCGGACACTGACGGGAGATTGCGGTGATGACAAGAAGGTGACGCTGCAAAATATGGAGATTTTTTTTTTATTTTTACAAACATTGATCTACAAGACATTTTGTTGCCATAATGTTTTTGTAATAATTAACTGAAGATTTTGGGGTTCGGGGACGCTCGGGGTCGGAGAAGTTGACAGAGTAAAGGCCAAACTTCTCGCTGAAATTTTGTCAATTAAAGCATAATTTACAACAAGGAAGTACTTACGTGTAGCCGTTTAACCATTCGAAATTATCCAGAAAACTCCACGCTGCATATGCGGTAATGTTGACGCCATCGTCGTAAATTGCTTTCAAAACATTACTTAAATATTCCTGAAAAAATATTTGAAATGACTATGAAAATAGAAACTGTATTTACTCGGTAGTAGTTGACTCGGCGCGAATCATCAAAAATACCACCAACGTCAGAATATCCATTCTCTGTTATTATTATTTCAGGATTTTTGTACGTATCTTTTATCCATTTTGAAATTTTTCTTATTCCCCATGGAACAACCTACAATCCGAAAATATTTTTCTTGGAAATCGTAATAAAATAAAAGCTTACTTTTAACCAATTTGACGCCGAACCTTCCCATGATGAATTTTTGAATATATTGACTGAAATATCTTTCGTTGACTTGGGTTTACCAATTGCTATATCTGTGCTCCATTCAGCTAAGGTAGTCGTGTAATGATTCAAACCGATGAAATCGTAAGTTCCTTTAATATCTTCAATTTCATTATCTGTAAACTTGGGCAATCGCGACTCTTTGAAACCTTCCTTTATGCTTCGTTCTTCGATTCGATCAATCATCACTTGGGGATAATTTCCATATACAATAGGGTGTGCAAACCAACCGAACTAAAATTTAATCTATAAATCCTAATTAAAATTTTAATGGAAAAACCTGAAACTGGAGTTTTCTTTCGGATGCTTCCAAATCTTTCGAATCACTACTTGCAGGTTCAAACCAGTCCGTATTTAAGACAATCGTAATTTTGCCATTTTGTGTTTTTCGATATGATTTGTCATATATCCGGTACGCTTTAGCGTGAGCTTTTAAAATCACGTGAGCACAAGTATACAAATCAATCCCTGGAGCTTTTGTAATTGCCGGAGCTTTAAGCCCGTTTTCGTACCCTTGTTGGCAAATAATAAACGGTTCATTGAACGTCACCCAATGCTTGACTCGACTTCCGAAAAGCTCAAACGCTAGTTGTGCATAATTTGCAAAAACTTCAATGAAAGTATCATTGAGAACACCTCCGAAATCGTCTTGAAGTTTCTGGGGCAAATCCCAATGGTACAATGTGACCATTGCTTCAATTCCACGTTTTTCTAACTCTGAGAGAATTTCTTCGTAGTATTTGACTCCGGCGTCGTTAATTTGGCCGTCGATGTAACCCGTGGGGAGGATTCTACTCCAAGATAGGGAAAATCGGTAAAAGTCGACACCAAGGTCCCCAAGTAGAGCGAGATCTTCTTTGTATTTGTGGTAGGAGTCGCAAGCGACATTTCCGGTGGAGTTGTCTTTGACTAAGTTTGTTTCGTGAGTTAGGCGGTCCCAGATGTTTTCGCCTTTACCATCAACATTCCAACCACCTTCGATCTGGTACGAGGCTGTGGCTACACCAAATTTAAATTCGGAGGGGAATTTGCGGTTGTCAGCACACTCATTTTTCCTAATTTTTTGTTATTATTACTGATGTTTTAAAAATCAATTGAAACTTACTTCCAAAAAAGGGATAAAGTGTAAAAGACAAGAAATAACTTTGGGAGAAACATTTTTGTTGTTTGGTTTAACAGATTTTGTTTGTATTATTGTTTTCGATAAGATAAATGTAAATTTTCAAGTATTTTAGTGCTTCGATGCTTGAGTTTGTTGATAATGTCAATTATTCATAGATCAGATTTTAGATTACTTGATAATACCTTCTGTACGAAAGGTATCGGGAAATTTTAAATAAAATAGTACTACGTTATTATTGATCAATTTTTATTTGATTCCATTCAAACTCAACTCCATATGAAGCGACAGGCATATGCCAAGGTTTAATTCAAGCATCAAAACACTTCTCATAAACAGCGGAAGATATGGCTTTCAATTCTTTCTGCGAATTTTGTTTTATGTCTTTTATGGATTCAAAAAGCCTTCCTTGCGGGACAATTTAAGTTTAAGAAACAGGAAAACGTCACAAAGGGCCATGTTAGCTAAATACGATGCTTAATTGATGACATTTGTTGCGTTTTTAGTCAAAAATTTGTGCAGGATTGTTGCTGTGTGTGCAGGCGTACTGTCATAGTGCAAAATTCCAGAGTTGTCTTTCCACAAATCTGGCTTTTTCCAGCGAATATTTTTTACAAACATTTTGTAACGGCTAAATAATATTACTCTTAAACTTAAGTGACGATTTACAGTCATCATTTCGTTGATTTTCTTTACATTTTCCTCTGTTTTTGTTGTTGACGATCGTTCAGAACGAGGAATGTCGGTGACTTCTTTTGGGCCCAATTGAAATGTTTTCCACGACTTGTATGCTTGTGTTTTTGAGATACATGAGTTCTCAAAGGTTTTTTGCAAAATTTTCAGAGATTTACTACACGAATTTTTCGTTGACAACACAAAATTTCAAGCGAATTCTCTGATCGTTAGTGGAATCCATTACAAAAATCGCAAGTTTGACTTAACCACAAGTTATGGTAAAAACAATTTTAAACATCCCACTTGACCCGATACTTTTTTTAAAGAGTAGTACTTCTTAAAATGTGGTTTTAATGATGCTTGATTTAATTTTTTAAACAAAATATTTCATTTATTAAAGAGACTTAACATTTTTGATAGTTGTTTATTTAGTTTGAGAGTTTAGTTATCATTTTTTATTCTAATTTGAAAAAATAAATTAATTTTTTATACAAATATTTATTTATTTATTCAAATACATTTATTTTGTTATAAATATTACTCGCATGTGTCTACTAAACACCTGGTACTAATAATTTTCGAATAATAATCAGCAGAAGCCTTTTTTGTTCTTGTTCTCTCGGTGCTGTTGAAATCAACGCTGTACAAACCAAACTTTTCCCTAAAATTTTAGTTTAGAGAATTATCTCCTAATTAATTTATTATTTTCTTACGAAAATCCACTTTTCCATTCGAAATTATCCATCAAACTCCAAGCAGTATATCTTGTGACATTTACTCCATCTTCCACAATCGCATCAACGAGATTACTTAAATATTCCTAAAATTTACATTTATGTATCCTATTATCTTTAAAACAAAAGCTTATTACTCTATAGAAACTTATTCTTTGATCATCATTAACTCCACCACGGTCTGATACACCATTTTCAGTAATAAAAATTTCCGGATTGTTGTAGGTTTTACTAAGCCAGTTTACTACTTTTCTTAAACCCCAAGGAACAACTCTCAGCCATGATGAAGCCGATTCTTCCCAACTATCATCCATAAAAAGATGAACATTTAAATCGCTGTCATAACCGACATTGGAAAGATCTACTTCTTCTTCTTTCCATTCGGCATAATTTGTAGTGTAGGAATTGAGGGCAACGAAATCGTAAGTTCCTTTAACATAATCCAATTCTTCTTCTGAAAATTTTGGAAGTCTCGATTGCGCAAAACCTTGCTGTTTACTTCTTTCATCAATTCGGTCGATCATGACTTGGGGGTAATTGCCTATGATGATGGGGTTGCCGTACCAACCATACTACAAATTCTTTTATATTTTATAAAAACATAAAATACAAAATACCGTAAATTGAACGGCCCTTTCCGCCGCTTCTGCATCCTTGTCACTGCCACTGGCCGGCTCAAACCATATTGTGTCAATAACCATCCCGACTCTTCCTCCCTGTTTAGCTTTAAACTCTTCATCATAGATATGATAAGCCCGCGCATGTGATTTAATTAAAGTGTGTGTACACTTATAATCAGCTATTCCGGTGGTCGTGAAACCTGGCGCCTTTATCCCTTTGCCGTATCCTTCAAGACACGTTTGTTTTGGTTCGTTGAAAGTCATCCAAATTTTGACTAAATCCCCCAATTGCTCAAACACGGTTCTAGCATAGTATGCGTAATGTTCCTCCATTTCTGGGTTAGGCCATCCACCCAATTCCTGCAAGGGTTCCGGAGTGTCCCAATGGAATAGTGTAACCATGGGTTCAATTCCATTATCGAGCAGTTCTTGCGTCAAATTTCTGTAATATTCAATACCCAATTTGTTCAGAGGCGAACCGGCGATTCCATATGGGAGAATACGGGACCAAGAAAGGGAAAATCGGTAATAGTCGACCCCTAAGTCTTTAAGTATCGCGACATCCTCTTTGTATTTGTGATACGAGTCGCAAGCGACGTCTCCATTGTCTTGGTTTACGACATATGTGGGGTTTGTATGAGTGATGTGGTCCCAAATGTTTTCGCCTTTGCCGTCTTCTTTCCAAGCACCTTCGACTTGGTACGATGCTGTTGCAACGCCGAATTTGAAATAATCCGGGAATTTGTTTTTTGAAGTGGAGCTGGATTTACTAATTTTTTTTTATCAAAGGGTTAGTCAGGGGAAAATGACACTTACTTCAACCCTATTAAGAAAACTGTGGCAAAGAAGAATAATCTGAGTTTCATTTTGAGTACCTACCTACTTATGAGTCAGTAAATTGTTTTTGCTTTTATATAGGTGCAAATAATCTACACTTACCTTTCTTTGGCCACGGAGGTTTTATCTTATCCACCTCTTGAATTTATCAAAACATAGAGTATCTTGTTTATATCTATCGAGGGTTGAGGACTTTAACCAAATTCGTGCTGTGGAAATTTTACTAAATAAAAATTTCCTTTCACTGTCGTAAATTCTGATACGTACAAGTATAGCAATTAAATCATATACATGCGTATACGAGGGAAGATATACGTGTACTCGTACATACAGGCTGTCCCGTATTTCTTCGATTACTCTGCCAGTAAAGAAGATAACGAAATGCGATTTCTTTAGGACGATAGACATTCATTTTTTCTATGGTCCAAAAATATTTTCGTCATTATGGGTAATTTATATATAGGGTGGGGCAACAAAGTTATATTTTTTCATATGGAACACCCGGTATATTATACGCTTATTTGAAACAGTTTTTAATTCTAAGAATATCCATATTAGGTTTTATGGGTATATCATGGACCGTTTATCATTTATGGGCAATTTTTTGAAAAAAAAGTACCATTTTTAGAAAATCACAACGGCTTTGCTAGAAAGAAAAAGTGAATAAAAACAATTGCAACCATTTTTACTGAGTCTGGTCCTTAATTATTCTGGTAGAAATTCAATCAATCTTTTGCAACTACTGCAGAGTGTTGACATTCGCAAGATATCAATTATCTTGATTTTTTCAAATGGAACACCCTGTATGTTATTACTTTATCGTGTAGAGCTTTTAATGAGTTTTCTAAAAAACCTAGGGTTTGGAGGTCTAAACTTTACCTGTTTTATTGTACACCCTTTAAACCTACAAAATTTTAACTTATTCTACTTAGCTTTAAAAATCAAGTAGGTTTGCGTTACTTCCTCTTCAAAAAAAGTTTTAAAGTTACGTTATCACCATAGATCAATCAAGTTTGTTAGAGAATGTAGAATTATGTAGCTATATGGAGCTCCTGTTCATTTTTAGCAGCAGATTTCCTAATCGAAATATTGAGAGGGGAGAACTATTGTCTGGCCACCGCGATCTCCAGATTTGACTACAATTGATTTCTTTTTTTCGGGGTGTGTTGAAGAGAAGGTGTTTGGAACAAGACCCACCACTCGAAATAACATGAAGGAAAGAATAATTGAAGCCTTTAATGACATCTCTGTTGAAATGCTGAGGGCAATCAAATTTTTCTTTATGCGTAGACTAGACGTCTGTCTGACGAGGAATGGCAGGATTTTTGAATATTTGCTATAGAATTAATTATATTTTAATTTTTACAATTAAGGTCTTGCATTGAATTCAAATTCCAATTAGCGTTTCTTGAGTTTTACTCAGTATTTCAATAAACAACCTGTTTTCTTAATTGATGTATGGTGATAACGTAACTTTAAAAAATTATTCATTTTTTTTAGAAGAGGAAGTAACACAAACCTACTTGATTTTTAACGCTAAATAAAATAATTTAAAATTTTGTAGGTTTAAAAAGGTGTACAATAAAACGGGTAAGTTTTAGACTTCCAAACTCTGGGTTTTTTAGAAAGCTTATTGAAAGCTCTACACGATAAAGTAATAAGATACACGGCTGTTTTATTTGAAAAAATCAAGATAATTGATCTTTTGCGAATGTCAACACTCTGCAGTAGTTGCAAAAGATTGATTGAATTTCTATCAGAATAATTAAGGACCAGACTCAGTAAAAATGGTTGCAATTGTTTTTATTCACTTTTTCTTTTTAGCAAAACCGTTGTGATTTTTCAAAAATGGATTTTTTTTCACAAAATTGCCCATAAATGGTAAACGGTCCATGATAGACTTATAAAACCTAATATGGGTATTTTTAAAATTAAAAACTCTTTCAAATAAGCGCATAATATACTGGGTGTTCCATAAAAAAAATATAACTTTGTTGTGCCATCCTATATAGGAATTACCTATAATGACGAAAATATTTTTGGACCATAGAAAAAATGAATGTCTATCGTCCAAAAGAAACCGCATTTCGTTATCTTCTTTACTGTCAAAGTAATCGAAGAAATACGGAGCTCTGGGACTACATACCAGGTGAATAAAAAGTATGGAACCAAACGTTTTTTGCTCAAACTATTTATTTTTTGAAAAAACTAATTGATGAGTGATAAAGTACTATAAAAATGTGATGATTTAACAAGAATAAAATTTTTCGAAATTTTCTTTTGTTTTTGAGTTCTACAAAAAAAAAAAATTAAATGGCAACCCACTATAAAATCATTTTTCTCATAAAAGCTATACTTTAAGGATTACAACTATCTGCTTTATATTTAATTTTTTCAAAAAAAATTTTTCACATAAATTGCAATTTTGACAAAAAAAATCGCATAACTCAAAAATAAAACAAAATTTCGTTCTGAAAATACGATTACATTTTTTATATTACTTTAATTTATATTAGTTATTATTTTCTGGAGGCAAATGATTAAAAATAAAACCGCTTGGTTCCATACTTTATATTCACCCTGTATAAACGATTGTTTGTATATTATTAAAAACTGAATTTGATTTAGAAATCCAGATGTTCGTTTTTGCTTGTTTAAATATTTTAGCTGCAAATACAAATAATTAATTCTATTTTACAACTCTAATTAATAATAATAATAATAAGCAATTTTTTCACCTTATTAAGGTAGTAATTATTTTATTAAATTTACAACCGTAAGTTTTATTTTTTATGGAACTAGCAATAATACATATAAATTATAATTATTACTATGTGTATATTTGCATATATGTTTATGCAAAACTTTGTGTAACTTAAAATTATTATATTTCCTTATGATATATAATATTATATCATTGTCAATTATTTTTTTAGCAATTATGATTTATACTTAGTATATTTAAAAATATATAATTTATTCTTGTTTTGCATCGTGTATTATGAAGTGGACTACTAATCCATAAACATACTTATTTTTTAACAATTTACGGTTACAAATAATAATAATTATTAATTGTAATAAGCAATTAGCGGAATGTATGAGGGTGTTAACATCAATAATATCATAATTAGAACATTTACATATTAACATGTTAATAATAATAAGTAAGACAATTTGTATTTATTTGAATCTATTTTTACAATAAAATATTCTTTTAAACAACTCGATCTTTTATAACACTTCCATAATATTCCACCGATTTTTTCGCAGTTCTTGTCCTTTCATCATTAGTAAAATCAACATGGTACAAACCAAACTTGATTCTAAAATTAACACAATAAACAAAAATAAGTAATAAAGTAGTGGGTAAAATCTCACGTAAATCCTTGTGCCCATTCAAAATTATCCATCAAAGTCCAAACAGTGTAAGCTTTTACATTTACTTGATCTTGATGTATGGCTTGTAAAGTAGCATTCAAATATTTTTGAAGAAAACTAATTCTTCTGTCGTCTTTCAAAGTTCCGGTTTTGTCCGGATATCCGTTTTCAGTGATCAAAATTAAGGGATTTTTGTACCTTGTTTTAATCCATTGAAGACTATTTCGAAGTCCAAAAGGTGCAATCTAAATGAATCGGGATTCAATTTTTGATTTAAATTTGTTTCTTTTACCTTTCCGTTCCATTCTGTGTCCTCCCAAGATAGATCAACAAATCGTTCCGTTCCCACATCTTTGACATAACTTGGTTCTCCGATAGGTTGCTCTGGTGAGGCTTTAACTAACCAACTATTGTAATGATTAAGACCGATAAAGTCGTATGTTCCTTTTATTTTTAACTGTTCTGCTTGAGTAAATTTCGGTAGACGCGAATCTGGGAAACCTTCCTGTTTGCTCTTGTGAGCCACTCTTTCGATCACTATTTTGGGATAATTTCCATAAACTACCGGATTGGCAAATAATCCAAATTCGAATTGTCTTCTTTGTTCGGCTGCTTCGAGATCTTCCGGCTTTGTACTCGCCGGTTCTGACCATTCAAAATTGAGAGTTATTCCAATTTTTCCGTTCTGTTTTGCCCGAAACTCATTATTGTAAATGTGATAAGCTTCAGCGTGAGCTTTGAGAAGATTATGAGTACATAAATATTCAATAACTCCATTAGGATAAACCTCATTTATTAGTCCTACAAACTCATTATAATCCTGACACACAACTTTGGGTTCGTTGAAAGTAATCCAAGTTTTGACACGGTCTCCGAATAATTTAAAAGCAATCCGTGCATAATTCGCAAACAAGTCGACGAAAATCGGGTTGTAATAACCTCCAAAGGAACTAAACATCTGAGGAGAGTCCCAATGAAAGAGGGTAACACATGGCTCGATACCATTTGCTATTAATTCATCAATTAGGTTGCTGTAATATTGGACACCGGCGGTGTTTATCTCAGAGGAGAATCCTTGAGGCAAGATTCGGGTCCAGGAGAGCGAAAATCGGTAGAAATCGACTCCTAAGTTTTTTAACATTTGGACGTCTTCTTGCCATTTGTGATAAGAATCACATGCAATGTCGCCATTTGAGTTATCGATGGTAAAATTTGGGTTGGTGTGGGTTAAATGGTCCCATACGTTTACTCCTTTACCATCAGCGTTCCAGCCGCCTTCGATTTGGTAAGCCGCCGTGGCAACTCCGAATTTGAAGTCATCTGGGAAGGACCATTTGGATTTAGTTGGACTGAAATTTGTGGTTAAGTAGTGGGAGCTTTAAATGTTTTATTACCTAATGATGTATAGTAGAATTGCAGAAAATAGCAGCTTCATGATTAATAAGAAAAAATAATTATGAGTTTATTTTCTAAATCTTAGTTGTAGCTAGAATAAGTGGTGATAAGTGATAAAGGATTGTAAAAATATTTAACAGCAATTTAAAACATAAATTTTTTATTGACTTATTGTTAGATATATGATACATGCAGACTATGGATGATCAGGTTAGGAAAACACTGATTACCTATGGCTGTAATTATTTTTTTCTGGAGATATTTTTTTATAGATAACATATTACACATTATTATAGTTTTAAAAGCTTTAAGCGATACTTTATAAAAAGTTAATCTTTTTACTGTACTAGTAAGAATTACATACCTGTGGGGGAGGTGCTTTATTATTATTACCATACGCGAATTTGATGACCATGGGGCAAAGCTCCACGGTTAACAATAAGCCAAAGTACAATGAATCAACGACCACCAACCATTATCTTTGAACAACAGAAGGTTAATGAAGAATTTATCAAATTTTCAAAAATAGTTCAGGGTGGGAAGTGGTAATTTTCTTACCAGTTTTCGAGTTGGGATGTGACCACTTCTAAACCTAAACCTGATATTTCTCGAATCAATTGTTAAATGAAGTTGAAATGTTCTACTTTTCAAGTTTTCACATGCAAGGTAATTTCATTATTATTTTATGATTGTGAATAAAAATAAATACATATAAAACATGGGGAAATAGAAACCTTTTTTCGAAATTCATTCCTTAACAGAATTTGATCAAGTTATAATATTAGAGTTTGAACTGAAGATTTTATATCTAGTTTGTACATTATTGTTTGGGGTTTTAGTTATTATTTGTATAAGTGTTTTACATTTTATCCACACAAGAATTTTTAGACACGAGACGGTTAGTTCGAGTGTTTAATATTCTGAAGTAGATAAAATGTGACTAAAACACGATATAACGTATTATTTACAATCAATCTCAAATTTAAAAAATTAGTTGACATTTTAATGTTACACCGACTTTCAACGAAATTTACAAGTTGATTCTGGCTAAAATGTGTTTTGTATTAGTGTTTTAGTCACTTAACTTGGTGTAAATATGAGAATGTGGATGTTAATACTAATGGTAATAAATTCATTGACCAAATTCTTTGTTTTATTCTGAAATACTTTACAAAGTATAACACTCACGTAAGTTATGGATTATAATCAATGTGTGGTGTTATAGACTTCAGAAACGTTTGAAATCATCACAGTTATCATAGTAATCATCATAATATGTTGATTGTGGCTAAAAGTAATTTTTTTGTGTTAAAAACTTTTCTGTTATGAATAGAAAGAATTCAGTAAAGAGAGCTGTTATTTTAGAAGTTAATCTAATCGTCTAGTAACAATAATTTTTTGATAATATTTTGCGGAGTCTTTCATTGTCCTGACTCTTTTAGGATCATTAAAATCGACGTGATACAATCCGAATTTTACCCTAAAAATTATACATATTACAAATTGTAAAAAAAGTATTGGTTTTTGTTACAAATATCCTTGATTCCATTCGAAATTATCCATCAAACTCCAAGCCATAAAGGCTTTCACATTAACTCCATCTTCCAAAATTGCTTGAAGAGTTGCATTTAAATAATCCTAGAAATTGTATGTACTTAAACCTAATTTTTTGATCATATAAATATACCCTGTAAAAATTAATACGTTGGTTGTCATCTAAGTTACCGATTCTATCAGAATAGCCACATTCCGTGATAAGAACATCAGGGTTTCCATAGGTTGATTTGATCCAGTTTAAAGCTTTGCGCAAACCCCATGGTACTACCTAAATACAAGTAAAGTTATTTTGTATAACAGATTCAATTTTCTAAATTTTACTCGATTGTCTTCTGCTCCTGTCGTATTCCAACTGTCATCTTGTACCCTACTTACTTTCGTATCGATATAAAAACTCGATTGTTCCAAAGACGCTTCGTCTCCATTTGAAACCAACCATGTGGTATAATGGTTTAACCCCAAGAAATCATAAGTCCCTTTTACGTTTAATTTTTCCGCAAAAGTAAACTTTTGTAGTCTTGACTCAGGAAAATCTTCCAATTCGCTCCGTTTGGCCACTCTGTCAATCACAACTTTCGGATAATCGAAGTTAATAATCGGATTAGCAAAAATCCCAAACTGGAAAATTAAAATTAGAGCACATTTGTTTCAAACCCTGACTAACATCAAACTGTCGTCTTCTTTCTGCCGCTTCAACATCTTCCGGTTTGTCTGTCGCTGGTTCTGCCCATTCGAAATTAAGAGTAATCCCGATTTTTCCGCCTTGTTTGTGCCGAAATTCTCGATTGTAAATGTGGTAAGCTTCAGCGTGGGCTTTAAGTAGATTGTAGCTGCACAAATATTCAATGACTCCGTTGGGATAAGCCGGTTGTCCACTGCCCAAAACACTATTAAAGTAATGACAGATTATATTCGGCTCGTTGAAAGTGATCCAGATTTTGACTCTATCACCGAATAATTCGAATGCTGTTCGCGCATAATGCGAGAAGAACTTGACCCAAGCGTCGTTTGTTAACCCACCCAAGGTGCTGATTTTCTGGGGCATGTCCCAATGGTACAGGGTGACCACAGGCTCTATACCATTTTCGATGAGTTTGTCGATCAAATTGTTGTAATATTTGACTCCGGCTTGGTTTACTGTGCTGGTGTAGGCTCCGGAGAGGATTCGAGTCCAAGCAAGGGAAAATCGGTAATACTGAACCCCCAACTCTTTCAACATTTCGACATCGCGCTCCCATTGATGGTACGAATCGCATGCAACGTCTCCGGAAGACTGATCAGCGATAAAAGCCGGAGTTTGATGGGTTATTCGGTCCCATACACTTGTTGTTTTCCCGTCTTCGTCCCACCCACCTTCAATTTGGTAAGCCGAAGTTGCAACTCCGAATTTGAAATCTTCGGGGAACTCCCATTGGGCAGTTTGGGTCAAACTGTCGAAAATACTTTGAATTTGGTATTAGCAAAATTTAATAAAAGTGAATACCTGATTAGAATGGATAAAAGCAAAATTATAAATCCTTTAAAAACCATTTTGAAATAAGGCTCAAATCCCGATTTGATGAAATGTAATTCTAACGAAATACTGCAGGAGATAAAAAATGTTTTTTATGAGGAGCGGCTTTACGGTTTTATTAGAGTAAATAGAACTAAATCCTTTACAAATAGATATATTAGGTGTGATTAAAGGTCACGATTGAATGTTCAGTTTGGTATGGTTTTGGTATTTGTTAGATTTTTGAAAAATTTTACAGATTTTTTCGGTGTTCGAGTGCGATTAGGATCGGTGAAGTTGACATGGTAGAGGCCAAATCTCAACCTAAAAACTGTATTTAGATGAAATTGATTTTTAAATCTTCTTTTACTCGTATCCGTGTGTCCATTCGTAATTGTCCATCAAACTCCACGCCATGTAACCTTTAACATTGACTTCATCCTCAATAATTGCTTGTAGAGTCGCATTAAGATATCCCTGGAAGTTATCTTTACTAATTTATCTCTTGTTTTTTTAAATTTTTTACTTGATAATATTCTATTCTTCCATCATCTTCTAAAACTTCAGTACCATCATCAGCATAGCCATTCTCTGTTATTATTATTTCCGGGTTTCGATAATTGATTTTTATCCATTTCAAAAGATTTCTTAAACCCCAAGGAACAAGCTTTAAATATTTATTTTATAATCAGTAAATAAAATTTTTAACATACTTTAATCCAATTGGCTGCACAACCTTTCCACTTTTCATCTCGAAATCTTTCACCTCCAGCGTCTGTTTTAACTGATGGTTTGGTGATGGGTGGTTCGTTTGCAGCTTTAGAGTACATGGTAACATAATGATTTATGCCCAGGAAATCGTAAGTACCACGGATTTTTAATTTTTCAGCTGTGGTAAATTGTGGTAGTCTCGATTGTGTAAAATTTTCCATTTTACTTCTTCTTGCAACACGATCAATGACAATTTTTGGATAATCAAAATTAAAAATCGGATTAGTGTAAATCCCAAACTGGAATTCGATTAATCAAAAGTCTGTACTCATAATTTAGAATTTGAACTAACATCAAACTGAAGGTTTTGTTCGGCTGCTTTGATATCTTCAGAGTTATTTGTAGCAGGTTCTGACCAAGTCATATCTACAGTTATCGAGATTTTACCTGAAAATTAATCTTATTCAAAGTTATTTTAAGGGGAAGTTTAACCATTTTGTGTTTTTCGGAATTCTCTGTCGTAGATATGGTAAGCTTCAGCGTGTGCCTTTAATACATTTTGGGCACACAAATACTCAGATATTCCTAAAGGAAAATTTTCTGTTACGTCTCCAACTAATCCTTTATACTCTTCACAAATCAACCTTGGCTCATTTATCGTAATCCACGTTTTGACTCTATCTCCAAATAATTCAAACGCTTTTCTTGCATAGTTTGCAAAATGTAGGACAATTACGGGATTTGTCCATCCTCCCAAAGCGCTGAAAACTTGTGGTAGGTCCCAATGGTACAAAGTGACGACCGGTTCTATTCCATTTTCGATTAGTTTATTAATCAATTTGTTGTAATAATCGACTCCTGGTTGGTTCACTCTTGTGGCATAGCCTTCTGGTAGAATTCTGGTCCAAGCTAAAGAAAATCGGTAAGTATCAACACCCAGATTTTTGACCATTTGGACATCCTCCTCCCACTTGTTGTAAGAATTGCAAGCAATGTCACCGTTACTGCGGTCTTTTACAAGGATAGAACGGTTGTGACCGAGAGTGTCCCATATGCTGGTACCTTTACCATCGGCATTCCAGCCACCTTCGATCTGGTAGGCTGAAGTGGCAACGCCGAATTTGAAATCAGCGGGGAATTTCCATTCTATAGCGTTGGAAAATCTACAATTTTTTGTGAAAAATTATTTTGAGTAAATGCAATTATACCCTAGAAATACTAAAATGAGTAAAAATTTCTCAGACATGTCATTTACATTTAATAGATTTGATTCAACTAAGTTAATTTTCTTTTTCATGCAAATAACGAGCTAATCTGCTTATTATAACGTGATAATATTTTTATTATGGTATGCTTTTATTGTTTTTCTGAGTAAGGTCGACTAATTAACAAACTAATTATCTGACAATAATTTAATACGATCATAATCCACAATAAATAACTAAGGAATAGTTCGAGCTCTGACAACTTTTTTGAAAAATTCTACTGACTTTTTAGGGGTTCGTTGTCGATTTGGGTCACTAAAATTGACATGATATAAACCAAATTTGAGTCTAAAAATTACAAAACAACATAAATTAATTATATTGAGACTTCACTTACGTATAACCGAAACCCCACTCATAATTGTCCATTAAACTCCAAGCAATGTAACTCTTGACATTCACACCATCTTCGATAATTGCTTGTAAAGTGGCATTCAAATATTCCTAAAATATCTCTTACTTAAGTAATTTTTTAAATTGTTATTTGTTACGCGATAGTATTTAATTCTTCCATCATCATTAATGACATTGTCTCCGTCAGCATAACCATTTTCTGTAATCATTATTTCAGGATTTTGGTAATTTTTTTTAATCCATTTTAAACTATTTCTAAAGCCCCACGGTACTATCTAAAAAATCAAATAAGGTTTTGATAAAATTTAAGTTAATTTTACTTTAATCCATTCAGCAGCACAACTTTCCCATTTGGGATCAAAAAACCTTTCTCCCCCTGAATCTATATCGAACGATGTTTTGGTTAAAGGTGGTTCTTTAGTGGCTTTTGTGTACATCGTAATATAGTGATTTATACCCAAAAAATCATAAGTTCCTTTAATTTTTAATTTCTCGGCCATTGTGAATTTAGGTAGTCTTGATTTAGGTATTTTTTCTATTTTACTCCGATTTGCTACACGTTCAATAACCACTTTTGGGTAATCATAATTAAAAATGGGGTTAGCATAAAGACCAAACTACAATCAAAAGTTGAAAAATTTACCAAAATGATTTGCTAACTAACATCGAATTGCACGTTTTGTTCCGCAGCTCGTACATCTTCAGGATCACTGGCATTGGCCGGTTCGGACCACACCATATCCAAAGTGATTGATATTTTTCCGTACTGCACAGGTCTGAATTCCCTATCATAAATATGATAAGCTGCTGCATGTGCTTTGAGGACATTATGGGCACACAAATACTCCGAGATTCCCAGAGGATAATCAGGGGTTATGTCACCCACTAATCCTTTAAAAAAATCACACATTAATCGTGGTTCGTTTATAGTAATCCAAATTTTGACTCTGTCTCCAAATAAACGAAACGCTTTTCGGGCATAATTTGCAAAATACGGGATCACTATGGGATTAGTCCATCCGCCCAAAGCACTGAAGACTTGAGGCAAGTCCCAATGATACAAAGTGACGACCGGTTCTATTCCATTTTCGATTAGTTTATCGATAATTTTGTTGTAATATTTTATCCCCGCAGGGTTAACTTTGGAGGAGTACCCATCAGGTAAGATTCTAGTCCAGGATATGGAGAATCGATAATAGTGAACTTCCAGATTTTTGATCATGAGGATATCCTCCTCCCATTTATTATACGAATCACAAGCTATATCACCGTTACTGCTATCACGGATTAGAAACGAGCGGTTATGGGTGGCCACATCCCATATGCTGGTACCTCTACCATCGGCATTCCAGCCGCCTTCTGTCTGGTAGGCAGAAGTCGCAACGCCAAATTTAAAATCGTTAGGGAATTTCCATTTGGCTACTGATAACCTGTAACTGGGTTCATCTATTATGTGTTTTTTTGGTAGTCGGAAAATTTTTACCTTGCCAATGGTAGTATTAGTATTATTAGAATTTTTGAGAACATGGGTGACGTCTCGCTTTTAATTGCTGATTAATACTAATTTTACAAACTAATAATTTCCTCTTGGGATACGACGAAAGATTATCTCAAAAATTTTTGTGCTCTGAAAGGTCACAAAAATTTGTTAGTACTTTGTGGCACTCTACAAACTGAACGATAATGGCTTGTTATCATTTTTTGTGTTTATCAATTATGTAAAATTAAAAAAACAAATAAATAACAATTATTTATTTAAAAAGTTGCAATACAGTGTCACTTGGACAAATTATTTTAGTCGATTGACCTTGTCTCTACCACATTTCTCAGATAAGCTACGGATTTTTTAGCTGTCCTTGGTCGGTCAGGATCATTAAAATCTACACTGTATAATCCGAATTTAATTCTGCAATAATAAAAGTAATTAAGACACCTTGACTTTGTTTTGTTTTCTCACTGATATCCTTGTTGCCATTCAAAATTATCCATTAAACTCCACGCCATAAATGCTTGAACATTAGCACCGTCTTCGTAAATTGCTTGAAGGGTGGCGTTTAAGTATTTCTAAAATTTTTTTGAAGAAACTCATAAAAATAAATTTGGACTTACTTTAAAAAAATTGATTCTTGGCTCATCTTCAACAGTGCCACTTCTATCAGGATATCCACATTCTGTAATTAAAACTACAGGGTTTCTGTATGTCTTTTTTATCCATTGTAAAATATGTCTCAAACCCCATGGGACAACTTTATTCCATTCAGCACCAGATTCTTCCCAGGCCAGGTCTTGGAACCGCTCAGTACCCATATCAGCTGGATAACTGGGAGTGCCAATGGGTTGATCTGGGACAGCTTCGACGTACCAAGTACTGTAATGGTTTAATCCCAAAAAGTCATAAGTTCCTTTTAGCTTTAATTTTTCAGCCAAAGTAAATTGGGGCAGACGCGAATTAGGATAACCTTCTTTTTTACTTCGTTCAGCAATTCGATCTTTGACAATTTGGGGATAATCAAAGTTTATAATTGGGTTGGCATAAAGACCAAACTAAAATTTTTGAAAATTACAATACATGAAAATAGAAAAGTTGCGTTTACTTCAAATTGTCTTCTTTGTTCTGCTGCTTCGATATCTTCGGGCTTTTGACTGGCAGGCTCAGCCCATTCAAAATTGAGGGTTATCGATATTCGTCCATTTTGGGTTGGCCGAAATTCTTTATCATAAATATGGTATGCTTCAGCATGGGCTTTAAGCAAGTTATGGGTGCACAAGTACTCGATGGTTCCTTTGGGATATGGGCTTGTGACATTTCCCAAAAAGTCGTGAAAGTCCTGACAAACAATTTTTGGTTCATTGAAAGTAATCCAAGTCTTGACTCGATCACCAAAGAGTTGGAAGGCTTTTCTGGCATAATTTCCGAACAGGTCGACCATTACAGGACTTGTCCAAGACCCCAAAGGACTAAACATTTGAGGCAAATCCCAATGGTACAAAGTAATGACTGGCTCAATTCCATTCTCGATCAATTTATTAATCAGGTTATTGTAATAATCGACTCCGGGCTGGTTAACCAGATTAATATATCCCTGAGGAAAAATTCTCGTCCATGACAGGGAAAATCGGTAATAGTCCACTCCCGTCTCCTTCACCATTTCTACATCTCGTTCCCATTTATGATACGAATCACACGCAATATCTCCGTTTGATTTATCTTGTATCATTTCTGGAGTATTGTGGGTGAGTCTATCCCATGTGCTTACTCCTTTACCATCGGCATCCCAACCACCCTCGATTTGGTACGCAGACGTGGCCACGCCAAACTTGAAATCATCCGGAAACGTCCATTGTGATTTAGTTAAACTGTAATTGAGATTTTATTACAAGTAAGGATTTTGGTTATTTCACCTGATTAAAGAGCCGAAAAGACAAAGTAGGAAAAAGAGATTTTTTGTATGTGTGAGACGCATGGTGACAGAAACTTTGATCATGACTAAAGTTTACAACGTTATTTACTTTATTCTTAATCCTTTTCCACGTATGTAATTTTTATGATTTATTTATTACTAAATTGATTTTTGCTAATGCCGGTAATAAAAATATTGTTATTTATTGAACTATGTAAAATTTTTTGATCTGGAAATCATGTTTGTTGTCGCATTTTGAAATAAACGTTATGTTGCCAAAGGTTAAAATACGGATTTATGAATTATGTATTTTCCATGCAAATATCCTGTTCGCGTTAAATAAAATGTTAAAGAGAAATTATATCTAATATAAATAGACTCAAGCAGTTAAGTAAATAGGTTGCATTTTTATTTGATATAAGTTATCTGTTACATAAAATTGAAAAATAGGATTGTGCAACTTTTATCATTATACAAATACTAGTTAACAGCGAGATGTTTGCAAAATAACAAAATGCCATCTAATGGTAAACATTTTAAACAGGAATAATTTTTGCATAGTTTACAGTAAATATAGAAAATTTATTTTTATTTAAGTATAACATTGTTTTTTTTTGTCTTTATCAACTTGTAATTTTTCGTCAAAGAATAAATTCTTCTATTTGGATTTTCTTAGTATCAAATGAATCAAAACTCCCTGTCTTTCTCAAAACACCAATCATTTATTTGGGAAAGACAATTATTTAATTATTATATGTATAAAGTTCTACACAAATGTTCTAATTTCTATGGGTTTTTCTTTAATGGATTTTAAACAAATCATTTTCAGGAATTTGTAAAAAATTAAATATTGTTCAAAAAAGCTGACATACTCGTACAATATTACAATTATAAAGAAATGTACAATGTGTAATTTTTTATTAAAAGTGGTCACTTGAGATATTTGATACTTGAATATTTTTTTTGGTTCTGCGTTCAGAAACGGTGATTTTGCATCCGTCAAAATCGTCTGGGAACAGCCCTATTCTATTAATGTACTAGGACATTAAAAAATTACCAAAAAAAAAAGATTTATCACATGGCCAGAAACTGTTTACCAGTGCAAGCACTTGTGGGACTTGACGCCTTGGCACACCAACCGTGCTTGCACTTGCAAAATGACAGTTTCTGGTCTTGTGATACAAGTAACTAATAACTGTTGTTTTTCTGTTGAACAATAAAACATTTGTGCGCATTAATTTAAGCGGAGATAAAAACTATAGGAAATATAGATCCAAGGTTAAAAAGATACGATAAGAAAAAATTAAATTTCATTCGTTGCAAAATTGTCAACAAATTGTTTAAAGAAAAAAATACTCTGTAAATAAATTGAAACTGTTATAAAAACTAATTTGAAAACGGTTATAAATCTTTTTTTTTAAATATATTGGGTGGCTAGAAAAAAACATTCTGTATAATTCCTCAAATCTCCGGAACAGTTTTTAGAGAGTCTTCAGTTTTTACTTTCTAATAAAAGAGACAATTAAGTGAGAATTATCACAAGGAATTATTAGAAAAAGGAAATGACAAAACAACTACAAAAAATCAATTACATGTTGACATCTTATATGGTGATTTTTATTTGTAAACTCTGTATGTATGTATGTATAATAGTGAACCAAAATGTTCAATAAAGGGCGTTTTTGTTTTATCTATTATTTATTTTATCCAAAAAAATTAGTCTTCACATTGGTTTATTAAACATTTTGTGGCAACAACTTTTTTGTAAAAATCTGTTGATTTTTTTGGTGTTCTGGTCCGATTTTCGAATTAGTCTTCACATTGGTTTACTAAACATTTTGTGGCAACAACTTTTTTGTAAAAATCTGCTGATTTTTTTGGTGTTCTGGTCCGATTTTCGTCGTCAAAGTCAACTTGATAAAGGCCAAACTTTTCTCTGAAAATTTTTATTATGAAAATTCTTTAAAAAATTATTTACTCTTTTACGTGTATCCATTTAACCATTCAAAATTATCCATTAAACTCCAAGCTGTATATCCTGTAACATTAATTCCATCTTCCTTAATTGCTTCTAAAATGTTACTCAAATAGTTTTGATAATATAAAATTCTACCCTCATCATCCAATTCTCCATAATCGGAAAATCCATTTTCAGTTATTACAATTTCGGGATGATTGTAAGTCTTATCAACCCAGTTTATGAGTTTTCTGGTACCCCATGGAACGACTTTAAGCCAGCTTGAGGCCGAACTGTTCCACGAAGGGTCTTGGTACGCAACAACACTTATGTCATTATCATATCCGACGTTTCCTATAGGATAATCATCAATCCATTTTACCATACTCGTAGTATATGTATTTAGAGAAAGAAAATCGAAAGTTCCTTTAATGTAGTCAATTTCATCTGATGTGAATTCCGGTAGGCGGGACTTTTCAAAACCTTCTTTTTTGCTCCTTTCAGCAATTCGATCTATCATGACTTGGGGATAATTACCATCGGGGTGATAAATCGGGTTAGCATACCACCCAAACTACAAAAAAATTTAGAGAATAATGGGTCTTTACAGGAAAATAATTACAGTGAATTGGATTTTTCTTTCCGCAGCTTCTATATCTTTGTCACTGTCACTAGCTGGTTCAAACCAATCAGAATCAATAACCATCGACACTCGACCATTTTGGGTCTTTCTAAACTCTTCATCGTAAATATGGTAAGCTTTAGCATGAGATTTTATGACAGTATGGGCACATTTATAACTGTCAATTCCATTAGATTGAATGCCAGGTGCGAAAACACCATATCCATAACCAAGTTGACACGTTTGCTTAGCTTCGTTAAAAGTCATCCAGTATTTAACTTGATCACCAAAAAGGGTGAACGCAAGTCGAGCATAGTCGGCAAAAAGGTCCACCATGAGGTCAGTATTTGGCCAACCCCCTTTTTCTTGAAGGGGTTGTGGAAGGTCCCAATGGTACAAAGTGACATAAGGTTCTATTCCGTTTTCTTTTAGTGCTTTGATCAAGTTTTTGTAATAGTCTACTCCAACTTGGTTGATTTTTTCTATGTGTCCTTCGGGAAGTATCCTGGACCAGGATAGGGAGAATCGGTAAAAGTGAACTCCTAGGTCTTTGAGCATTTCTATATCCTCTAAATATTTGTGGTAGGAGTTGCACGCTATGTCTCCGTTTGCTTGGTTGGCAATTCGATCAGGGTAGGTGTGGGTGAAATAATCCCAGATGTTTTCACCTTTGCCATCCTCATTCCATCCACCTTCAACTTGGTATGAGGCAGTAGCGGTTCCAAAGAGGAAATTTTCCGGAAATTTTTTGTTGGTAGGTTCCGCCAACGCTAATCTAGAATCGTTATATTAAAATTTATTTGTTTTTCTATTTTTTAAGGAAAGTTACCTAAGCGTGATTAAAAGGAAGAAAACTGTGTTTAGATTCATTGTGGTAATATAAGGATACTGAAAGTAAAAACTGTGATAAGATTTTTGATTATTCAATACAACAGTTATCTCGACAAGTTTACGATTTCATGTAAATAGGAAGTGAGTGCCTAAAGCGAATCGATGGGGCGAAAAACACATTTGTGCTAACCACAAAAAGTTCGTAAATTAAGTAAATCCCGTTCTAGCAGGACGTAAGCCTGCGGCTACTAGATAAGAGTGTCAGATTCTAATCCTGCGAGCAATACCGAACAAAGGGCCATTTAGCGATGCGCCTTGATAAGTGGACAAATGGAAGCGAAATTGCTGAGTTTCCAGATGAAACTGATAAATTTTCAAGAGGAATTTTGCTTTATGCAGAAACAAAGAGTGGTCACAATTTTTTTTCGTTTCAATACACTGTATAGTGAACACAATTAGCTCGAAGATCTTTGCAAGCCTACGCTCGACATTGTCTCGCAACAGCCATTTAGTTCGCTTGTTATATACATCCGCTATAATTTACAGAGTGCCCCGCTGAAATTCAGATGAGACTGAAACAATTCCAATTGTATTTGCATGAATCGCCATTTCTCAAAGTGTGATTATTTGCTGAAAAGTTGTATCTCAGTCCTTGAATAGTGTCACGTCTGGAGGCGGCGGATTTTTCTCTTTCGAGTGTTGTAAAGTGCCAACAGACGTTCGATTTATTGCCTGTGATAAGCATTAGCTCGCTAAAGTGGCCGATAACATTTCCAAACGGAGGAAAACCGAGCATTATCAAAGGTGTGGGATATTAATTACTTATCTGCTGCTAATTACTTTTATCAAAAAATTTGCCGTTCGATAGGACGAAAAGAGACGTCGTCGAGGCGTCTAGACTCTGGTCGCCCATTGAATTAAATTCTTGGCGAGATCAGCTTGACTTCCTCGTTGTAAATAATTTGATATCTTGAGTCTATGAGTCACAAGATCGACGTAACAATGGCTCATCGGTACGTTATTCCGGCAGGTGCAGTTGCAAATAAAATACGAAATGTCATAACGGCAGTTGCAGGAAACGAAAAATGGACGTTTCAGACAAAAACCTGGTGATCTGTCAGGCCAAGGTGAGCCTGCCGAGTAAATAACCTTCTGGATAAGATCTTGACAAATAACTGACCCGCATAAGCAAACATTCATTTTCTGATAAATTATTTATGATGAATGGATTAAAAATTTAATGTGTTTACGACGAATTTTACTTTCACGGAGTTGGAGGTAATATATCAAGAAAGATTTCGTCGAGTGATGGGGATTGGAAAAGATACAAACTAGCAATTTGCAATAATAATCTTTGTATCAGTTAATTGCTGAAGAGTTGTTTCATTATTTATGCATTTATACATTTTTAAACTTACAATTAATAAGAAAATTTATAAATAGTCTGATTAAAAAATCTGATTTAATAAATATGTATTCATGAATATTATAATTTTTAATAGTTTATTTGTTGTAGTGTGAAAATTCTATTATTAAAAAACTGGTGTGGTTTTAGGAAACCACAATGCAAGTAAAACTTTAATTATTTAATTTTTTTGATTTTATCGTATTTTAAATATTTTTTTATAAAAAAAAATTGCAAAAGCTTTTAAATTTTGTCGCAAATCCACTATTAAATATAATATAAATTTCATAATTTATATAAATTAATGGTCCATGAAGTTTCGATGAAAGTTTTGAAATAATCCATTTCAGTTTATAGTTTAGTTATGATAATAGACGTAATAACTAAGAATGGGTTTATGCCATCAGCCTCATTATAATGAATGTGGAATAAAAACAAAGCCTTCATTAATCAACGCAACAAATTAATAATTTGTTTGAATTTTTCTTTTACTAATTACAATGACTTATGGAAGTATCTCAACGGAAGTGGCTAATGAACCTTCATACAATACGTTCGAAACCATTGCTCTTATTATTACGCAAAAATCGTCAACAAAGCCTCTCGTGAACTATGTTTCAGTACATCTGTTGCTTGTGACATCTCGACCTACCTTCCGTGAAGAACCTTATTTTGCATGTGCCACCTGTCGAGTGACCTTTGCACATCCCGACTACTTGCTGAAAGTTATGTGTGCACATTCCTTGTCAAATCTGTTTATTTATATCCGAAACTAACTCCCAGATGAGGAGAGTTATGGCTCGAGCTTTGGAAACATTGAATTTGGTCGCGAAACGCGGGTTTTCGCCACTAATTGTCACAACTGCTAGTAAATTACCAACCGGTAGGCATTTAACGAAGTACCAGCGATGTATTTATCACACAGTTCGCACTAATGAACCACATGTAACATGGTAAAGGTACAAGTGCACACTTATTTATTTGACCATTGGGTGCGGTGAACGTTCAAGTCGCGGAGAAAAATCCATTCAAATTCGAACGAGAAAACTAGTTATGGAAGAATTTCGTTTTTATGAGTTTGTTAGACTTGGTACTAGTGTTAGGTTTAATTGGAAATGGCTAAGTACCACGTTGTAATATTTTAATGTCGGTGAATTTATTTTTTGTTTAGATGCGGTTCGCAATTATGATATAATTGAACGATGGAACAAGATATCGAGAGATTTCAACTTTGCTGCAAAGATATTATCGCAGATGGCAGAAATCAACTCAAAAATTATAACTGATCGTATTTTAATGAAGCATGACATTAGCGATTTGTGATAAATTGTACTACTTTGTTTCAAGTCAATGACATACAGAAAAAGATTTATCCCAACTAGGAGATAAAATATCCCGCTGTTGAAGATCCGGCAAGGTTGTAAGGTACCCAAGACATCAATGAGTTGTTTAATATTTGTCTATTATCTCACTAAAGAACGTACAAATAAAAGTCCAAAGGTGTTAACTCTGGTAAATATAGAGGCTATTCGACTGGTTTTCTCCGCCACATTCATTTCTGTTTTTATGGATTACGTCAAATTAATTTTTTATTCATAAAGGTTTCAAGGAATTTATTTGTCATTAACGTATATTTTAGTTTTTGGTTTTGCTTTAAGAAACTATCGTCTAAAATAAAATTTCTACAAAGAATGCGGACAAGGTGCATTTGTCATAGATTTGCGGGGGTTGTAAGGGTTTTGTACACTTTGTAAACTTTTCAAAAATTTTATAATAGATTGCAGAAAGTTTCTCTAAAAGATTTTTGAAGAAAAATATGTATTTTAAAATGTAGAACGAGTTTGAGGCAACACTAATATCTTATACTGTTTCTATGGTGCATTTAAGCTTAACCTCTTATGTTGCCTTTAACATACGCTCTTCTATAAAGTACGGCGACAATCGCAACGTATTTTGTAAAGACATAAAATACTCTTATCTTGGTATTTTCTCAATTTTGACATTATTTTGATATTTTTTTTTACAACAATTTGTGAATTTATATAGTAAAATTTCCTATTGAATATTAGTGTTGGAAAAAAAATTGAAGACAACATAAGTGTTATAGTTTATTTTTTTTAACTATGTTTGTTTTAATCATTTGGATGGATGGAAATAACAATTTACGAGTACTTTTAATACTTCTATCCGAAAATAAATGACTTTTCAATTCATGGTTATTGTAACTAATTGGTCGTTATAATTATTTAATTAATTATAAAACAGCTACTCACAAAATGTGTAAATCAAGTTGTTCTGTTTTTTTAAAAAGGGAATCGAGTAATTAAAACTAATGAGTAAGAATTAATTTGCATTACATTTTAGGGAGAAAGTTTGTATAAAAATGTGTTTTTCTAAACAAAAACAAACTCATTAACTTACTGAACTAAATTTTAACTTGTTTTGATCTAAAACTATTAAATTTGTTGTAAATAAAGGATGTAAAACATAAGAGATTTGATAAGTATTTATGTCCATCATTAATTTTCCTCAAACTGAATCATAAATTAAATTTTAAGCGCTATTATTACAAATACGGTAATTACGTTTTGATTCCTGCCGATTACCACCTACTCGAGCTTTTAATTTTTCCCTTCAAAGACATCCATTGCTATTATCATTTAGTCTAGTCGTGAGTGCCTTTATATTTGTAATAATCCCGCTTGATGATTTTCTAATTCTTGGTTACGCTACAAAATACCTGCTATTAAAATTAAACACCGCGTTTCCACCGGAATATCAAGAATCTTGAAACAAAGAAAATGTTGTTACCACATTTACGTGTCCGAGGGCTTTTCTTGCTTGGTCGCGCACGATTTAAATACGACGAAATACAAACTTAAACTGAACATCATTTTAACACAGTGCGAAATTATTTCGCTAATGGCCACCAATTTGAAAAAAATTACTACATCCGGAACGCGATGAAACAAACAACACAGGGACGAAAACAGCTTCTTGGGGTAAGCTTGAAATCGGGTCATGATGGTGGCTTTTTTCGCCGAGACATTTCTTGATTGATTCTTTTGTATTGCCCACTACTCGTTCTTCGCCTTGAAATCAGGCGTAAACTCTCTTCAGGTGTAGCCGGCTCGCAGATAGACTCCATCGGTCGTGTCTTACTCGTTCGAGATTTACAATTGCGGTGTTTGTACTTACGCGAAATTTACGTGAGTGCAGTTTTGGATGAGTGTGTGTGATAAGAGAAGAGCTTTGAGTGGTGTAAGTTTCTTTAAGCAATGGGCTGAAGACAATCGTGAAGCGCTTTTGGAACAGTTACATGTGATTTTTTATAAAAGAAAATTATTACTTCTGAAAAATTGATCAGTGGGAAATTTTAGATAAAATTGCACGTTTCTTGACCTAATAATTAGTAGATAAAATCAAGCGGCTTGAATAGCATAACTCACTCATTGTTGTACTGAATCCGGGATAATTTCCGGTAGAAAGATGATTAAATCGAAAAGGAGTTTCTACTCCACCTCAATAAATACAGTGTTAGTTGCTGTCTTTTACTCTATATCTGGATCTATAACAAGTACTTAGTACTTAATTTATTTTCGAAAACTTTCAATGAGAGAGAAAGGTATTTGGCAAGAAGTTAAACCATATTATTAATGTATTTAGGTGACATTTTCAATACAATGGAAGCTTTGCCGCTGGGTACTGGTTGGATTTATTAGATTTAAAAGAATGAACGTGAGAGCATCAAAAAGTAGGCCACTTTTTAAAACATGCCAAGATGTAAGAATATACTATTTCAAGTTGGTAGTTTATGCTTTATTGACAGATCATTTTTAACTAGAGTTCTCAACTTCAATTAGAATCAGCAATAGACAAATTTGTGTTTTTAATTTCAACATATATGATATTTAACATGATAAAATGATAGCTAAAAATGAATATTCGAAAAAAAAACTATTCATTTGGAAGCTTGTCATATTAGATAACACTGATGAAAGAATAGTATATCACATACCGAGTAAGAAAGAGCTTCATTACAGCCGAGATCATCAATGGCTCGAGATTAGTTAAAACGCGAGGCTGTAATGAAGCCTCCATTCGAGGTTTGTATACTATTTTATTCGCAATTATCCAATGTGAAAAATAACAATTTACTATAAATTCTGAATAATAAAAATATCCTGAAGTAATAAATAAAAGTCGACGCATGACAATAAAAAGTAATAATCACTGTCAAAATGACAATTTTAAAAATGGCCTTTAATCATTATTTTAGTTTGTTTCTGAATATTATAAATGTTGTGTTGTGCCATTTCAACAGCTTATTTTGTCACTTTTTATAATATTTTTTCTATATGAAATAGTGGAGTATTTTGGCTCTAAATTTGTCAGTAGGCTCCAGTTTGTACACAGATTCTCTTTTAAAAACACAATTGCGACGTTGGCACAATGGTACAAGGCACTTCCAGGTATGTAATGTTTTTCGGGGTATGTAATAATTTCCCAGCTAGTTGTTGTTATGTCATCAAATTGATAGAGGGCAATATTATTGCAAATAAATGTCTATAGAAGGTATAAAATATGTTTGAAATGTATTTTTTTTTATTATTTTATATAATGACATTTAATAATATTGAAGTTCGGATCGTTTTGCTAAAGGGCAAAAAATGCGAATGAGATAGTAAAATGTCTCTTAATTATCGTTTATTGTTTAAAAATCATTTACCACTTATCGAAATCTCCGTCCTGTCACTTGTGACATATCTAAATCACATCCCGACATTTTTTCTAGTGTCAAAGTAACAGATTGCTTTTGCGTACAAATGGTCTTTCCATTTAACCCATCACCTGAAAAAATATCGATGACACGATTACGTCTCAATCTTTTGGTATCCAAATCCCGGCAGGCTTTGAAGTCAGTTAATTGGCTATAATTCCCCAAAAAATCCATAATTAATAAAAACACCGACAATATTAGGTTACATTTAAAAATATTTTATGCAAATGTGTGTCAACATGAATATTTATAAGGGCATCCATTAGGGGAGACGACTAAAAATAGAGCGGGGAATTTGAGATAAATTTTTTATGCATCGAGTTGCTCGATTGTAGCAAAAACCTGTAGCTGTGTTGTTTCAAATAGATCCAGTTTGAATACAATATAGTTACGGGAATTATTCAAATTATAGTCTCGTTATGTTATTAACAAGACAAGATGTGAGATTCATTGTTGGGGCGAGAAGATTCGCAACGCTTCGAAAAAGCGTCTTCTTTGAAATAATTTCTTAAAGATGAAAGGAGAAACCGCAGTCATAAATAAGTGTATTTCCATCCAAGTTTGGAAGAATTGTTCGCTAGAGAACAGCATAAAAAGCTCAATTCCGATGTGTTAGATTAATCGAAGCTGCAATGCAAGAATATCTAATCGATACTCTTGATTTACGTCGCAAAACTCGGAAGATTGCTTTATGGTGTAATATGTAAATTGTCCAGATAACTCCCGCAAGGATCACTTTCTTTTCCTTTTTCTTTCAGGTAAGGGTGAATCGGGTGCAATGTGTTGTGTAAAATGAAGCGTACCAAGTCTTTGGGTTGGTTACAACAGTGTGGTGCTTTAGTTAAAAATAATGTCAAGAATGTTGGATATTCGAAACGTCTGTGGTCAAGCGCTGAACAAATCAACAACAAAAAAAGGTAAAATTATTTCTGATGATTTTTTAATCTTCCGGATGAGACTTTGTCAAAAAGTGGCGCTAATTATTATCGTAATAACAGTAATTGTGTGTATTTGTAAATAAAATTGTCGAATCACGAAGCGTGATGATTGCCGAC